CTTATTTGTCTACCTTAACCATTCCAAAACTCAGACGGGCCTTTACACTGGCCAGACTAAATATGTTACCCTCAGCTGTTCTTGAAGGTAGATATCAAAAAATTTCATTTGAGAACCAGCTCTGCCCCTGTGGAGCTGGCTACGTAGAGACTGTGTCACATGTTCTCTTGTCTTGCTCCCTATATAAAGATCTCAGGGACGAGACCATCACGCCGCTCCTATCTGCCATCCTGGGCCGCTCTTGTGAAGCCAAATTGTTCTCACTCCTAGCCGACCAGAACAGCTCGACAACAGAGAAGGTTGCCAAATTTACCGAGAGAGCAGTGAGACTGAGAGCTGCTATCTGAATGACATCAGTGTCGTCACCTGGATTCCTCGCCTAGGATCTTATTACTATTATCATTATGTTTTATTATTATTATTTTATTACCTCTGCCAAGTTTTAAGTACTGTGATTATTAATTTATCTGCATCTGGTTATTATTATCTTTCTCCCTGTCCTGACCATCCCTCCGAGGTTACCGTATTTTTCGCTCTATAACACGCACCTGACCATAACACGCACATCGTTTTTAGAGGAGGAAAACAAGGGAAAAAACATTCTGAATGAAACAGTGGATGTATCATTTTTGTGCTTCATGCTGTGGCCACAGACATGTGATCTGATGGTGAATTTGGGGTGACCCAATGCAAAAATCCTGAGAATTCCTGTGGATCCATGCTTTGTAACCACGTTTTTGCACCATTGCAGCCCCAGGCAACAGTGGGTGCGTGATTTTTTGGGTGCAGGCTGTAGCCATGGACATGCTATGTGATCTGATGGTGAATTTGGGGTGACCCAATGCAAAGATCCTGAGAATCGCTGTGGATCCATGCTTTGTAACCACATTTTTGCACCATTGCAGCCCCAGGCAACAGTGGGTGTGTGCTTTTTTTGGTGCAGGCTGTAGCCATGGACATGCTATGTGATCTGATGGTGAATTTGGGGTGACCCAATGCAAAGATCCTGAGGATCCATGTGGATCCATGCTTTTTAACCACGTTTTTGCACCATTGCAGCCCCAGGCAACAGTGGGTGCGTGATTTTTTTGGTGCAGGCTGTAGCCATGGACATGCTATGTGATCTGATGGTGAATTTGGGGTGACCCAATGCAAAGATCCTGAGGATCCATGTTGATCTATGCTTTGTAACCACATTTTAAGTGGGGAGCGAAGGAAAAACAAAGAAGGGACATGAGAGGGGTGTGCAGAGAAGCAGCTGGCTAAGAATGCTGGAAAGTTCCCCCCCAAGCCAGCCATCTCTCTCTCTCTCTCTCTCTCTCTCTCTCTCTCTCTCTCTCTCTCTCTCTCTCTCTCTCCCTCCCTCCCCCCTCTCTCTCCCTCCCCCCTCTCCCTCTCCCTCCCCCCCTCTCCCTCTCCCTCCCCCACTCTCTCTCCCTCTCCCCCAGCAGCACCGGAGCACAGAGAGGAATTAGAAAGAAAGACACTCTGCTTGCCTGGAGGGGAGGGGCTTTCCCTGCTCTTTGTTCCGTTTCAGCAATCACAGCAACGAAACAGAGGAGGGTGGGCAGTAAGACCCTGAGGCAGAATGCAGGAAAGCTGCCACTTCCTCTTTTCAGGTTTCCCTTCTCCGTGAAGAGCGATTTGACTTTTGCTTGATTTTTTGGCTCCAGGGACCACACATTCGCTCTATAACACGCACAGACATTTCCCCTTCCTTTTTAGGAGAAAAAATCTGCGTGTTATAGAGGGAAAAATACGGTATATTTATATTTATAATCTTTCAATTTGGCTGGTCTATTTACTTAACAGACCTGGAACAATCTACCAGAGAAAAGGCCGCCGCCCATGGGACAGAGGGTCATTGATGAATGATAATCCAGCTTCTACCTAGGGTTTTAATAGGTCATAAGATTTTATGGTAACTATATTTGTAATGTATTTTTGTCGGTGTTCATCCTTTGATGCTATGGCCTGTCAGCTACGCAAATAAAGTCTATTGATTGATTGAAACAACTATCTGAAGACAGCCCTGTTTAGGGAAGTTTTTAATGTTTGAAGTTTTATTCTATTGTTAGTGCCCTGTTGGGAGCCGCCCTGAGTTGCCGGGGAAACCCAGCCAGATGGGCGGGGTATAAAGAATAAAATTAATTATCATCATTATTATTATTACCACCACCATCATCATCATTAGCATTATCATCATCATCATCATCATCTCATGGCAGATCTTCCAAATAATCAGTTTGGTGTGCGCTAAGAGATGGCGGCTGCAAGTTCTTCACTCGAGCCACTTCTGGACACTAAGGGTGAACAAAAGAGCCACCCCACGTTGCCAGAATTGTTGTGAGACAGAAGGTCCAATGCTTTGGTGGCAAGCCCAATAAACCACACCAGGGTGGTGGTGGGGGGAATAAGAGGATTTATTTAGTTTGCAGTAAGAAGCTACAGGGAGGGACGCGGGTGGCGCTGTGGGTAAAAGCCTCAGTGCCTAGGGCTTGCCGATCGAAAGGTCGGCGGTTCGAATCCCCGCGGCGGGGTGCACTCCCGTTGCTCGGTCCCAGCGCCTGCCAACCTAGCAGTTCGAAAGCACCCCCGGGTGCAAGTAGATAAATAGGGACCGCTTACTAGCGGGAAGGTAAACGGTGTTTCCGTGTGCGGCTCTGGCTCGCCAGAGCAGCGATGTCACGCTGGCCACGTGACCTGGAAGTGTCTCCGGACAGCGCTGGCCCCCGGCCTCTTGAGTGAGATGGGCGCACAACCCTAGAGTCTGTCAAGACTGGCCCGTACGGGCGGGGGTACCTTTACCTTTACCTTAAGAAGCTACAGGGGAATCAAATTCCAAATCCTGCACAGGTTTTGATGGTGTGTTTACACTCTTTATACAGCTTAGTTCAGGCTTCCTCAACCTTGGCCCTCCAGATGTTTTTGGCCTACAACTCCCATGATCCCTAGCTTGCAGAGCCAGTGGTCAGGGATGATGGGAATTGTAGTCTCAAAACATCTGGAGGGCTGAGGTTGAGGAAGCCTGGCTTAGTTACATTCTATGATTCTGTTGGCTATGAGCATTTAGTGTAAGAGACCCCTTTTTCTGAAGTGGCCGTCTTTCACTCCTTCCGTTTTGGCAGAGAATCCACTTTTGTTGGCAACTCATTCCATTCCAAACTTTCCTCCGGAATGGCAAGGCGAAGCTTGTCCTGCTATTGTCTGTTCCATAAACTGTTTAAACTAGCACTTTCCTGTTTTTCAGACACAGTGATACCTCGGATTAAGGACTTAGTTTGCTCCGGAGGTCCATTCTTAACCTGAAACTGTTCTTAACCTGAGGTACCACTTTAGTTAATGGGGCCTCCCACTGCCACCAAGCGGTTTCTGTTCTTATCCTGAAGCAAAGTTCTTAACCTGAGGTACTATTTCTGGGTTAGCGGAGTCTGTAACCTGAAGCATCTGTAACCCGAGGTACCACTGTATCAGCATTCAAATGACAAGTGTTCCTCCAGTTCCCACGATAGTGCCCGGGGAGGATCGTTCCTTCCACCCAACACCGATTTGGTGTGTGCGTCCCCCTGCATTACAGTGGTGCCCCGCAAGATGAATGCCTCGCAAGACGGAAAACCTGCTAGACGAAAGGGTTTTCCGTTTTGGAGGTGCTTCGCAAAACGAATTTCCTATGGGCTTGCTTCGCAAGACGAAAATGTCTTGTGAGTTCCTGCAGGGTTTTTTTCCTCCCCCCCTTTCCCCAAGCCGCTAAGCCGCTTATCAGCTGATCCGCTAAGCCGCTTATCAGCTGATCCGCTAAGCCGCTTAACAGCTGATCCGCTAAGCCGCTTAACAGCTGATCCGCTAAGCCGCTAAACAGCTGATCGCTAAGCCGCTTATCAGCTGATCCGCTAAGCCGCTTATCAGCTGATCCGCTAAGCCGCTTATCAGCTGATCCGCTAAGCCGCTTATCAGCTGATCCGCTAAGCCGCTTATCAGCTGATCCGCTAATCCGCTTATCAGCTGATCCGCTAAGCCGCTAATAGCGCTAATCCGCTAATGGGCTTGCTTCGCAAGACGAAAAAAACCGCAAGACGAAGAGACTCGCGGAACGGATTCCTTTCGTCTTGCGAGGCACCACTGTATTGCAATACCTTATCCAGTGTCCAGCACTTCCTGTCCTCTGCTTGTACCCACTGTTTGAGGGAAGCAAACCTGTGTTGAAGCTTCCTGCAGCGACAGAGTCTAGTCTACTTCATTAGCATAGCCAGGTGATCCAGAATCCAAAACAGGATTCTGAAGGAAAGGTAAAAATATGAATGGAAAAATCCTCCAGCACCAAGCTTCATCTGAAATGAGAAAGATGTGACAGAGGCAAGTCTCTGTCTCCTGTGTTTTGTGCCAGTGCCTCTTCACTTGAGATTTCTGGGTTTGATTTTCTAAACGTCATTCCCACTAAATACCCAAATGGATCTTATCTCTAAAACAATCCTCAGATATTTCTGTCAGTTTGCTTTTCTTAGTACAGAAAGTATTGATCTGATGTGTAGAGATCTCTCCTATTCTAATCAATTCAAGAGGTTTCTGGAAGCTTCTCTGTGTGAAAGAAACAAGCAGAAGGTTCATGATGTTAGGGTTATTCTTTCAGAGAGAAGCAGAGCACAGCTGGCTTAAACTGGTTCTCTGATCTCTTCTGTCAATGTCATGCTGACTATAAAAATAGGCTAGAGGAGCCTGGGTTTCACTTTCTCGTTCTATCTTTTCTTTCTGGTGTGGTGTTCTGTACATAGTAAGCTTAGTGTTAAGGTTTAGCCTTATTACAAGTTATTGTAAGTTTAAGTTAAGTGTTTAAGTTTTTACTATGCTAACTATACGCTGGAATCTGCCCTGGATCAATACTGAGCAGAATTCCACGACAATTTCCAGCTCTACTGTTTAGTGCTTTTGTGATAAAAAAATAAGCAGACCCACCCCAGCCCACCCCCCAGCACCCAAAAAAATGATACACAACGAGAACAGTCTTTTGTAACAATTTCTTTGTTCACTGGGGTGTTTCAGCTACAATGGTCGATTGTCTCAGTGGTTATCTTCCTTTGTGGTTTCTGTGGAAAGAAACACAAGTTTATTTTTAAAGCATGCATACGTACATCAGTCTATAGTACAATACCTCAACTTTATATCAATCATTTTCGTGGACTGGTGGTGCTTCCAGCAGGAAGCCTTTAACACTACCACTGAAAGCCGTAAGAAAAATTGCAATTGACTGTCTACACTACCAAGGCTTTAGAGCAGGGCGGGGGAACTTGTGTCCCTCAAGACATTTCTGGACTACAACTCCCATCATCCCTGACCATCAGCCATGCTGTCTGGGCTGATGGAAGTTGGAGTCCAACAACATCTGGAGGGTCACAAATTTCCCACCTCTGCATAGGCTGCTGTGCTCTGTCTACTCTAGGGGACAGAACATGGTGTTACACAAGGGGGTGTCCCCCTAAACACTGGAATTAATAAATGCTAGGATTTGGGGTTATTTGTGATCTGAGGGGAGAATATAAGCTGCAAAGGAATTCCTGGGTAGCCTGGCCAAACTAGGGCCATTAAGAGAGCCATTGTGGGTCGTTAACAAGACAATGGTACTTCCTGCTCTCAGGTGAGACACCAGAGACTGGAGATTTGGAAGGCTGCCAGGGTAACTGCTCTGGGGGAGGGCAAGGGGCTTCTGGGAAGAAGAAAAGGTGGGCTCCATCTTGGCAAGAGAGAAGGAAGGACTGCCCGCAATGCTTTGGGCCATGCTGTAAGATCTGGACCCGCTCCATGCAGACCGAGGGTGTAAACAGGTGTGTGTGTTTGTGGGAAATCTACTACTTAAAGCACAACAGCCACCACTGTGTCTTCTATTCTCAAAAGGGACACAGATCCTATGTAGGCGCCTGAGATCCTATTATGCGCTCTTGCCACGGCTTGGCAGAGAGAGGGACAGGTGGCAGACTTTTGTAACAATAGTTATATGAGCGAGAAGGAGACATTCTTCTTCACCCTGCTTTCCTTTCCTAAAGCACTTGCAGGTTCTTGAGAAGAGTGGCTCTGTTGTTGTGCTTTTAAAATTATGATTCCATCATGTATTTGTGCTGTTGTTCTTAATGATGCAATGGAATTACAGTCATACCTTGGAAGTTGAATGGAATTCGTTCTGGAAGCCTGTTTGACTTCCAAAACGTTCAGAAACCAAAGCGTGGCTTCTGATTGGCTGCAGGAAGCTCCTGCAGCCAATCGGAAGCTGCGGAAGTCCCGTCGGACGTTCGGGTTCCAAAAATAGTTCACAAACTGGAACAGTCACTTCCGGGTTTGCGGTGTTCAGGAGCCAAAACATTTGAGAACTAAGCTGTTCAAAAACCAAGGCATGACTGTAATTAAAAGTTAAGTGCTCTTGAAAGGAGGAATGATGTAGTTCAAAGCAGCTGAGCACGCTAAGGTAAGGGGGACTAAGGGTGGGGGATAAGATAAAAAAATACCCCTCCCCTCCCCTTTATAGATCACAGGACACTTTAAAGCAGCCTTCCCATACCTGATACTCTTCAGGTATTTTGGACTATAAGTTCCATTGAAATGCCTTGTTGTGGATGAAATTTGAAGATAGCAATTTGGGGGGCTGGAGGGGAGGACTCCCATGTTATGGAGAGTTAAGTGCTAATGGAAGAATAATAAATAAATAATCAGGGTGCTTGAATAGGTCTGGTTCAACTTCACATCCCAGGTTCAGTCCTCAGCATCTTCAGGTAGGGCTGGGAGAGGATCCTTGTCTGAAACCCTGGAAAGCAGCTGCCAGTCCAGTGTAGACAATACAGAGCAAGATGGATCAATGGTCTGATTTGGTGTAAGGCAGCTTCTAATGTTCCTGAGAAGCGACTCAACCCATACAAACCAGCAAGTCACAAGAGCTGCTTTGTTCCATACCTGCGCTGCAGGGGGCATTATATTCGACAGCTGCATGGTCATCTGAGCGAGAGAGAAGAATTGCCTGTGAGATGTTACGTTCTCCTTTATTTCTATGCCACCTCGCAGCCCCAAATCCCAGTGCAATGAAATAAAACGTGCAGCAACGTTTAAGAGAGCAAAATATCAGTAACATATTGAAAGCAATAAAAAAACAACCCGCCAAAATTAGAACACAAATACTGTATTTTTTGCTCTATAAGACTCACTTTTTCCCTCCTAAAAAGTAAGGGGAAATGTGTGTGCGTCTTATGGAGCGAATGCAGGCTGCACAGCTATCCCAGAACAGCAAGAGGGATTGCTGCTTTCACTGCGCAGCGATCCCTCTTGCTGTTCTGGCTTCTGAGATTCAGAATACATTTTTTCTTGTTTTCCTCCTCCAAAAACTAGATGCGTCTTGTGGTCTGGTGCGTCTTATAGAGCGGAAAATGCAGTAGGTCAAGGACCCCTGGACAGTCAAGTCCAGTCAAAGGCGACTACGGGGTTGTGGCGCTCATCTTGCTTTCAGGCCAAGGCAGCCGGCGTTTGTCCACAGACAGCTTTCTGGGTCATGTGGCCAGCAGGACCAAACCATTTCTGCCGCAATGGAACACCATGACAGAAACCAAAGCGCACAGAAACATCATTTACCTCCCTGCCGCAGCGGTACCTATTTGTCTACTCGCACTGGCATGCTTTCGAACTGCTAGGATGGCAGGAGCAGGGACTGAGCAACGGGAGCTCACCCCGTCGCAGGGATTCAAACTGCCGACCTTCTGATCGGCAAGTCCTAGGCTCTGTGGTTTAAACCACAGCACCTACTAATTACATTTCTTGCAATGTCCTGGAATGACGCAACATTGGGAGCATGGTGGGAAATTAAAATGGCAGCTTAGAACCCAGCGATCTTGGGCTACTTAGAGCCCAGGGTAAATGTCAGCCGCAGTAGACCCTGTCAAGCTGTGGAGAGCCCTGGCAGCTGCCCATGGATGCCAAGTACTGGGGAAGAACAACTTTAAAAACACCACCCCAGAATCAGAGCAGCTGAGAGACTGAAGCGCCCTGGCAAAGTTCTGTAGGAGCAAAAAGGCAGGACTTGCGGAGTCATGATGCAGTTGCATATTAACGGGGAGTAACCAGTCAGATCCTTACCTGGGTGGTAATAATCATAGACTTTCACTATCGCTGGCTTAAGATCCAGCACGTCAATTTCCTGCTCCACAGAGAAAACATAGGTTTGAACAGTGCTGTCCAACTAAAGAGAAACAGAGTGGGGCAAAATATCAGATCTAGCTCTTGCAACCACTCCTACAGACCACAATCCTATTATACATACCTGCTTTTCCACATTCCTAGACTTCTGGAATGAAGTCTCTTCAGCCACCCCCTCCCAAGTACTCCTGGTCCAAGTTTCATACCATAGTTCTCACCTGATCCAGGTAGATGCTGATCTTGTCGGGGTCAAATTCCACCTTCTTTACGTTGGCTTTCCCTTCCAGCTGTCAGAATATAGAACAGCAGGACACAGTTAAGGAACATCTTCATTGTGATTTTTGTTTATACCAGCCTTGCGCTGCAGCCACTCATGAGATCTGTGCATTCATGCAAAAGATGAGGTGTGGGCTGCTCAACCTACAGATTTGCATCTTTGTTTTAATACTAGGGATGGCCGAATTGTGGCCTGTAGGTTGTTTCCACCCCATTACTTCCCTGGCTGGATCTTTTTGCTAGGCAGACCTGAGCCACCATACATCCCACCTGGCAGAAACCCTTCTCTGTTCAAAGGAGGAGAATGCCCCAAGACCTTTGCGCCTGGGAGGGCTGCTTGCCATCAGAAATGGCACACTGTTTTTGGCCTACACAGGACATAAGAGAGCAATTTCGAGCAAGTGCCTCTCCATCTCATCTTGCACTGGAAAGGACGCCTAATGGGTTGTATAAGCAACACTTCAGACATGCGTTCTCCTTTTTCTTTTGCCAGGGGAACATTTCAGATTCTTCAGTGGGTAGATGCTTCCAGCAAGCCGGATATGGTGCCAATATGAGAGGATTTGAGGTAAACGGCCATAACTGATTTTTCACAACAAGCCTAAAGCAGCATCTCCCAACAGATCATTAAAGGTAAAGGGACCCCTGACCATTAGGTCCAGTCGTGGCCGACTCTGGGGTTGCGACGCTCAGCTCGCTTTATTGGCCAAGGGAGCCAGCGTACAGCTTCCAGGTCATGTGGCCAGCATGACTAAGCCGCTTCTGGCGAACCAGAGCAGCACATGGAAACACTGTTTACCTTCCCACCAGAGCGGTAGCTATTTATTTACTTGCACTTTGACGTGATTTTGAACTGCTAGGTTGGCAGGAGCAGGGACCGAGCAACGGGAGCTTACCCCGTCAAGGGGAATCGAACTGCCGACCTTCTGAGCAGCAAGTCCTAGGCTCTGTGGTTTAACCCACAGCGCCACCTGTGTCTCCTAACAGATCATTACAAGTGTACAATTTATATGGCTACTAACAAATGTTAGAAATGCATCTTGCATACACCGAGGAAGGGCAGAAGACTTTCTCACCTTCTTCACAGACTTCTTCAGCGGTATGAATCCTGATACCAAGTTCACTTCTATCAGGGCCATGTTGCTTGTCTTCCGTTGACCTGTGTAGCTATTGGAGGAAACAAGTCAAGTTTCAGTAAAGAAAGCAACCCAGGGAGAGATGAGGCTCAATGGCTAGTATTTCTTAACAGCTTCCTAGGGGAGCTGGGTGCAATTCTTCATGCCACTAAAGCCTTACAGGCTGCTTCTCTCTGTGTTTATCTGAGCTCAGGAACCAACCGGGGTAAAATTCCATACCTCACGTGTAGATGGATGTCGAAAAATTTCCTGGAAACCTCGTTGCATTCCTTTGGCGACGTCTCCACACTCAAAGCAAAAACATTGGTCTTTTCAGGTGAGTAGTTAAATCGAAGGGTAGTCTAGGTGGAGAAAAAAGGAATGTTTTTATTCCCAGCTCCTGTTACCTTGTAGCAACAATATCAGGCAAGTACTGTACTACATTGTGGAGAAAAAGCTTTTCATCCCTGCAATCTTAAAAAGCACAGTGGACAGATCTAGTGGTGGTATATTTGCATAGTGTGTGGGGCTTGCATGCACATGAAACATACATATCATCCTTGCCAGTTTGCATTTCTTAGTACAGAAAGTATTGATCTGATGTGTAGAGATCTTTCCTATTCTAATTAATTCAAGAGGGTTCTGGAAGCTTCTCTGTGTGAAAGAAACAAGCAGAAGGTTCATGATGTTTGGGTTATTCCTTCAGAGAAGCAGAGTACAGCTGGCTTAAACTGGTTCTCTTATCTCTTTCTGAAAGGTAACACTGACTATAAAAGGAAGGCCAGAAGGAGCCTGGGTTTCACTTTCTTTTTTCATCTCTCTTCCTTCTGGTGTGGTGTTCTGTATATAGTGTTGAGTTTTGGTCTTATTATAAGCTATTGTAAGTTTAAGTGAAGTCTGCTGCAACTGGATTTCTTATGGGCAGTGCCAATCCTGGATGTATTAGATTTGTGACCATTATGCTCATTCGCCTTCAGTGGCAGTAAAGCTCTGCTGGATGAAATACAATTGCCTCTGGTCTATTTTTGGGGGTGGGAATCCCGCAACGTGTTTAATTTTTTACCCTGCTAACTATACGTTGGAGTTCTGCTCTGGATCAATATCGAGTAGAATTTTGATTAAACTCCTTTATTTTCATAGCTACTCATCCCCTGTGATTTCCATGAGATTACCTGCACATAAGCACAGCCGTCCCCTGACACCTCCACTTTGTATTGACCAGGAACCTCTGCGAGAGGCGCCTGTTGCAACACCAGCCGGTTCTGCTTGTCCACATGGAATTCGTGCCGGAAACCCCCACTGGATTTCACCAGGACCTTCACATCGCCTGTTTCACGATAGGTCAAGGCTGCGTACTTGGGTAAAGCCTGCAGGGCAACCACTGTGTCCTGGGGAAAGCAAACCGTCATCTTGGGTGTGGTAGGTGCAAGATTCTTCTTTAAAACCATCAGATAAATCACCCATTACTGGGAATGTTGGCAACGTGTAGCAATCATTCTCATGCATATGCAAGCGTAGCTGTTTGCAATGAATGAATGTGCAGGAAGATTATAAACAGGCACAGTTATTGATTGTTTAGATATGTGACTGCACATCTTCACGTGCATATCTGCATGGAACAGTCCTGTGCTGAATTATGCAACATGCCTCTCTTAAATATTACACCCCCCTTTTCCATAGTGTTCCAAATGCTATCCTTCTTCATCATATTTTTATGGGTCTTCATTCCACGCCATGATTTTGTGACCCAGTTTGACACAAGGCATATAATAGTGTGATTTGCCAAAAGATTAAAATTTAATCAGTTCCCTTATTCATTTACAGTGGTGCCCCACAAGACGAATGCCTCGCAAGACGGAAAACCTGCTAGACGAAAGGGTTTTCCGTTTTTGAGTTGCTTCGCAAGACAAATTTCCCTATGGGCTTGCTTCGCAAGACGAAAACGGCTTGCGAGTCTTGCAATTTTTTTTCGCTCCCCCCCCTTTTCTAAGCCGCTAAGCCGCTAATAGCCTTTTAGCTGCTAAGCCGCTAAGCCTTTAATAGCCGCTAAGCCGCTAAACCGCTAATAGCGCTAATCCGCTAAGCCGCTAATAGCGCTAATCCGCTAAGCCGCTTCGCAAGATGAAAAAACCGCTAGACGAAGAGACTCGCGGAATGGATTACTTTCGTCTTGCGAGGCACCACTGTATTGCATCCCATGACACTTTACTTTATGTGGTCCACTTAGTATCATGTTCAATAATTTCAACAAATAAACAAACATTTTAAAACAAAAATTGTCACCAATACTGATTGCATTAGCTGAGGCAAATTCAAGTCCTTCAATTTAGTGTGACAAAATGTACTCGACAAAGAGGAGCTCTCATTGTCTGAGATGCCTCCCCTTTCTACAGAGGACAAATCTTGCCTCTTACCTGTGTGGAAGAAAAGCCTCCGTATGGATTCTGTGCTTTGGTGAGGGAACGCACAATCTGGGAGGCATATTTGATTTCATCTGTGGACACCTCTGGTTTGGAGAGGTAACTCAAGAGAAAGTAGGCTGTTGTCTCTACATCTGAGAGGGATATGGCCCCATCTACAAAGGAGGAGGAAAGAATGAAGTAGAACATCGTTCAGTAACAGAACATAAAAGTAAGCCAGCCCTACGGCTCCATAATAACCCAAATCCTTCTCCATTATTCCTGAGAATCCAAAGACCCTGATAATTCTGGAGGGTTTATTTTCTTATTTCACAAGAGGGTTTATTTTCTTATTTCACAGATTGAAAAAGACATGAATTGGCATATGTATATGTTCAGAGGGGAAGGGCAGCAAGTGAAGTGCTCAGAATACAGGAACTCAAGAACTCAACAGGTGATGTGAAGGTGCTGGTGAAATCCAGTGGGGGTTTCCAGCACGAATTCCATGTGGACAATCAGATCAAACCTCTTTACAAGCTGAGCTTCTCAGATAGACTAGAGTGAAAAGGCTTGATTACCTATTTCCTCCCAAGGTAAGGGGAAGTGGCCTCACTAAGCCTGGCAGGACAGCTTACTCTATGGTATTAACCCCTTCATGCATTAATTAGACTTAAGCATGTTGTTTTTATGAGGCTGGTTATCCCATAGCACCTTCAGAGGAAAGGGCTAATATTCTGAATGGGGCATCGGAAAAGGAAGCCTTGAAACCAGGCTTGCAAAACAGCAACCTCCAGAACAAAGATTGTACTGAATGAAATAATCCCTCCTACCTGTTTTTTCAGCCTGTTCATCTAAGGTTGTTAAGAGCTGATTCCGTATTTCTGTGTCTCCAGCCAAAGTGAAGACATAAGCTAGCAAAGCCTTGGAATAGCTGCTCTCTGCTGAAGTTAAGTTCTTCTTAAGGCAGGCTAAGGCGTTCTCTACCATGGTATCCTTTAAAGCAATTAAAAAAAAATAAATGACTCAATTAGCTTTCAGCTTAGATATGATTTAATAATATCCTATATGAGGGGCAGGTTTTATATTACCACATCTTATGTAAATGAATTGCATGAAGTATAGGGAAATAAATTGCTGATATGGCAGCAGAAAATTCCACATAATGCTATATTATATTATAGAGCCACAGTTTATAATTAGAAAATTGTTAAACAGGCTGATTGAGTGTTGGCAGTGTTGGAGAGGTGAGCTTCAGGACGCTGAGCAAGAAATTGCTTAAACCCAACAAGCTGACAAGTGGTGCACATTTTTCTTTCCTATTGACCTGAAAATCCCCAGTCATGCATGCTCCTGCACCTTTAACATTCATACGAAGCAGAGAAATAAGCTGGGGTGATTGTAGAGCATGAAGGCCAAATGACCTCTTGCTTAAGGTCACCCAACAAACCATCTTCTAATTTTCAAGTTTTCGGCATAGCCTTCTCAAAATGTAATCAAATTCAGTTAACGGAATAAACATGGTTTAGCACAGGGGTCAACAAACTTTTTCAGCATGGGGCTGATCCACTGTCCCTCATACCTTGTGGGGGGCTGGACTATATTTTGGAAAAAAAATATGAACAAATTCCTATGCCCCACAAATAACCCATAGATGCAATTTTAAATAAAAGCACACATTCTACACATGTAAAAACACAAGGCAGGCCCCACAAATAACCCAGAAATGCATTTTAAATTTGGCTCATGTAAAACCACACTGATTCCCGGACAGTCCGCAGGCTGGCTTTAGAAGGTGATTGGGCCAGATCCAGCCCCTGGGCCTTAGTTTGCCTACCCATGGTTTAGCACAGGCTTCCTCAATCTCAACCCTCCAGATGTTTTTGGCCTACAACTCCCATGATCCATAGCTAGCAAGACCAGTGGTCAGGGATGATGGGAATTGTAGTCTCAAAACATCCGTGGTTTGAGGGCCGTGGTTGAGGAAGCCTGGTTTAGCATGTTATGGGCTTTCAATGCTCACTCAACTATCTAAATGCTAGGAAATGGATGAATCAGTTCAGTTGCATTGATAGCTTCAGTTGCAAAGTGTGCAGTGTGCACAATATACTGTTATGAGTTGCGGGGGTGAGGGGTGGGGTGTCAGTCCGGATGATGCCCTGAGTCCCTTCCAATTTTCAGAATCCTGTATCTGTTATGGTAGAATGCATGACAGCAAGCTTGCCAAACCAATTCCTTTGTCCACCTAATGGCTTTGGCTGACCAGCTAAGCACCATGAGGGGCATAACAAAAGAAGTTACTCTGTGGTGTAGAACAAATGAGTGGGCCCTTCCCTGCCCCTCACCTAACTGCTAAGTAGGAGGACTGTTATGTACTGAGCTGAATCCTAGAACAACAAGATCTAGAATGCAGCAGTCTGATTGGTCCACAAGAGCCACCCAATCCAGCTCCAGGTGGAAGTGAATCAGTGACCTGACTGGCCTGCAGGAGCAGCCAATCAGGCTTCTGGAGGAGGTGAATCCGCAACCTGATTGGCCTACAGGAGCAGCCCGGAATTAGCCAATCACGCAGGGCCCATTGTGTAAATAATGTATATAAAGCTAGACGTTTTGGGGAAAGTTTCATTCATTGCTACTATGAGCTGAATAAAGAGCATGAAATTCACACTCGACTCTGAGTATATTTCAAGGACAAAATAAAATAATAATAATAATAATAATAATAATAATAATAATAATAATAATAATTTATTATTTATACCCTGCCCATCTGGCTGGGTTTCCCCAGCCACTCTGGGCGGCTTCCAATAAAACACTAACATACAATAACCTATTAAACATTAAAAGCTTCCCTAAACAGAGAGACTGATTGGTCCTCAGGAGCCACCCAATCCAGCTCCAGGTGGAAGTGAATCAGCGACCTGACTGGCCTGCAGGAGCAGCCAATCAGCAACCAGAGAGTTCTGTGCGAGTTGCTAGAAACAGACACACAGAGACATGCTTGCTCTGTGCTGCTTCCAAAGCTCACACTAATGTAGAAGCAATATATTTTGGGGTGTTAATGCTCCTCCATCCTAAGCTCAGGTTGTATATATAGGTAAAAAGAACTGTATATCCTAAAGACAGTCCCCGCTGACCTTCATTCCAAGGAATCTGACCTCTGGGCAAGCGCTTGAACCCCAGAAATCTCTTGCTGCATAGAGATTGGGGTGGCATGTATAAATATTTTTAAAGCACACTCAAAGCGCATTCTTTTCCTCGAAGAAATCTGGGCAATTCTAACTCTATCTATCTCTTCTAACTCCAGCAACCCTTAACAAACTACAGGGCCCAGAATTCTTTGAGGTGGGAAATGTCCTTTGAATGTGCACACAGCCCATGTGTCTATTCCAGTAAACACATCTATTCCTTGTTTATAAAGTTCATCCTTTGGATCCTTGGTTAACAATGGACTAATGAGGAAGGCCCAGAACTCTGTGGGGACTTACATTCTTGCCCAGTTCCAGCAATGAGGCAGCAATGTAAGCTGTTAGTGAGAAGTCATCATCCACGCCACCCTAAGAATGGAAGAGAGAAGTCAAGCCAGAGGGCTATGAGAGCCATTTCCTCACAGTTTGGAAAACAATGATCAGGCCTTGAGTATATGACTATTTTAAACATCACTTATAAGCACCAACATGATTCACTCCTGTCTGTGTGAAACTCCCACCTTAAATATCAGGAAAGGTAATTGCAAGGTATCGCTCACGCCCCAAGGGTGTTTATACAAGGAGTGGCCAAAACATTCCATAGTCAGGAGGAATCGGTCATGCAGCACAGGAAGCAGGAGAGAGATCTTGTAAAACTGCATTCATTATAATTTGTTTTCTTTCTGTTAATCGAGATGTTCTGACAAAGGCACCAGAACATACTGGGCCTTGGTTGTTTATCAGCTACTGCTGTTTCACAGGAAGGAAATAGCAAGCTGCCTTCTTCTGCACCAGAGATTCTGCCTGACGGAGAAATGCAATTGCAGGGTGGGAGTGACCCTCAGCCTCCACTGCTGACCTTGCAAGGATGCTGAGAGAGGACAGGCAGCTCCCTTCTTGCACTTCTCAAGACAAAAGACAACAGGAGCATTGCTAACGATTGCTCCTCTGGACCCCTTTATTAAGAGAGCACCAGCATGGTCTAACCTGGGGACGGATTTATGGGCTTATATCAGCTTCCTGTTTCAGGTGTACAGAGATTTTTACTCCAAGTAAAAAAGATGCGGGTGGCGCTGTGGGTTAAACCCCAGAGCCTAGGGCTTGCCGATCAGAAGGTTGGCAGTTTGAATCCCTGCGAGGGGGTGAGCTCCCGTTGCTCGGTCCCAGCACCTGCCAACCTAGCAGTTCGAAAGCATGAAGTGCAAGTAGATAAATAGGTACCGCTGCGGTGGGAAGGTAAACGGCATTTCTTGCGCTCTGTTTTCTATCCCAGTGCTCCGTTGCGCCAGAAGCAGTTCAGTCATGCTGTTCACATGAGCCAGAAAGCTGTGTGTGGACAAACTCCGGCTCCCTTGGCCTGAAAGTGAGATGAGTGCCGCAACCCCCATAGTTGCCTTTGACTGGACTTAACCGTCCTGGGGTTCTTGACCTTGACCTTTTACCCTTTTACCACAAAAATCTGTCATGGCTTTAGCAGCATGTTCAAGAAGCTTCATACACAGGGCATCAGAGGAATCCCTGAGCTAGCTTGTGCAATATGACCAGACCAAGCCAGGGCCATTAAGAAACAAATCAGGACCATTGAGAGCCATTGGCAGTGCAAGAGAACTGCCCCCCTCTTGCCCTGAGGTGTGAACAGAGACTGGGGGTTTGGAAGGTTGCTAGGGTAACTGGGTGTGAGGTGACAGGAAAAGAGAGTTTTTAGCAGGGTGTTCTGGGAAGAAGAAAGAGTGCGATCTATTTTGGGGAGGCTGGCTTGGGGAGATGTCTTGGACTCCATGGCTGCACTGCTGTGGAGAACAAGCCCTCTTGAAGTGACCATACTGTAAGATCTGGTCTCCTTCCATGCAGACGAAAAGTGGAAGTAGGTGGATAAACCATATTTCTTAAAGCTACGAGAGTCTTTGATACGTCTCAGTTCTCCAAAGGAACACAGGCCCTGGAACCCCCTGTAAGTTTGCCACTGCTCAGCAGAGAGGAGGAACCAAACTTTTGTAACAGTATTACGCTGTTATCATAATTCACAGTGCTCTTACCTTCAGGGCATTGTTGAAGAGCCTCCCCACACTTTCAAAGCAGCCGCTGGGAAGTTGGTGCTTCCCCAGCCAGCCTACAGCATCCTGAATGTGCTTCTCATCAACAGAGATATAGGCATTTGCATGGCCGAAGGCCTTAACCACAAAAGCTGTCAGCCTGCAGAGCGGGGAAGGGAGCGGAGCGGGAGAGAAAGTGGAGGAGAAGAATCAGCTCCAGTCTCAGACCCACTCAAGGCAACAGCCACACCTTTGCCCGACTGGCACCAGCTCAGCTTACTCACCATGTATTGCCTTCGGCATCACTCTTCCCAAAGGCACTGTAGGAGCCATCGTCATGTTTGTAGAGCAGCTCGCGTTGGTACCCTACAGGAAACAGGGAAGAATCAGTACTATCAGTTTGGGAATGTGCAATTTAATGAGGCTGGTTTGCTGGATGCAGTGAGTATCAACAACAACAACAACAACAACAATTTTATTATTTCTACCCCGCCCATCTTGCTGGGTTTCCCCAGCCACTCTGGGCAGCTCCCAACAGAATATTAAAAACACAATAAAATATCAAATATTAAAAACTCCCCTAAACAGGGCTGCCTACAGATGTCTTCTAAAAGTCAGATACAGTGGTACCTTGGTATTTGAATGGCTTGGCTCCCGAACGAATCGGCTCCTGAACGTCGCAAACCCAGAAGTGAGTGTTCCGGTTTGCAAACGTTTTTCGGAAGCTGAATGTCTGATGCGGCTTCCGATTGAGTGAAAGAAGCTCCTTCAGCCAATCGGAAGCCATGCCTTGGTTTTTGAACCATTTTGGGCATCAAAACAGACTCCTGGAACAGATTAAGTTTGAGAACCAAGGTACCACTGTAGTTGTTTATTTCCTTGACATCTGATGGGAGGGCATTCCACAGGGTGGGCACCACTATTGAGAAGGCCCTCTGTCTGGTTCCCTGTAACCTCACTTCTCACAGTGAGGAAACTGCCAGAAGGCACAGTAAACAAGGACAGGCACATAGGCCAGCACTCTAAACGCTGCATCACAGTGGCTCTCATTTGTATCCTATCCTTGCAATTAACAGCTGGTGTACATGGGGCTTTTTCTAGAAAAATAGCACCGCTATTCCATCCCCCTTTGCTATCTGCACAGTCCATGCCAGCCCTCTCCTCATTTTTGTGACAGAGAAATGCTCTACTTACCACTCTTTATGTATTCTATTGCCTTCTCTTTGATCTCAGGAGTCACTTGGTTGGTTTTCTCCAGGTATTGGACGACAAACATGTTGGGAACAAATTTTACCATGTTCTGCTCACCACAGCCAAAGGGCATTTGAAGTAGCTGGTCTATATTTTCTAGCGCAGCACCCATAATGTCTCCTGGATGTTGACAAAATGATGGAAGAAAACGTTGTGAGCCCTTTCCCCAAACTCCTGAAGAGAATCTAGGAAAAATCTCCTCTCTGCTAGCAACCTGTGACCTAAAATTCAGAGAACTATGTGCAATAAAATCTGCTTGGATAAGCCCAGCATCTGCACGGCCAGATTTGTCAAGAAGTCCCCATGCATCCAAGGCCTTGTCAGCATCAACATGGGCATCTGATCTGGAATATCCTTTATAGCATGTTTTTGCCTTGGAAGTTGTGTGTGGGACATTACTTTTGTTTAATGTGCATGTGGAGACAACAGACTCTCCTCCAACACTATGCACTTTTATTTAAACATGTGGAGATTATGATCAAGACCCCGGGATTCCTGATTGTGCTGGCTATCCTCTGGCACTTAAAGGAATGTGCACAGGACAGAGCCAGCCCCCAGGCTGCCTCTCTCTCTTATCCATCTTTGTTCTGCGTGGTTTGAATATCGGTAATGGACTCTCATCTCTCATGTGGCCAGAGATGGGGAAGAAATGTGGGGGCAAATTTCCTCACCAATGCAGGAGACGGTAGCTCGGCCAGAGCCCTCCACAACAGCTCCAGGCAGCTTTAGAGAAACCTCGTCATGAACTGGGTCCCCTGAAAGGAGATGAAGAACAGGAATTAATGCAGTTGAATACACTAACCAAGTGGTCATAATCTGCAATTGGACTTGCACACAGCAAAGATGGGACTAGGACCTTGCTAGCTCAGTGAGTCTGTTTTTAGCCACTGTGTTCTCTCAGCTGTCGTTCCACCCCCTCTCCATCCCATCCCGACTCCCCTTGGCAAGCCGAGAGACAGAGTGTGTGTCTTTGGTCTCTTTTGCATCCCGCTACTGCCCTAGGGAAGAGACATGTCTCCAGCCCAATAACAAGCAGAGCAACAGTTCGTCTTCTCTCCAACTTGCGTTCTCTGGGGCCCCATCACAAGCCAAGCTGCCCTGAGCAAGGGATGCAGCCTAAGCACACCTGAAGAGCAGAGGAAGGCATTGTGGGTCTCTTCTTCAAGGACGCCTTCTGGCTGTGGGAGGAAAAGAGAATGGGATGGTGAGTGGGGCTGCTCTCTCAGGGGAATAATCTCCTTCTACCTTCTCTGCCTTTCCCCTGCTCTGTGTAAGAGCTCTCACAATTGCCAGGCCTTCCAAAGGATCACTGCCCCTGGCTGACATCACCTTAGAGATGGAAACAGGGAGGCTGTGCAAAAATCCAAAGATCCTCTCCTGCCCAGCACCCAATGAATACAATTCTCCCCCCCCAAAAAAAAACCTGTTTAGGGGAGACCCAGAGTTCTGAATCAGTTGCTGGCACTTGATAGCTGTGAACCAAAGTTGGACATCAGGGGCTAAAGGCCACATAGACACTGACCTTGACCAGCAGGGATTTGACCACTGTGTCTGACCGGCCTCGTGCAGGTGTGGTGGAGATCTTATTGCCACACAGCTCATGCGTCTCCTCTGCCTCGGCGGTGATCGAGAGATTGACGTGCCCTAGAGGAAGGCAAAATTGGCACAGACCCATGATGAGTGCCAGGAACTCAGGGAGGGGAAGAGGCTGCTTGGGGGCCAGAGCCCCAGTCCAGCCCCACATCCGCCAACATGTCCACCATGCCTTCAGTCTGGAGACAGATGTAAGGGACAGAGGTCGGAGCATAGGGGGTTCTTGAATGGAGATGGACCCCCAACCTCTCCTTTGTAGCCTAGTCCCCAAATCTGCCCTGATGCACAGCTGCCATTAGCAGAAATTGGGGAGGGACACCATCTGGGATGGGGAGGGAACAAACCCATAGCACATGCAGCAGGGGGCACTGTTATTATTTTCCATTCCACTTAATGCCCAGTTGGCTTCCAAACAGAAGAATCCGTTGGTTCTGCCAAACAGAGGGACCCTTGGCAACCTCAACACCGCAAGTCTCCTCCCACCCACTCAGGCGCCTCAACCTCACCCAGCTGAGTCACCGTCACGTTCCAGGAGAAGGTGTGGGCCTCCTCAGCACAGAGGCAGGTGCTGAACTGGCAGGCTGGGCATGGTTTCACGTCCACCTCCTGCGACTCCAGCAGCTTCACTCTCACCTGGGAGATGCAGCAAAATGACCCTCGTGAAGCAGGCAGAGCAGTGAGTCCAAAGCAAGGGGCAAACATTCAGAGAAGAGGCACAGGAGGTGGGCCTATGCCAGAACCAAGAGCCAGACCCCATGCCTAGGGGTGCCCCACATTGGGAAGTTGAGTAGGGCGTAGACTGTTCCCAGTAAGACCTCAGTGAGTGGGGTCTCCTTGAGCTTTGGGGGCACCATATTAACATCTGTGAGGAATGCCACCCCAGATCAGATTGGCTCAACAAAGTTTACAGGAAGACCTCTAAGCCATTTGAAAAAACCCTCGGGACTGGGGGGCGAGGAGGGAATATGCTCTATGGACCTCTTCTGCCATGAAAGGGATGGGGCTGCCTTGTGCTTCCTGTTGTCCACACTTCTGTGGCACATCCAAAGTGAAGCTTCTGCTTCTTCACCCACAGCAAGAAATGCAAGCTGTCCCCTCAACACTGAACACAGAGTGGTGGGGGGAGGAGGGAAAAATACTGACCTGTCCCTTGGGAGAGACAGGTGAGTGCAGGTGTAGGAAGGGCAAGGCCCTGGTGAAGTCCAGCCCCACAATCTCCATCTCTATCTTGTGGGGTTCCCCCCATCCCTTTCTTTCTGGATACACATATAAGGGAAGCTTGTTTGCTTGTTCTCAGTGGTCACTAACCTGGATACATTCCTTCATGTAATTGAAGACAGTGGACTTTAGCAGCAAGGTCTCCCCACGGACCACAGAATACGGCAGGCTCATATCCACAAAAAAAGGCTGGAAGACCCGGAACTTGGCTTGCTGGGCGAGTCCAAAGCCAATGTCAGCCACACAGAAGGCATCAGCGTTCCACTCCGTGATCGTGTCTGGAGCGGTGACCGGGTAAGTTGCTTTCCCCTCCTCGCTGAAGAACAGGAAGAGAGGTCACTCCCTCAGTGACAAGAAAATTGAGTCGTTCACTACTAAGGCAAAACCGATATCACCAGAATATAAGTTTGTTTGGTCAGAGGAGCACACCTCCAAGTATGAGTTTAACCAAGCCTCTAGATCTGTGCTAGGTCTCAGTCAGAATAGAGGAATTTGGAGATGGCAGTATAGGAGTTTATACTCTCTGCCACTGGTGTTTATGAAAATGTTGTGGGCCTCAACAAAAGAGAAACCTTCTTCAGGATATATTACAGAGAGGTCTGCACTCCCGCTGTTGGTAAAGGTAAAGGGACCCCTGACCATTAGGTCCAGTCGTGACCGACTCTGGGGTTGTGGCGCTCATCTCGCTTTATTGGCTGAGGGAGCCGGCATACAGCTTCCAGGTCGTGTGGCCAGCATGACTAAGCCGCATCTGGCGAACCAGAGCACTGCACAGAAACGCCGTTTACCTTCCCGCCGGAGCGATACCTATTTATCTACTTGCACTTTGACGTGCTTTCGAACTGCTAGGTTGGCAGGAGCAGGGACCGAGCAACGGGAGCTCACCCTGTTGCGAGGATTCAAACCGCCGACCTTCTGATCGGCAAGTCCTAGGCTCTGTGGTTTAACCCACAGCGCCACCCACGTCCCACCCAATGTTGGTACAAAATTGCAATCAGTGGGAAGAACAGAACAGTTGCCTATTTATGTGGAATTTTCCACTTTACTAGAGTTCCCCCCCCCGCCCCCTGTGCTCCCGTAGAGCAAGTATATATTGCATGATAATGAGCAGTATAATGACACCATTCGAGCCCCACAAAATTACAAATGCACACCTCTGGTTCGTAAGTGATATAAGCATAAACTTCTGGCACTGGGCAGGATTTCAGAGAAACATTAGAAAGATGCATTTTTGAAATTATTATATAAAACGCCAACGTACAGTACAAAATACAGCCTTAAGATAATGCCAGCTGAGTGGAAGAAGAAGAAGAGCAAAATGTCAAATTGGAGCAAACATCAAGCCTCAGAAAACCCAAATAGATGTTTGTTGCACTTCAACTTTAAAGACCGAGTTTTTGGTGGAAAAAGCTCCAGAGCAACAAAACCAAACAATAGCAAAGGCTTGTACAAGGAGCTTTAGGTTGTGGGTCTGTGCCTGGGAAGCATGGAGCAAAAGGTGAGTGCTAAATGAGTGATGGCCAAGCAAGATACTTCCTGTTCCCACATGACGTTTGGTTCCCTCCCCAGCAGAGTTTTACTTACTTGATAGGGACCAGAGCCCAAACCCAAGTCTCTGGAAAGTATGTCCTGGGTTTGGCTTCCTCTGCTTTCCCGGGGACTGAAGAAAAAGCCTCAGGCACCACTTCACTCCTGGAAGCAACATTAGGCGCACCCGGTGCAATGCCACCTACTCCTCCTCCTTTGCAGAAATCAAAGAAGCAGAAATCAAAGATGGTCAAGCAGGAGAGAACTGGGAATGGAAATCCACCCCATCCTGGAATCTGAAGGTAATATAATAGGGCAATCATTTCCCATGATAAATATTTGCAAATTCCTCCCATAATTATTTCTGTTCACAGATTTGGCATGCTTGCGCTTCTGCAATGCTTCAAAAACCTATACAGCTCTTTAAAAGCATGATCTGTCTCTAGCCAAGGGTTCAATAAAAGGAAAGGTAGATAAAAAGGATGAGTCTTGTTATATTCCACCCTGCCAAAGGGAGGCTCCAGTTGAGAAACTGTCAAATTATGATTGTGATTCTCACCTAAGCTATAGCGAACAGGTGCCATTTCTGGCAATCTACAGGACACTGGCTTCTTCATTTTGGTGTTGGTTATAACTTTCATATTTAATTGCTGTAAAAATCAAAGAGAAAAGTGAGGGATGGCATATGAGAGCAACATGAAATGAAAGAAAAATTCTATGAGGCAAGGTCATTTGAATCTCTGGCAGGGAAATCATTGCAAAATGCTCTGCGTTCCAGTAATGGATGTGTACAAGGTTTGACCCACAATTCCACAGAAATGATTTGAGACTCACACGCTGCATATTACGTTGTGTTACAACATTAATCTCTGCTCAGGTGTCAATCAAGGGAAATAGAGGAGGAGATGAGGTTTATCTGAAAGCTCATTTGGCTCTCATCAAGATCAGCTAGGCAATATTTTTGGCCCTGTTGGCTTCATATCTTTGCCTCAAGGAAAACAATTTCTCTGAAGACTCTGAAATTGACATTTTTAGGTCACTACTTTATATTCCCACGTTACAAGAATGCACATATGGACCACAAAACAGAAGCCCACTCCTCTTTTAAGATTACAAAATGTAGCTCCAGATTTATAGGCACACACGGGCACACATTTCACAGAAACACAGTGGTGTGTTATGCTTCCCACTTCATGTGCATTGTATCATGTCCCCCCCCCCTTGTTCTTTGTGGAACACTATTTATTTATTTATTTATATTTGAATGGCCTATAGACCACTTTTCAGACAAGCTGCCTCTCAAATTCATAAAATCCAAACAGGAAAGGCAGTTGAAAAATTAAAACATCCAATTCTATCCTGCGAACATACAAACCAACAAAATAGCTCATCTAGCTCTAAAACAGCCATCACCACAACAGCCACCACTGGTAATCCAGATTAGCTTCCCAAATTCATGATAAAAAGGGTCATTAAGGCCCATTAAAAATGAGCAATGGCCCTTAATGCTTGCCTGATCTCACTTAGAAACATATTCCATAATTGTGGAGCCACTTCTGAAAAGGCCCTGTTGTGTGTGTCCATCAGCCTAATTATTTGCACAGACTGGCAACTCAAGAAATCTCCAAATAGGATCTTAAGGTATGGGCAGATTGAAACAGGTGCAGGCAGTCCTTAAGAGAACCTGGTCCTCAATCATTAATGGGTTTTAAGGTCATAACCAGGACTTTGAACTTGGCCTGGAAATGCCTTAGTTCAGGGGTCAGCAACCTTTTTCAGCCATGTCCTGGTCCACCGTCCCTCAGACCATGTGGTGGGCCAGACTATATTTTTTGGGGAAAATGAACGAATTCCTATGCCCCACAAATAACCCAGAGATGCATTTTAAATAAAAGCACACATTCTGCTCATGTAAAAACACCAGGCAGGCCTCACAAATAACCCAGAGATAAAAGGTAAAGGTACCCCTGCCCGTACGGGCCAGTCTTGACAGACTCTAGGGTTGTGCGCCCATCTCACTCTATAGGCCGGGGGCCAGCGCTGTCCGAAGACACTTCCAGGTCACGTGGCCAGCGTGACAAGCTGCATCTGGCGAGCCAGCGCAGCACACGGAAACGCCGTTTACCTTCCCACTGGTAAGCGGTCCCTATTTATCTACTTGCACCCGGGGGTGCTTTCGAACTGCTAGGTTGGCAGGCGCTGGGACCGAACAACGAGAGCGCACCCCGTAGCGGGGATTCGAACCGCCGACCTTTCGATCGGCAAGCCCTAGGCGCTGAGGCTTTTACCCACAGTGCCACCCGCGTCCCAACCCAGAGATACATTTTAAATAAAAGGACACATTCTACTCATGTAAAAACTCATGTAAAAACACGCTGATCCGTGGGCTGGATTGAGAAGGCGATTGGGCCGCATCCGGCTCACGGGCCTTAGGCTGCCTACCCCTGCCTTAGTGGCACAATATTCAGCCACTCAGCCTTAACTAGTAGTCAGGCGGTTGCATTCTGCCATAGTTGAGGTTTCTAAACCATCTTCAAAATAAGAGTGCACTGCACTTGTCTAGCCTGGAAGTCACTAGTGCATGGACAACAATTGTAAATTTGGTGCTCTCCAAATAGGGTTACAGCTAGCATAACAGATGACGCTGGTAATAAGGCATCCCTGGCCAACACCATCATATAAGCTTTCCCAAGTAGCACCAACAGCACCTTAGTCTCGTCAAGATTAAGTTCCAATTGTTTACGCTTTTCCAACCTTGTACAGTCTCCAAACACTGATTCATAATTTCAACAGCCCTCCTGGGACAAGCAGGTGGAAACTGGGTTCCATCTACATATTAATGACACTTCAGCCCAAACCTCCAAATGACTTCTCATGTGGATACTGATAAGCTTGGGCAATAGAACAGAACCCCAAGAAATCCCATTGGAATGGAAATCCCCCAACGCCATTTTCTGAGACCAATTCTCTAAGAAGAACTGGAGCTGCTGCAGACTGGACAAGTGGCCCAGAAGGATACCATGGTTGATAGTACTGAAAGCTGCTGAAAGATCCAAGAGAAGCAGGAAAAGTCCTTTTCAGTTCCAAAACTGAGTCTGAAGCCAGACTGGAAATAAGTCTTCAGGAGGACTCCTGAAGTCCACATCCCTGCCCAGGTCTGGCAGATTTCACTAGCCAAGAAGGGCAAGGATCAGCTGGTAGGCTTCATCCCTTCAAGGAAACTATCTACATTCTCAGCATGGACAAGCAGAAAGCATGGCAAACAACATGCTTTCAAGCAACATGACAAGATGATGCACTAGCCTCAACCATCTCCGTCTCTGTTACAATTATATGGCATCCAGATTATATGACATACCTGCAAAATGCAAGCTTTAGAGAGTTCCTGACTCACCAAGTTCTCTTTGCTCCTCAGTTGTTGCTGCGCTGTGCTTATCTATAGATTGGTTTAGTGTGTCATCTGAATCTGGGCTCGTAGTTTAACAGTCCCAAAAAAACCATGAGCTGTAAATCACAGGACAAACCTTGGAAGCTTCTCCTTACAGTGGTGCCTCGCAAGACGAAATTAATTCGTTCCGCGAGTTTTGTCGTCTTGCGATTTTTTTCATCTTGCGAAGCACGGTGTCGGGGAAGTTTTGGAAAAGCTTCAAAAATCACCAAAGTCTTTAAAAACCTCAAAAAAGGCTACCACACCGCGTTCTATGAGTTGCTCCTCGAAGTCAAGTCGCAACTGTATTAACGGTGTTAAGAAAAAGGAAACAAACTTGCAAGACGTTTCCGTCTTGCGAAGCAAGCCCATAGGGAAAATCGTCTTGCGAAGCAGCTCAAAAAACAAAAAAACCCTTTCGTCCTGCGAGTTTTTTGTCTTGCGAGGCATTCGTCTTGCGAGGTACCACTGTATTTAATGATCCTGGGAACCATCAGAACGTGTGCCATTGACAACCCAAAACAAAGGAGGTTTCAGAGAAGACTGGATTAGGAACAGATGGTACTCACTTTGAACAGGCTGTAGGCATCAGCCTGGGTTTGGAACCAGGGGGCCATAATGGACCGTTTTGTCTTTGGACCCTCAGAAGGTAGACAAGGATATGGCTCAAAGTCTTCCAGGTCAAAGTAAAACCCTCTGGAGCCAATCAGACTAGACTCAATATGTTGATACACCTGAAAGCAGAGATTTCTGGATTGAGTTTGAGCTGACCAGTTAACAAGTCCCACAGTTGATATGAACATTTTTTATCCCAAAATGCATAACCTTGAATTTCATTCCATCTTACTCCAGGTCACGCCCATTTAATTTCATTCTTGGGATTAAGATGTGGTATCTGCTGTGTTTATATTCATTCTGGTACCCCTATTAAATACAGAGGAACTTATCTCCACAAAATTGTATTTGAGTTGACAAGTGTTCTTCCTGTACTATAATGTAGCCTGCCTCTTTTTTTTAGGTCAATGGTAGAGGAGGAATAATACTGGAATTAGAATTATTATTATTTTTTTTAAATGTAATTTTTATTAAATTTCTGTTTTACAATTTAAAAACTCATTTAAACAATCTTAAAATATTAATGACTTCCCTTCTTCTCTTTCTATTGATCATTTTGCATATCATAAATCCCTGCATATTTTACAAAAACTAAACCGTTTAGTATTCCATTATTGCATCCATCAAAACTTATCAGGCCTTATCAGAGGCAATAATAGTGGGATTGATTGAGCCTAAGTGGGAAGGATGAGCTCTCTTACTTCCTCTGGGGTCAGTGTTGCATTTTCCTTCAGCGCGACACTTTTGTCCACAGCACGGAGAGAGCACAATGCACCAGGGGCAGCTTCGATTTGCAGGTTGACCTTTGCCCCTGGAAGTTCCTCTGTCTCAGAGAAGCCCAGAGTCACCTGCAGATGGAGACAGATTATCAGATGGAAAACCTGAACTGGAAATCAATAATTTAGAACACCAAAGAGAGAAAAGATGCAGAGGGAAGACTACTATTTATCTCCACTCATTCACTCAGTTTTTATATAGAATCTAGATCAGCCTGGTGCCCTCCTTCCAGATGTTTTTGACTACAGCTCACATCAGCCCCAGGCATTTGGAGGGCAGCAGGTTGCACTGACTGATCTAGATGATGTTTACTGTGAACACTGCATTCCTTTGCATTTATGTTTCCCCACTATTGTCACGTCATCTAGGTTTTCTTTACTTTTACTTTTTAAAAATTTTCACCATAATTACAGTGCTATTTATTCAGGAGTGAAACACACTATTATTTCAGAGGGGTGATCTGTAACGTTGCTGGTGATTATGTGTTACCCTACGTCTTCAACTCCAGTGAAACCCAGCCTAACCACGATCAACAGCATTACAGTCATATCTTGGAAGTCAAATGGAATCCATTCCAGAAGTCCGTTCGACTTCCAAAACGTTCAAAAACCAAAGTGTGGCTTCTGATTGGCTGCAGGAAGCTCCTGCAGCCAATCGGAAGCCACAGAAGCCCCATTGGATGTTCGGCTTCCAAAAATAGTTCGCAAACCGGAACAGTCACTTTTGGGTTTGCGACGTTCGGGAGCCAAAACGTTCGAGAACTAAGCTGTTCGAAAACCAAGGTATGGCTGTACTTAATTTAGGAAGTGTGTGTGTGAAGTTAATATTTGCAGAAATCCAGAGATTGTAAATTTTACCATGTCTGGGAACCGAAGTGCGGAACAATCCTTGTTCATTTTGTCAGTGCTTAAAATACAGTGGTACCTTGGGTTACATACGCTTCAGGTTACAGACTCCGCTAACCCACAAAATAGTGCTTCAGGTTAAGAACTTTGCTTCAGGATGAGAACAGAAATCGTGTTCCGGCGGCGCAGCAGCAGCGGGAGGCCCCATTAGCTAAAGTGGTGCTTCAGGTTAAGAACAGTTTCAGGTTAAGTACGGACCTCCGGAACGAATTAAGTACTTAACCTGAGGTACCACTGTACATAAAACAATGCTCCAGTGTACTGCTGGATTGTTCCACATACATTGATTGCTGTATTTTTAAACGCTGCATCCCATAGAACTCTGTGCATTTCCTATTTGGAATCCACCTTGCAAACACCACCCCAGTGTATTCCTTTCCTTCTTTCTTACAGTGGCAAAGCAGTAGCTGGATGCTCAGAGAATGAGCTTACAATAGAGGCAGAGCAACAGAAGTGGCCAATTGTTGGCCAGAATGGAGCTAGTCAAGGATAGGAGTGGAAGAGGATAAGAAGAGAAGAGTTTGGATTTGATATCCCGCTTTATCACTACCCGAAGGCGTCTCAAAGCGGCTAACATTCTCCTTTCCCTTCTTCCCCCACAACAAACACTCTGTGAGGTGAGTGGGGCTGAGAGACTTCAGAGAAGTGTGACTAGCCCAAGGTCACCCAGCGGCTGCATGTGGAGGAGCGGAGATGCGAACCCCGTTCACCAGATTACGAGTCTACCGCTCTTAACCACTACACCACACTGGAGTGGACTGGAGAGAAGGTGGCGGCAGCTGAGTTTACAGCTCCTGGGACTCTCCTGCCCTTTCCCTCATCTTACGCTGCTCTCTCCAGCCACAGCGATGGACAATGCTCAGGTCACGCTGAGCAGGACTAGCAAAGCACTACGGTATAGCCATGCCCCCCATGCTACACCACTGAACGTCATGCACTATTTTAATGCTTGCCAATGTGTGTGTGTGATTTAAACCATCCCAGTGAGAAAGCAAAATGGGTGCAAATATGGAGAGTGATGGCTCTATCACAGAACTTTCAGCCCATCTGCCTTGAGCCACACATATGCATAACATATATAAAAAAAATAAAAAATTGTCCAGTAGCACCTTAGAGTCCAATTAAATTTGTCCTTGGCATTTGAAGAAGTGTGCATGCACATGAAAGAAATACAAAGAACAAACTTAGTTGGTCTCTAAGGTGCTACTGGACAATTTTTTAATTTTTAAAAATATATTTTGATTGCGTCAGACCAACACGGCTACCTACCTGAGTCTATATAATATGTGTTCCCTTCTTGCCCTGTGCGCCACTTAGCTGTCCCAGGAACTTTATGTACTAACCTTGTGTTTGAAGCACTTCTCTATTCTGAAATTATCCACGTCAGCCGCCACCTCGCCATCCAGAAACACAGCGTACAGCAGAAGCCTGACTGTGGGTGCCAGGTCAGAGCTCGTAGACAAGGTGAGGGAGAAGGTGCCTTTCAGAGCTGGATCAGGGGAAAGGGAGAATGGAGAGGAAGGAGAGAGAAGGAGAGCAACCATGTCTTACACCATGAGAAAAAACATCCCTGTGAATCTCACTTCTGCCAGATGGTGGTAAAGCTAAGAAAATCAAGGAGACCCACCCCAAACGCAGCCAGCCCACCTGCGCATTGCAGGAGTATTCCAACCCTCATGTCTTCAACCTAATAACTGGTTTATTGCCAAGAAGAAATTCCATTCTGCACCACATGGTGAGTTCTAAAATAAACCCGTTTCCATCTGTTTAGGTCCGCCTAGCAGTCCACTTTGGTAATTCACCTTACCTGAAGACACTGACGGTGGATCTGATACCAACTGCTTAAAAACAAAACCTTTAGAATGAGATCTTTGCCAAGTGAAAAACCTCAGGAATCGCTCCTAAGGTTTAATTCTGCTCAGTGTCAGGAAGTTATGTCTAGCACTGCACATGTTCTCCAAGCTGGGGCTGCACCCCTGCTTGTGTCGCTTCACTCACTAACTCTGCACCAAACCCCAACCCTCTCACCAAACCTACTGCCTCTTAAAGGTAAAGGTAAAGGGACCCCTGACCATTAGGTCCAGTCGTGACTGACTCTGGGGTTGCGGCGCTCATCTTGCTTTATTGGCTGAGGGAGCCAGTGTACAGTTTCCAGGTCATGTGGCCACCATGACTAAGCCGCTTCTGGCGAACCAGAGCAGCGCACGCAAACACCGTGTACCTTCCCGCCAGAGCGGTACCTATTTATCTATTTGCACTTTGACGTGCTTTGGAACTGCTAGGTTGGCAGGAGCAGGGACCGAGCAATGGGAGCTCACCCCGTTGTGGGGATTCGAACCGCCGACCATCTGATCGGCAAGTCCTAGGCTCTGTGGTTTAACCCACAGCGCCACCCATGCCTCTTACACCTTGCCAAACATGCTTCCTCTCCTCACACAACCCCCAAAACTACCAACCCCTCCTCTATACCTTGCAAAATCCACCCACCCCCTCTCCTGAGAACTTGCCAAACCACCCCTTCCTACTACCTTTAGAGCTGTTCCAGTGCCCCTGGAATGCCCACTTCTGTCTCCCGCCTCTGTTTCTCTTCTCATACTCCAAAGCTGCTAAGATGGCTCAGCAGCTCTCAAAAGGCTGTGATCACACTGCAGTTTGCAATGCCACCTATTGGAAGCCAAGCAAACTGCTGTGTGATGACAACCTTACCTTTTTATGATATGTAAACAGAAATACACACACACACACAGAGGGACAATTAAAATAGGGAGATTATTTGGGATTTTTCATGTCACTTCAGATCTTCTGCTGTATAATTGTAATGGGCCAAAGAAGAAAGCAGAACATTAGGACTCAGTTCAGACATCAACTCTATGTTTTGTGCTATTGTTTTACTAGATCTCATGCTGCTGGCAATGACTGTTTCTGATATGATACCTTAATTTGAATTTTTATAGTATTTTTAGCATGGTGTTATTATTTTATTCTGCTCTTATCATAGGTTGCCTTGCAGATCTGAAATGGCCTGTTTGAAAGGTGGGTTTGAAATTGAATAATAACTGAAAGAAACACCAGACCAGGCAGATCAGGCGCACCAAGCATGTTCATCTTGATAACGCCTGGTGCTTCCCATGAGGCTTATTTGATGGAACAGCATAGTTCTCCCACTTACTCTCATCCTGGCCAATTGGCACCTGCTTCTTTCCACTGAAGGCAATCTTCCCTTTGGACACAACCTGCAGGGAGACAATATGTTAGGCCAGGGACAAAAGCCAAAGCCAGCCCTCACCTCTTTGGCACTAGAGATACAGAAAAAGGGAGAGGGGAGTGAGATAGGGAAAGACTAGAGTCATGGATTTTGCTGTAGGAAGACCATAGGCTAGCAGTGAGATTTTGAGATATCTTGAGTTCTGAGGGAGAGAAAGATGTGGTCACAGTACAGATACCATGGCAGTTGCATGTCTGATATAGGTGTCTGAAAAGACATTTGTCTTATTCACACAATGCTTTTTTAGAGAGAACATCCAAGGGCCAAATTACTTGTAGCCCAGGAGATATGGGATCAGGATCTCCCAATTTTCTAAGAAGAGGAGGAGGAGGAGGAGGAGAGCACCAGATCAGAGAGGCAGGGAATACTGATAACTATATATTTTCACCAGTATGGCAAATGCAGCTGTGGAAGAAGAAAAATGCTAATTGGGAGAACGGTGCACTGATTGGGGAAATCTCTGTCCCGGCGCCTTAGTCCTAACACCCACCCTTTCCACACCATGAATGGCATTCATTCTATTTTATTGCTTTCAGAGCACACACAATGTTATTTCTGAAGCGCCCCTGCAGAGCTTAGATGGAAGTGAGGTGGTCAAGGAAGAAGTAAGAGAGTTGTAGCAAGACCCAGAGGACAGAAGACGAATGCTGACAGGAATCAACTGGGTCTGGAGGAGAGAACAGAGCTGACCTGGGATGGTCACATGAGTTTTTTCCTCGGCAGCATCTCTGTGTCTGGCAAGCTCCCTGTTTCTTGTTATTGTGATTTTGAAACCCCTATAGACTAGGTGTGCGTGCTAAGAGCAAAATGCCTTTGCTTCTGAAAAGCAACGGGCCTGTTCATATTATACTGATAACACTAATATCAGCCTTACAAGGTTTTAAAAAGTAACCACAACAAATACTCTTAGACAGGGGTCGGCAAGGTTTACCTCACCTGGGCCGGTTCACTCCCGCAGAGATCGCTCCGGGGGCTGGATCGCATCTGTGCAGACGCGATTTCCAGCGCCAGAGAAGTGAGTCCCTGCTCTGCACTGCACTGGTTTAGCACAGCACGCAGGGCCTTGTCGAGCGGGCGGCTCGGTTCAGGGGCAGCTCGTGGGCTGTTTAAATGACCCCCGTGGGCCGCTTGTGGCCCATGGGCCACAGGTTGCCGACCCCTGCTTTTAGATCTCTCTTTTACAATTTAATTTAACCTCAGGTTAGTGGCATCAAACCTTGCCCACTTCCCCTAAATCGTACCTGTCTGCCCCTCCCCAACACACACACACACACACACACACACACACACACACACACACGACACTTATGGCACTTGACACTTTCATATTCTGATGTTCTGGAGAATATATGCAGGTTTGAACTTCACACATGATATTAAAGGTAAAGGTAAAGGGACCCCTGACCATTAGGTCCAGTCGTGGCCGACTTTGGGGTTGCGGCGCTCATCTCGCTTTATTAGCCGAGGGAGCCAGCGTACAGCTTCCGGGTCATGTGGCCAGCATGACTAAGCTGCTTCTGGCAAACCAGAGCAGCGCACGGAAACGCTGTTTACCTTCCTGCCGGAGCAGTACCTATTTATCTACTTGCACTTTGACGTGCTTTCGAACTGCTAGGTTGGCAGGAGCTGGGGCAGAGCAATGGGAGCTCATTCCGTCGCGGGGATTCAAACCACCGACCTTCTGATCGGCAAGCCCTAGACTCTGTGGTTTAACCCACAGTGCCACCCACGTCCCTTACACATGATATTCAATCTGATGCAAATCAAGGGCCACTCCAGCCCAGTAGTATTTTATTGGGGGTGTATTCCTCAGTGTGTTCTTGACACAGTAATGGTGTGTTAAGGATGGTGGATTTATTCTGTTTAGTTTGTTCTGCAATGCTTCCACATTATTGCTGTCTGGAGGGGCTATAGCACAGCAAAAGAACAAACATAAACCCGAACACTGGTGGTATATAAAGTTATGGGGTTTCAGCAGGAAGTTACAGGATGTGCACTGATTGGAAGTGAAGTGGTGTGACTACCCCAAAACTTTCGCAAGTGCAAACAGTATTGGAAATGGGATTGCTTGCAGCCGCCCAAATAGGATCATGAGCATAAATGGTCATGAATGTGCAGTAAAGAGGATGTCTTATTTCTGCCCCTCCCCAAGTTTTCTACTTCTTTCAGGTCATTATTAGTGGCAAAGTGCCCCATCAACATAAGTCTGAGAAAAATCTCTGCTTGAGGAAAAGCTCTTTTTAGCAGTTTTTGTGGGATGTGAAACACAAGAGCAGTCAAGTACAACATCCCTAGAGTGGACATAAAAAGGGGAAGTCTGGACCAGCCAGTTGGAACTTCCTGTTTCCTCCTAGGCTGGGACAGACTTCCTCTACATGTGACCAGAGGTGGGCATGGCCTCACCTATGCAGGTAACAAAATACCTCAGCGGAGGTATTGGCTTCCAGCCAAGAGAGGACAAAGGAGCTGTCTCTTTATGGGATAGATTCCAGGTATATTACTTTTGTAACTTAAGTCTGCCTTCTGGGATCCATCTGTGAACAGAATGAGTGAGTGAGTAAACTCTTTTTATACTTTTATAGAAGATTGTGTCGTGTCTATCTTTTTATGAGGGACTAAAGGGGAAATTACCAAGGATAGTTATTTCAGAGGCTTTAGCGAGTCTGAGCAAACACATCCGCTGTGCAAGTTTAAAAAGGGGAATGTTACTCTGCTAAATTGTAGAAATTGTTAACACAAGTTGAAAAGGATATAATCAAACAATATATCCTCTCCTGCATCCCTGAACATTCCCACAGTTTTCCTGTTAGTCTTCTGTTTTCTCTCTCTCTGCTGAGATTCTTTCCCACCTTCTTTAATATTGTCTCTTCTTCAAGCTTGCATTTTTATTCTTCTTCCTTTTTTTCTTTCCCTCCCCCCCCCCGTACAGGATTTGCTTCTCTTTCTCATATTGCTCCAGGCGTTTCCACCAATTGCTAGACACTCACCAAGTAATAGAAATCTACGTGGTCGGCTTCCGGGCCCAGCTCTTTCCGATCAAGGATGTAATCCACCAGCACTTCCTGGTCTTTTCCACAGGGCAGCTCTTCCTCCACATGCTGGATCTCGAGGAAACTGTTGCTTTCTGAGTAGAAGGGCATCAGCCATACGAAAGCTTCATTCCGTATTGTCTCCAGGAAGTCAAAGGAAATGGCCCCAGGCTGCTTTAAAATAGTGTACCTGCCCTAGAAAGCAAAAAGGGACAGGAGGCGTCAGAAACAAACAATAGGTCAAAGGTCTTTGGTTGGTGACTGAAAGAACCAGATGCACGTCAGAGGTTAAAATACTAAAGAAATTGGAAAGTTAATTGTACTGATGAGTTGTCAATGATGCCATGGGTTAATGATAAAAGGAAAGTGTATTAAGGCTCATTTGCAAAAGTTCCAGCAGGCACTTGCATAGGATAAATAAGCAAAAGTGAAAAGGAACAAAAGAAACCCTTTACCGGGTATTTGTTATTTCAAATTATACGCTGCTAGCAACAACAACGAAATAATTTTTCATATATACACACACACACACACACACACACAAAATACGGTAACAGAGCTTGGATACAAACCAACCATGATAACACCCCAATCCATGCTAAACATCTTAAGAAAACCACAAACTTACAAATTTAGAAGGGGCACAGCTATGAAAGGGTGTGGCTCTGCGCTTCTGAATTTGCCACTACAATGCTACTCCTTTGCTAATATGCTCATGACTCACCCGTAGAGAAACCGAGGTATCTTTCCATTCTGTTGTGTCCAAGGAGAAAGCAACTTCGCCATTCTCATCTGTGCGGTAAGGAAGGTTTGTCTCCACGTCATTGACATCGACAGTAAGATAGACCGTCTCATTCTTGAAGGGTGCGTCGTTGATGGTGCATTTCATCTGCAAGAACAAACTGGGAATTAATGCCATGTTAGTCTCCTCTGATGGCAATTAGGTGGGCTATAAGAAGTAACTGGATTTACTGAAACAACTTTCCTCTTTCTTAAATTGGACAAAATATAAAAATAATTTGTTAAAAGAGGCTCTTTCAAGTAAAGTTGAATTTAATATATGATTAAGTCTGCAGTCCTGTATGCTGTTGCTGGGAAGTCAGTCCCATTTTAACTCAGTGAGGGTGACCTCCAAGCAGACAGATACAGTTTTGCACACTAGGAGGATCTATGAACTAGGTATGCACACATGCCAAAGGCACAAGTCTCTTCACAGAAACAAAAGAGTGGTCTTGGTTCAGAACATTTTCTATAATTTACATCTGACAAATGCTCCTAAAATACATGGCTTTTGGTCATGTAAGCTTGAATATAGAAATTAGCATTTAAACCTCGCTGGACACCCTCCCAGGTGAAATATTTGTTTATTTCCTTATCTCTTTGCTGCCCCCACTCTTCAAACCTTGAGCATCACCTTTAAAAACATCCTCTCTCCAACCTTCCAATCAGATATTGAGCTATTTTACACGACTGAGCTGTCTCATCAGCTGTCTGGCTGAGAGAGAGATTGGGCAAAGCTGTATTTAGGACCTCACCTTTCCAGTGTATGGAAATCCATGCTTATAGAATGGATTGAGATTTAGGAACTGCACGTTTGCTACTCTGGCGGCAACAGAGAAGCCACCGGTTCCTGCGACTTTCACTCCTGAAAAAGAGAGGTGACATCCGGACTCAGCGCAGCTGTGGGAAGTGTGTGACACACACCCACACCCACACACCCACACCAGGGAGGAGTAGAAGCATTGTATATAAAGGATGTGTACACTTTGTGAAGAAATCTATGGCCTGGAGCATGAAAAGCAGTTTGACAGTATATGGGTAAAAATTGTAGGAGAGAGAAGCAACAGTGACCTTACTGTCACTGTTCTTGCAGGAGGAGACTGAGAGGAGATATGATGGCCATCTTCAAATACAGTGGTACCTTGGGTTAAGAACTTAATTCGTTCTGGAGGTCTGTTCTTAACCTGAAACTGTTCTTAACCTGAGGTACCGCTTTAGCTAATGGGGCTTCCTGCCGCCGCTGCATCGCTGCTGTGCAATTTCTGTTCTCATCCTGAAGCAAAGTTCTTAACCCAAGGTACTATTTCTGGGTTAGCGGAGTCTGTAACCTGAAGTGTCTGTAATCTGATGTGTCTGTAATCTGAGGTACCACTGTATCTTAAGGGCCGTCACATGGAGGAGGGAGCATGCTTGTTTTCTCCTGCTCTGGAGGGTAGGACTCAAACCAATGGCTTCAAGTTGCAAGAAAGTAGATACCAACTAAACACTTGGAAAAACTTTGCGTGGACAGGCAGAGTCCCCAGGTTCCGAGCAGCCCCCCCCCGTCATGTGGAATAACGATTCAAGACAACGTGCTATGGGATTAAATTGGCCACAACTTTATTAAATTTCAAATGTAGGTAGGCCTTGGCTCAGGCATTGGGCGTTCTCCCTCCCCAGTCCCCAGCCGGGGACCTAGGGAGCATCAGGATTATCTAGTGTGTGTGTGTGGGGGGATGGGCCGGCTCTGGAGAACATATGTTCAAGCAGAGATAGCCGCCCCCGTTACGCCGCCGCCGCAGGGGAGAGCAATGACGACCTTTCGGCGTACGGTCAAAGCCTCCCTTCAAAAACCCCTTTAACGGGGAACCCTGGTATCGCCACCGCAAAGAGGAAGATGGACAAAAGGATTCCGCCCAAGGCCTGATACCGCCAAAGTTGTGACGTTTTGCTACGGGAAAGGCGAAACCTGCCAATGCAGGGAAATTCCTTTCCGGCCCTTTAACAGCGACCTTAACGTAGCAGCGCCTGCATACCTGTAAGAAAAGTTAACCTGCAAAACCTGTGAAGAAAAGTTAACCTGCAAAATAAGGCATTAACTGAGGGTGGGTAGGGTGGGAGAAGCTCTGGAGCCAAGTGAGGATTCCCAGGTAAGATCCTCCCTCTATTGTGTGGGCAGGTAATCCCTCCCCCACCTGGCCTAATCTCCTTGGCAACGCTTCCCCCCCAGGTGGGATTGGGCAACTGACTGGGGTAGGCGGAGACCTCCAGGTATCCCACCTGAGGGAAGGCAAAACCAAGCCTATGCTGAATGGAGCTGCTCCAGATCCAGGGGCTGCGCACATCCACGCAAAGGTCGCCCCCCCCCCCCGTTTTATGCGGGGAGCGGTCATTCTGACAGTACGAGCTGTTCAGCTGTGGAACAGACTCCCACGAGAGGTGGTGGATTCTCCTTCCTTGAAGGTTTTTAAATAGAGGTTGGATGGCCATCTGTCATGCATGCTTTATCTGAGATTCCTCCATTACAGGGGGTTGGACTAGATGACCGTTGGTGTCCCTTCCAACTTTAAGATTCTATGATTATTATTATATTACTGTTTTTACCCCACCCATCTGACTGGGTTGCCCTAGGCACTCTGGGCAGCTTCCAACATATATAAAAACACAATTAAACATTAAAAAACTTCCCCATTCAGGGCTGCCTTCAGATGGCTCAAGGGTTGGATAGCTCCATACCCTCCAACACTTCTCCAATGAATATAGGGATGTCCTAAAGAAAAGCAGGACATTCTGGGATCAAATCAGAAACTGGGACGACGTCTGTAAATCTGGGACTGTTCCTGGAAAACAGGGACACTTGAAGGATCTGAGGCCCTGAAAATGCACCGCACAGAAGCAATGCCCACCTCCCCCAAATCTACTGTTTAAAAACTGTAAAAATGTCGTGAAAGTAGAAAGGGAGAAAGAGAAGATCAAACAAGAGTATGAGGTCTAAAGGAAGGTTAAAGGTAATGGTAAAGGTACCCCTGACCATTAGGTCCAGTTGTGGCTGACTCTGGGGTTGCGGCACTCATCTTGCTTTATTGGCCGAGGGAGCCAGTGTACAATTTCCAGGTCATGTGGCCAGCATGACTAAGCCGCTTCTGGCGAACCAGAGCAGTGCACGGAAACACCGTGTACCTTCCCGCCAGAGCGGTACCTATTTATCTATTTGCACTTTGACGTGCTTTCGAACTGCTAGGTTGGCAGGAGCTGGGGCAGAGCAACAGGAGCTCACCCCGTCGCGGGGATTCAAACCGCCAACCTTCTGATCGGCAAGTCCTAGGCTCTGTGGTTTAACCCACAGCGCCACCCGCATCCCAAAGGAAGGTTACTAAACATCAAAACCTCTATTTCCCCATTTCTGTACCTGTTCCTTCTTCTTCAAATTCCGCAGAAAGCCGAACAAAATCCGTATAGCCTCTCTCAGGCAGCTTTAAATCGGTTGCATTAATTGTGAAAGAAACATAACCATTCTTGTCTGTCTGAGGAAACAGAGATGAAAAATGATATTTGGAGGCAAAGGCAGCTGGTTAAGGACTCTCATTTTAGAGCCAAGGGCAACAGAATGGCATTTCAGGGCCGGAGTATAGCCACTTGTCTCAGCCCTTCAGTTAGCTTACCTGGCCTGTGTGGTGCATTTGAATTGCATCGAGTTGTCTCACTGGCGTGTCATAAAAAAAGTAAAATGATGTGTCTCGAGTTACATGTAGATCTACTTTCCCACAAACAGGCTTCCCATATGTGTACCTGCAGCAGAAGGTGGGGGAACAGTATCATAAAGTAAACCCCTTAAAGAAAACAGTCAGCTTTAATTTGTCTGGGTGGTGGTGGTGGTGGAAATGGAGCTGGTAGCACCAAAAAAACCAGAGAGACTTCTTGATTGAACAATTTATGGTAGGAAAATCACTTTAGGGCGTGTTGTTCACATTACTGCCTTTGAGCATAGCAAAGTTGCAGTTCTCCAGCACTTTCCTCCCAGCTGTTCACATAAACACGCCTCAAACAGTGTGAGATTTGTTTCTGCTTGTGTAACACACTATAGACATTGACAGGGCAGGGATGTCTTTATCCCATGGGTAGGCAAACCAAGGGCCGTGGGCCGGATCAGGCCCAATTGCCTTCTGGATCCAGCCTGCAGATGGTCCAGGAATCGCCACATGGATTGCCAGCACGGGCTTTCTCTCCCTCTCCCTCACACGCCGGCAGCAGCGGCGCCTCCTCCCTCCCTCCTCCTGGCTTCTCCCTGCCCTGCCTAGAGGAGGAAGGGGCACAAAACAAATGAAATACCATGAAAATCCCTGAAACGAGAAGTAATTGACTAGAAATATTGTCTTATGGAAATAAACTAAATAATAAAAATCAAAAACTTTAAGGGGAAAAATAGAAAAACCTAAAATTGAACAAAGCCTTAACGGGATCGATTTCTAGTCAATTACTTCTCATTTCAGGGATTTTCATGGTATTTCATTTGTTTGGTGCAATTTCTCAGTTCCATGACTGTCTTTTTTCTGCTAGAGGAGGAAGGGGGCTGGGCCTTGTTGGTGCCAGCAGCAGCAGCGCTCGAGCAGTTGCCATTTTAAGCAGCCCCTCTCCAAAGCCCTTTTGCACGCCGCTCATCGTCCCTCCGCCATCGCCACCGCCAGCCCCTGTCGCTCACAAGACACAGGTAAGCAGCCACCGGGGCTCGTGGTGCTCTTCCATCATTTTTTGTCCAACATACAGTCTGGCCCCCCACAAGGTCTGAGGGACAGTGGACTGGACCCCTGCTGAAAAAGTTTGCTGACCCCTGCTTTATCCCTATAAAAAGGTGTTTTCATGTCTTGGCTACAGATGAGCTAGGAAAGGCTTCAGGGTTTCCAAGCTGAGTTGAGAAACAACACATCAGCCATTTTATCACAGCAAAGCTCATGCATTTTGGATACGGTAAATGAAAGAGTGGACCAGCCTTAGGGAGAGATTTCCCCTGTGAATTCACACTGAAGGAAAGAACACCTGATCCATAGGTGCCGATTCCCTGGGGCCTTGGGTGTCTGAGCACCCACAAAATTCCCCATGAAGGGCCGGGCACCCACAAATTTTGGTGCCAGGGCCAAGCACGCTGCATGGCACCCACAGCCCTGGGCACCCACAGTCGTGGGGCCAAGCTGGAACTCCTGACCTGATCCCACACTGTCTGAGAAAAGACTGGAGGCAGGCATGCCAGAACAATCCTTTTATACCACCCAGAGACTTTCTGAAGGGAATGAAAATTTCACTAGTCGTTATAGCTTTTCGACTCCACAGTTGTGGCAGAATCATTCCCAATAATGTTTCACATGCAGATGCAAAGATTACTTGATGGCCTGTTGTGGAGAAATGCAGGGAATGTGGAAAGTATGTGTATGAGGGAGCAGGGAGGGAAGAAGTGGTGCTTGACTTTTTCTGCAAAGTGACAGGAAAGGAAAAGAAGCTTTCTGGACAGACAGACAGACAAACAAAAAACTAGACCATAATTGATAGGTCACTGGAAGGGAAAGAGAGAAAAAGGTGAAAGGAAAGAAGCCGGACTGGAACAAACAGATTTGCTTTACCAAATACCTCAGGTGCTTGGAATATCCTTTTTTTCGTCTGCAATTTAGTCCTCCAGAAACAGAGCAGGGGAAAAGGACACAGTTCTGATGCCCGCCTATTCTGTCCTCATTATTGGGGATGAAATATTCTCCATCAACCATTGGCATGGTCTTTGAGGACACACAAGATTTTGCTTACCTGCCAAGCACTTTGACTTGAACTTCTTCATCTGCTCTGGTGACAAGTTGCGGAAGTTCAAACAGCACTTCATATTTAGGCAGCACTGCAATGGAAAGAAGAAGAAGAAGAAGAAGAAGAAGAAGAAGAAGAAGAAGAGCAGTAAGGGATGCTTTAAAAAGAAGAAGAAGAAGAATTGGAATAGCAGATTGCTAAAAACACCAAGACCAATAGTTCTGGGGTAATTGCATTTGGATTAAAAGATACGAGAGGAGAACGTTAACTCCAGCAAGTGCTGCTGTCTGGTCAGATTTTGCTTCTGCAGCGTATTTTGATTTTAAAAGCAAATTAACAAAGCTCCAAACCAGAAGAGATCCTCTGTATGGATCTTGCATATCATATCTTGCTTGGCCCTAAACTGAACTTAAAATGCACACACCTATAGATGTAGGTGCTTTAATTTAGCGGGTGGGTGGAAGGAAAAGGAGGCATTGTTTTGCCTTCCTTCAGGGTCATTTTTTAGCATTATATTATCATAGCCAGCTGGCGATGCAATAAGGTTTTGACCTAACTTTGATCTCCTCGTTTTTTCTCTGTCGCATGTGGGATGGTTGCAAAGTGACAGGTGTCAAATTAGTATGCATTTCTTCACCAACTGTGTTCACTGGGACATTGCATGAGATGCATTTGTGAGCCAGTACAGTGCTTAGAGTGTTTGATAAGGACCAAGGATACCAGAGTTGAACCCGCCCCAAACTCAGCCATGGGTGGGTGACTTTGGACCAATTGTCGCCTCTCAGCCTAACCTACCTCACAAGAGTATACAGTCATACCTCGGGTTGAATATGCTTCATGTTGAGCGCATTTGAGTTGCACTCCACGGCAACCCAGAAGTAACGGAGTGCGTTACTTCCGAGTTTCGCTGCTCGTGCATGCGCAGATGCTCAAAATGATGCCACGCGCATACACAGAAGCGACGAAAAGCAACGTGCGCGTGCGCAGACATGCCGTCGCTAGTTACATTTGCTTCTGGATGCGAACAGGGCTCCGGAACGGATCCCATTCGTATCCAGAGATACCACTGTATATGCTACCTTGAACTCATTGAAGGAAAGGTAGGATATAAATGTAGCTCTCTCTCTCTCTCTCTCTCTCTCTCTCTCTCTCTCTCTCTCTCTCTCTCAAATCAGCACCTCACATTTCTATCTCCTCCCAGATCTTTTCTCTAGAGAACATCACTGCTGCATTTTGTTCCAGGAAAGACAGCAACATATTGAAGAGCTAGTAACTTTGCCATTCACAACGTCTAGACAGAATTAGCATGGGGAATGAGTGTGTGCACAAGGCAACACAAGCAGGAGCCCCCCTGACCCCCCCCTCCACAGTTGTATAGTAAGCCCGCAACTTATGGCGGGGGTTATGTTCCAGTGATCAGCCCCAAACCAAAATCGCATCTAGTCAAAATACATTGGGTTCAATGGTGGGTGGGATCGCCAAAGTCTCTCCCCCCCCCGAACACCTGCCCCCTTTCTGCTCCCCCCCCCATTTTATTTTTTTGCCAAGCACATAAAGCTGGATGTGCAAAAGCTAAATGTGTGTAAGTTGCAGGCTTACTGTACAGGCATGAGTCTTTTCTGCAGATGACCTAATGATCAACGTGTAGAGATCCCTGCTGTTGTGTTTGCCTTCTGCATTTTGAAAAGCTGAAAACGGCAGTATTGAAAGGGACTTCAGGGCAGGCAAATCTCTCTTCCTTTCAAAAGCGCCAAGTTCACGCACATCGGAAGGAAGCCATGAGGCCTGATGTGGCCCTCCACCAGCATGGGGAGGCCAGGCGGGGCCTGCTACCACAGCAGATGGCCCCATGTATATGGGCAATCTATCCGGAAGATATTTGTATTCCGAGGAGTTGCTGATACGGATGACGTTATGGGCGCCCTGCCAGCCAGCTGTTGACCTTTCTTCCAAGTAGCTTCTAATTCCTGCCACACATCTCGGAGAGCAGTCAGCAAAAACCATCCAAGCCCTGCCCCGCTTTCTCTCCCATTCCTGCTGCCTCCAAGCATTTAAGCATGGCATTAGGAATTGGCCCTCCAAACTCAGCTATCTCGGCTTCCCAAGACACCGGCGGGGTTAGCTGGTTCAAGACTTGAGCCACTGGCCCCCAAGCATCTGTGCTAGGCCAACCACAGATGTGGCTCTGACTACCCTTTCCTTGCTTAGAGTAATTTCTTCTCCCCCAAAAGGGCATTACTTCTGAATCCTGCCGACATGGGGCCTTCCGCCACAGCAGGGAGGGACGATGGCCCCCTCTGCTGCTGTGGGGAGGCCCGACGGGGGCTCAGCCACTCAAGATTGGAAGGACTTAGGCCCATCCCCACATACTTTGGGGTAGGGCTGAGCTGTCCTCAGCCCCATAGACTTGGAACCTAACAATAACAATAACAATTTATTATTTATATGCTACCCATCTGACTGGGTTGCCCCAGCCACTCTGGGCGTCTCCCCACAAAGTATTAAAAGCACAACAAAACATCAACCATTAAAAACTTCCCTGAACATATGCTTCCTTTTATTCTTAGAACGATTCTCACAAGCCATGTGGTCTTCCCCAGAAACTTACCATATTCCTCCACAGTGAATGCTTTCCTATTTCTGTAGTCCTCTCCCATTTTGAAGGTATACGATCCCAGGGCCGCTTCCGAGGCCAGAGGGAAAGACAGATCCACAATGCCATGGTGAGGCTTCACGTCTACCCATTGGCCTATTCGGTTCCCATTAGGATCCTGGGATAAGACCAAAAGGACTGTGAGGTTCGTTTGCTTGGCTGCAGCAATAGCAATGTTCACATAACCAGATGAACCACATCCTGAAGGAGGCTGGGTTATCCCAAGAAATGCTCTTGCCTGAGCTCCCGTCCCTGCAAACCGTGAGCAGGAGCTGACTAGACTGGCAGTACAGTCATACCTTTGTTCTCGTACAGAATCCGTTCCAGAAGTCCGTTTGACTTCCGGAAATGTTCGAAAACCAAAGTGCGTCTTCCGATTGGCTGCAGGAGCTTCCTGCACTCAACTGGAAGCTGCAGAAGCTGTGGCGGACTTTTGGGTTCCAAAGAATGTTCGCAAACTGGAACACTCACTTCTGGGTTTGCAGCATTCAAGAGCCAAAACGTTTGAGTTGCAAGGCGTTCGACAACCAAGGTATGACTGTAGAGTCAACAAAGATGACAGGACAGTCCTCTATGGCAGCAGTCTTCAACTTTTTCCAACCTGAGACCCACCTTAGTCCTAAGCTGCATTTGGGGTAGGGATAAAGGAATCCTCTCAGTTTCTAACTCTCCCCGATCTTTAGTTCTTGACATTTTCACATTAGATGATGGGGATGATTTTAAAGCCCTTGTGGAAATTTATCAGCATCTTGGTGCAAGTTTCTCCACACATGCACACTTTGGCAAAGCAATTTCTCCTAACGGAATGGATTTGTCTCCATTTGCACCCTTTGGCGTAGCCCAGGGGTGCCAGAGAGAGGCAGCTGCCCCCCAATCAATAAAAATAAATAAAAATGCATAGCTCAGTTTCTTCCCTCCCCTAACAAAAATCCTGGCTACACCCATGTCTGACCATATACTTGTTGTACAAAATTGGGGGTGGCCTTTACAGCCCAACTCCCCAAGGGGCTCAGAGTCCCTAAGTCCAGAGAAGAAGGCATGGAGGCTATAACCAGTAGAAGAAAAGCAAGGCAGATATTTATTTTTTCTGTTGCAATGGAGTCCCCCTACCCCTGTATAACACATTCAAAACAGTATCATGCCACTATGGCTTCCCCCAAGGAATCCTGGGAACATTTGTTAAGGGTGCTGAGAGTCCTTATGAGATCCCCTTATTCCCCTCGCAGAGCTTCCATCTTTGTCTTGCAGCCAAAAGAGACAGATTTCTTTCTCTTCCCTTCTGCCTTGGTCCCTCCCCTTCCTCCTGCTGCCACAGCTGAATTCACGCTAATAATATGCATGTATGATGCAGGTGTGCTGTATTTGCATTTCAAATGACGCTTCCACGCTTACCAATGGAATCTTCCCTTGAAAACCAAAAAGCGGCTTTGGGGAGGTGTTTTCTTTTATTGGAACTTGGCAGGGTGACAAAGTTAAATCCCCCACTCCCCGCCTCCATCCTCACAGTCCTGAGGCTGCCATTTATATAGTAAAAATGTACATTTTGATTGCATTCAGGCAATTGACATCACATTTAGTTTGCAATAGTTTGGGGGCTAATTCAGAAAGGCAATTGGCATCTTCTTGTGGCGCTTCTCATATTGCTTTAGCAGTTGCTGGCAGGTGTTTGGGTGAATGCAGGCAACCGTTGACCAAATAGTTATTAACATTTACCACAGTGGGGGCACATAACCTTCTGTTGAGTCTTACAACAGGTTGAGACTAATTCCGCTATTGGATTGCATCCCATGAATAGGAGAATGCAGAAGTACAGGTGTATGGCTCAGTTCTCATAATTTGGCAGGGAAATATAGACAACCGGCTTATCATGTGGATATCTATGCATGGTGATGTCAGGGACTGGACTGAGGAGGAATGGTGGGGATCGCCTCCCCTTCCTGAACTGTTATGTACTGAAGTTCTCACCCTGTGCCAGCAGGGGTATACTGTAGATAGTTATGCAAATGAAGGATCGAAAGTGACGTTCAGTGATTGGATAGTTTTAGAAAGTTGCTACAGTAACGTTGTACTAGAGCTCTATATAAGCAGGCTGACTGAGCCCTTCAGCTCAGTTCTGTTCTGGCCTCTGAATAAACAAGAGCTGTTTGAAGAATTGCTGTGTCGTCTGATATGTTCACCCACAACGTAACATGAACGTTCCCGAGAAGAGAAGGACAGTATAGATTTGCAACAGTGGTTTGTGGAAGGGGCTGCAGAGGGGAGAAGCTGGGAAATATTGGGAGAGGAACAGCAGGAAGAAGAAGAAGCACCAGGGGAGAGACAGCTGACAGACTCAGTGTCTTTGGAAAGCATTCCTGACCCCCCTTCTCCCAGGACCTGGCGTGCATTGAGAGTAGTAGAACAGAAAGCTCAGAGGCAGAAAGCACAGATTAGCCAGAGCAGGGATGACGTAGGATAAGGGAGACTGAGGGGGTGGGACTTGGAGCAACACCATTATCTAAGAAAGACCGTATTCCTGCATCTCTCTCTCTGTGAATATTGACTAAACTACTTGGTAAGAACTCTTCTTGTTTATCTGCTTCTTGACTGCCACCGTGGGAGGGATAGGATTCCCTGTAGCCTAACAGGTGGTAAGTACTTAATAAATGACAATATTCATAGAAAGGGGCAGCTTAGACCTACATTTCACACCCACTGCTCTTTGATGGTATGCCTACTTAAGTTCAAGCCCAAAGCAAATCTATTTTAACAAGAGCAACTCACAGAAGGGACCATTGGGGTTGTTTTCCCTGTCTAGCAGCCTCTCCAAGGCAAAACTATAGTTCCCAGGTTTACAATCGCAACCACATTACTTTAAATGTGTAGTGTAGACATGCCCTGATGTTCAGGTGGTCTCAAAGGACAGGATGGGAACAGAAGGAAAACATCACAACCAATCCTAGTTACCGGTACTTACTCTCAGCTCTAGCAAAGGGATCTGCAAATGACAAGAGAGAGGGACAACGTCAGTGTCAATGAGAAACAGAGCAGCTTCCAAGTCCCCCAGCATTCTGTAAAACCAGCCAAGGAGATGACAGTTCTGTCCTGCCTGCACTCTGACATTACTAGCAGCGTGATAAGATAGCAATTGCAACCAATCTGTGGGCTATAGGAAATGAGGCTGGGTCAGCTGTTTGGCTTGCTTGCCAATCTTCTGCCAAAGAATCAGAATTCTAGAATTCCAATTCTAGAATTGGAAGGGACCCTAAGGGTCATCTAGGGTCACCTGCAATGGAAGAATCTCAGCTAAAGCATCCATAACATATGGCCATCCAAACTCTGCTTAAAAACCTACAAGGAAGGAGAGTCCACCACCGCCCAAGGGAGACCGTACCTGCCCCTACAGACCTACATATGTGGGAACATCTGTTCTAGCACCAGCCCCCATCATGCTGATATTGATCATGTGACCACTAGAGGGCATGTAAAGAAAGGGTTCTGGTTGGTGGATGCACCACACAAGTCCCACTATCCGAACTCAGGAAATCCTTTTTTAGGCAAGCGTTCACATAACAAGTTGGTGATTTGATTCCTATGGGGAAATTTCCAATGCGTGAAATATTGACCCCAAAATGAAAGGGGAAAATAGGAAAAACCCTTGGAAACCTTGCAAAAGATAAAGAAGGAAGGGGGGGATCTTTCCCCTTCGTTCCACCATGGTTTATGATGAAACGGCTGTCGTGAACCAGCAAAACACAAAAAAGTAAGGCTTGTTTAAGGCTGCTTATTTGTTTACAGCACCACATGCAGGTCTGGCTGTTCAGATATCTCAGGGGTGGCCAACTCTCAAGAGACTGTGATCTACTCACAGAGTTAAAAACTGGCAGTGATCAGAATGAGGGGGTTCAGGTCAAAGTTATTTAGCTTTTTTTAGGGAGGAGGAAAGCCTCATTTTTGGCGGGGTGCAAAAATGTTGACCTTGTTTTAGCTTTTTTGGGGGGTGCCAGTGATCTACCACAGACATCCAGTGATCTACCACAGACATCCAGTGATCTACCGGTGGATCACAATCTACCTGTTGGACGTGCCTGAGATATCTGAATCTGCAGTTTGTATAGTGAAGTTTGTGTACTAATTCCTCATGTTTCATCACCACTGCAATGCTCCTCAGTGCATTTTAATACAGAGCTAATGTCCCGCAGAAACTCTGGGCCCAATTCACAAGCGAATGGAAGCATGAGAAACTCCTAAAGATGTTCCCCCACTTGAGAAATAGCAAAGTATTTGTCTCTGGGTCCAGTAAGGAGACCTTCCCGGGCTTATGACATTTTGAGGAATTGATAGTCTGTGATCATAATAAGAGACCAATACTTACAGATTTATTGCGGACCTTAAATTGTTCATCAAGCTGCACAATTCGAAGTTTTACTGAAGGGGGAAAACAAACAAACAGAGAGATTATTCATTTCTGGTTTTTGTTGTTGCTCCCACATACTTCCTTCATGTTGTTGCATTTTAAAACCAAGGACTAGATTTCCACCCCCTGCTGAATTAGCAAGGCAAATTGTTGATGTCAACTTATTATTGTATGCAGATCTGTAGAGCATCTGGGCTCTTGAAAGGCACTCGGCTTTGGTTTAATAGCTTAGTTCTTGGAACACTGAGTTTGCTTATTTGATTCCTATTTGCCGGGAACACCGTTCCATCCCCAAAGATGGGACAGAAGCTGCAGTCATCCTCCCGGTTCCATGGCCACTCCGATACCCACCTCTCTCTCCAGGCTTGTAAAAGGGCTTGTCTAGATCCATCAGGTTAATTGTGGGAGAGCTCTTGACCTGCACCTTCTTTGAACCCTTAAAGCTCACTCTGTCACCCTGTAGGACTAGGATGTGAACACGGGCCATTTCTCCTTCCTTCACAGTGCCAAAGAGAAAAGCAAAACAGGTTCTAGCAGGAGGACCGAGAACAGAATAGTATTTTGCAGTAGAGAGGGTATGTCTCAAAAACTGCCCCTTGCTCTTCTACTAACTTCGCTCTCCCTTAGGGATCAGGGAGTCAGACCACACACACACACACACACACACACACACACACACACACACTCTTCCATTTCTTACTCCCCCTCCCAATAGATATACATCCCCTTCTCTCTCTTTGCATGTCTTGGTTTTCTCTTTCATCCATGTTCTCTCAGTACAGTTCCACCTCCACCCTCTTCTCTTTTCCCTTCTCTTCTCTTCCTCTTAAGTCATTCCCCCCTTCCTCTCTAATTTAAATTCTCCCAGTGCCAAGGGTGTATGAAAGAAAGGGAATGATTGGGAAATGCAAGACTTACCAATGGAATGTAGTAGCTCTCTGTTTTCTGGGCAACAAAGGCTGGTACCTGAAGAGGGCAAGATGGAGGTGTGGAAATGTTAAGGATAGTAGGAAATGATATACTGAATAAATATTATCATTCCTTCACTCACGCTACTGAGTGATGTAGCAGAGCAGATTCCCCTCAATATTGTTGTTGTTTAGTCGTTTAGTCGTGACCGACTCTTCGTGACCCCATGGACCAGAGCACGCCAGGCACTTCTGTCTTCCACTGCCTCCTGCAGTTTAGTCAAACTCATGCTGGTAGCTTCGAGAACACTGTCCAACCATCTTGTCCTCTGTCGTCCCCTTCTCCTTGTGCCCTCCATCTTTCCCAACATCAGGGTCTTTTCCAGGGAGTCTTCTCTTCTCATGAGGTGGCCAAAGTATTGGAGTCTCAGCTTCAGGATCTGTCCTTCCAGTGAGCACTCAGGGCTGATTTCCTTCAGAATGGATAGGTTTGATCTTCTTGCAGTCCATGGGACTCTCAAGAGTCTCCTCCAGCACCATAATTCAAAAGCATCAATTCTTCGGTGATCAGCCTTCTTTATGGTCCAGATCTCACTTCCATACTTCACTACTGGGAAAACCATAGCTTTAACTTATACGGACCCCTCAATATAGCAGGAAGCTAATTTGCAGATTCGTTTGAATCTTTTTAGTTAAGTAATCCAATCTGGTTTGCCCAGATGGATTATTCCTGGTGTCCCCTTTTATCCCTCATAAAAGAATAAAGAGACGAGTCTTTCCTTTAAAAGTAACAAGAAGTTTACTCACATTTCAGTTCACGATTTGATCCCTGAAAGGCAGGCTTTACTTAGTAGTTACATAACAAAGTCTGAGTTTGTCTCATAGGGAGATTGAGCTCATGTGCTGCTGGCTGAGAGCCAGCAGACAGCAAAATTACATTAAGAGAACAAAATGGCTGCAGGAGAGCAGCATGGCAGCAAGAGATCAGCAAGCAAGAGATCAGCATCAAGAGAGAGAAAATGGCTGCATGACTCGGCTCTTTTATGGAGTCAGCCAGAGCAATGCCCATCTCCCAGATCACATGCAGGGGGAGGATGCTCCAGACCAGTGGAACAGGAAGTTATACTGACTGGAGTAACATCCCCTTGCCTGTGTCCACTCTAGGGAAATAAGGAGTGTTGCACTTGACTTCCAATGGATTATATCCCATAGGAGGGATGGAAGAAAAGGTGTTAAGTACAACAAAGGTAAGAGATTAAAGCAGAAAACATATGAGAAGCATCTGTGAAAACTGGGTATATTTAACCTATAAAGATGATTTAGTAGAGGAACCATTGGTTTTTACCATGGGCATGGAATACATTTTAGCTATAGAGGAGTTTGGCCATCTAGTCCTGGGCTCAGTTGAGGCCATTGGCTTCATCCATAAATCTATCTCTGCTCCCCACCCCACCATCATTCCTAGACCCATTCCCACACCCGCCTCTTCACCAGCTCTGCCTGGGAATTTTGCTCCAGCTGTACGTAATGCTCTCTGTAAAGGATGTGGTCTTTAATGTTCTGGACCGCCTGTGTATAAAATGGGAATGCATATTTTTGCCTGTCTGCTGGTGCCCTGAAGTTCATAAAACCAAGGCATAGGTGTCCACCATTGCTGATGTGCCTAAGTGCACATTTATTTATTTCCAAAGACAGGAAATCTGAAAACTTCTCTGAGCAGGTGTTCCAAGGGGAGGAGCACATGCTTGACAAGGAAGGTCTAGGAAGTGAGTAGATCAGGTCTCAGGTAACATGCAGGACTTTTTGGTGAGCTTGGGAGGAAGGCTTCAAGGGACAAAGGCCTACCTATGAACAAGGAATCCTGCTAAGAGCCTAGTGAATTTAGAGACTCTTTTCAACTAGAGCAAGTGGGTTGCATTTAACCAATTTTAATTTGTTTTCGCTCCAAAGGGAATACAGTGCAACCTCGGGGTGCGAACAGGATCCGTTCCAGAGCCCCGTTCGCATCCTGAACGCAATGTAAGCCGCGACGGCGCGTCTGCATGTGCGCGGGTCATGTTTTGCCGCTTCTGCGCATGCATGTAAGATCATTTTGAGCGTCTGCGCATGTGCGAGCAGCAAAACCCGGAAGTAACGCACTCCATTACTTCCGGGTTGCCGCGGAGTGCAACTGAAACGTGCTCAATCCGAAGCACATTCAACCCGAGGTATGACTGTATTCCAGGTTGCTGTAATTTCTCTGTAACATTTGCATGTTTTATACTTCATCGCTTCCTGCTGCTCCCATTCATCCTATACACTATTTTCCTGTTCCCGTGTGGTCTTTGATTATTCCAAAGACTCTCAACACTTGCAGTTTTACTATCACCCTACCTAAGGAGGCTTCTGAGAGACCCCTGGGAAATTTTGTAGGCTGTTTGGTAAGGGGCAGCCTGGCAAATAATTGATCTCTTAATCTCTTATTGGCAGTGAGTACAAGAGAGGGGCATGCCCTATGGTGGCTAGGTATCCCTTCCGCAGGTGGCCCAGGGTGTAGGGTGGATTAGACACAGCTGTCCCATTCTCTGACTTTATTTATATTGATATTGTGTTTATATATTGATATATATGCATTTTTTATTTTAATGCAAATCATTTGACATAGTTTTTTATTGCACTTATTATGCTTGTATATATTTATGCATTTTTACTTATTTATTGTATTTTATCTTTTGTAAGAGACACAGCTGGCACTGTGGGTTAAACCACAGAGCCTAGGACTTGCCGATCAAAAGGTCGGCAGTTCGAATCCCCACGACAGGGTGAGCTCCTGTTGCTCGGTCCCTGCTCCTGCCAACCTAGCAGTTTGAAAGCATATCAAAGTGCAAGTAGATAAATCCAGCGGGAAGGTAAACGGCGTTTCTGTGCACTGCTCTGGTTCGCCAGAGCAGTCCAGTCGTGGCCGCAACCCCAGAGTCAGCCACGACTGGACCTAATGGTCAGGGGTCCCTTTACCTTTACCTTATCTATTGTAAACCACTTTGAGATCTTTGGCTAGTAAGCGGTCTACAAATGGAAATAATAATAATAATAATAATAATAATAATGCTATTCCCAACAGCCTTCACATGGTAGCTCATGACTATGATGCACAAGCAAGATAATGTGAAACAAACTACACACGTGAAATGGATTTTATATTTATAAGATGTAACTGTTTGTAAGGAGGAAAAAGCCGTTGACTGGAAGAGTGGCAAGTGAAGCATGACAACTGGACATTAAATAAGAAATGATGCAGCTACGGGAGGAAATGATCGACATATGTTTGCTACAGGAGCAGGAAACCTGATTTTAAGAAATTGTATTAAATTTAAGTAATTCGGTTTGATTTGTAATAATTTGGAAAATTAATAAAAAGAATTTGAAAAACAAAATGTGAAAGAGAGCTCCCTTTGTTGCAGGGCTGTGGCCATGCAGATATCACTAGGCTACAACTTCCATCATCCTTGATCATTATCCATACTAATTGGGGCAGACGGGAGCTGGAAGCCATTTTGTTGCTTGCAATATATGAAACTTGCCTGGAAGCTGGTGCATTCATAAGTCCCTGGTTTCTCCACATCCTTCTCGAGCAGGGTGCGGTTCTGCAACATCATCTCTAATGTTATTTTCAGGTGGACTGTCTCTGGGAGGTTGCTCAGAAGCACACAGAACTCTTCAGTATCCGGATGGTGAATGACTGCCGGGAAGGTCAATAGATAGTGGCTGAAAGAGAAGATGAAAGGACCATTGAAGTCGCTTTTGGCCTTTAGAGAAGCAACTAAAAGGACGCTCACCTGTTGCTTTCTGGGGCAGGGATGGTCAGCTGGCAGCCTGCAAATCACATTCATATGCCTGTTAGATTTTAATTGGCTATACAAAGCCATACAAAGCTATACAAAGAAGAAGCTTGTTACCTGGAATACACTTGGGAAATGAGAAGCTACTGTTGGGGGACCCCAAGGGCCCCAAAATGTGATAATGTGGACCCCCGAGTGTGACTGTTAAAAGGGAACTTATAGTATTTAGATCCCATCCTTCCCAGGAGGAGCCCAGAACAGCAAACTCATCCATAAAATAATATAGTTTTAAAAACCAGTTTTTTAAAAAAATCTTCTAAAAGCACTTAACATTTTCTTTAACAGTTAAGAACTTAAAGAAAAAAAACTACACATATACAACCACTGACTCTCACAGCTAATAATATCACAGTGGGCAAATCTTTCAGCCACCATATGCCTAGGGAATGTTTTTAGATTCTTCCTGAAGGTTAAGAATGAGCAAGACTAGAGAGGGCATTCCACAAAGTGAGAACCACCACCAGGAGGGAACTTATAGTAGCCGATCGCTTTGAGGCTCACTGGAAGGACAGATCGTGAAGCTGAGGCTCCAATACTTTGGCCACCTCATGAGAAGAGAAGACTCCCTGGAAAAGACCCTGGTGTTGGGAAAGATGGAGGGCACAAGGAGAAGGGGACGACAGAGGACGAAATGGTTGGACAGTGTTCTCGAAGCTACAAACATGAGTCTGACCAAACTGCGGGAGGCAGTGGAAGACACAGGCACTGGTGTGCTCTGGTCCATGGGGTCACGAAGAGTCGGACACGACTAAATGACTAAACAACAACATCGCTTTGAGGAACTGCTGAGAATCCCTTTCACTTTGCAAGCGCCCATCGCCCCAATGGGGCAGAGAACAGCTAAAATCCTTGTCACGCTAGCACACAAATACATGGTACATGGCACAAAGCACAATAAGCGTTTGCAACAGATCATCCAAAGACATGCAGACACTGCAAATGTTGAATGTATCTAGAAATGAATAAAGCTATATGCCAGGATGCTAAGCTGAGCACAAGCGTGCCAAGGTGAAATGTATCTAAATGTATTTTGGCCAGCAACAGCTTGCTTGCTTCTTTGAATGAGGTAATGAGAAATGTTTCTATACTTCGAGTAGGCTCAGGGGGACTGCTATTCTCACTTGTACCATTAACTACTCGTGTTTCTATACAGTGGTACGTCGGGTTACAGACACTTCAGGTTACAGACGCTTCAGGTGACAGACTCCGCTAACCCAGAAATAGTACCTCGGGTTAAGAACTTTGCTTCAGCATAAGAACAGAAATCTTGCAGCGGTGGCGTGGCGGCAGAGGGAGGCCCCATTAGCTAAAGTGGTGCTTCAGGTTAAGAACAGTTTCAGGTTAAGAACAGACCTTCAGAACGAATTAAGTTCTTAACCAAAGGTACCACTGTACTTGGACTGCAGACCTAGAACATATATACCGTAGATCTATTTATACTGAGGCTGTAGATCTATAAAATCTGTACATTTATCTATGGATCTGTCATCCCAGCATGAGGAATGGATGGTGCACAGCAGCCATGTCAATTTTCCTGTCATGGGTGTTGGGAGGTGGGGTGGTCCGGGAGAGGGGTCCTTGCTGCCTTTGCATGTGGTAGCGGGCAAGGGCTCTGCCTTGTCTGTGAGGGTGAGGCACACATAAGTGGCACCTCCGAGGTCTGGCACCAGCCTTGCTCCGAAAAGTAATGGAAAAAGCCCAGGGAAACAATTTGATGATGACATTCCCCAGAAGAAAAATGAAAACAAAGCATAGCAATTTCATAATAATCACCCAAGACCACAATAATTCTGTTTTTATATGTTCTGGAAGTTGCCTGGAGTAGCTGGGGAAACCCAGCCACATGGGTGGGGTATAAATAATAAAATTTTTATTATTATTAAGAAGAGCCCTACTGTGGCAAATCAAAGCCTCTCCAGACCAGCACCCTGTTCTCACAGGAGCCAACTAGATGCCTGGAAGAAGCACCTGAGCACCACAGCATTCTCTCCAATTGTGATCCCCAGCAAGTGGTATTTAGAGGAATACTCACATCCCACTTAAAAATCTGCCCAGGAAATAGAAATGAAAAATAAACATCTTACGGGTCTGAAATGACTGGAGCTGTGAGTGAGAGCAGAGCCAGGGCCCAGAGGAACATAGCTGCCCCCATAGTTGGAGCTGCGATGGGCAGCAGAGACCAGATCTCCGTTGGTGCTCAGAACAGCCAGCGCTGGTGTAGAGACCTAAATAGTCGCCCAGAGATTCCTCTGTTCACCCATGAGGCAGATGAACTTAATTTCATCTGAGTCAATATTGACTCTCCTCCTCCTCCTCAGAGTAAACACCATATGTCCCTGAGGCTCCTCCCTTCAGCTCCATGCAGGGAGATGGCTGCAACTGTTCAGATGAAAGAGAGACCACTCACTGCTTGCCAGCCTTCAAGGCAAACTGAGAAGGGATTAGAAATGGTGTGAACCAGAATCTGTTGTCTTTGTCCATGGAGACAAGACTACAGATTGTCTTGTCTTTTCCCAGTAGTGATGTATGGAAGTGAGAGCTGGACCATAAAGAAGGCTGATCACCGAAGAATTGATGCTTTTGAATTATGGTGCTGGAGGAAACTCTTGAGAGTCCCATGGACTGCAAGAAGATCAAACCGATCCATTCTGAAGGAAATCAGCCCTGAGTGCTCACTGGAAGGACAGATCCTGAAGCTGAGGCTCCAATACTTTGGCCACCCCATGAGAAGAGAAGACTCCCTGGAAAAGACCCTGGTGTTGGGAAAGATAGAGGGCACAAGGAGAAGGGGACGGCAGAGGATAAGATGGTTGGACACTGTTCTCGAAGCTACCAGCATGAGTTTGACCAAACTGCGGGAGGCAGTGGAAGACAGGAGTGCGTGGCGTGCTCTGGTCCAGGGGGTCACGAAGAGTCGGACACGACTAAACAACAACATCGAACCAGAATCTAAGGAGGGCCAACCAAATGGCAACACATATATACCCGTTTCCCCAGGCCTACAGTGTTTCTGTGATTTCATCACCCGGAGAGGGAAAAGATATTCAGAAACCAAGAATCATCCTATTGAGATATATGATGTGTTCAATGGCTAGATAGGAAATTGGATAACTGTGGGAAATCCTTGGAGGCCTGGGAACCAAAAGGGTAGGGCAATATGTTCATAGAATTGTAGAATTGTAGAGGTGGAAGGGCCATCTAGTCTAACCCCCTGCAATGCAGGAATTTCAGCTAAAGCATCCATGACAGATGGCCAAATGTCCTTCAGACTCCAAAAAAGCTATCCATATTTCCTTTTGGGAACCTTTTTTTTCTTTTAAAAAAAGAACTAGAAGATACCCTGGCTTGCAGGAGTGCTACCCAGAACTGATAGAACTTACTTAGCTAAGCAGACAACAACACCTGCACAAGCTCTGCTATCTCCTTTTATTTAGAACCCTTGCAAAATGTGTGCTCAAGATACGGTCTGTGTAGTTTGGATGCAAACCCCCCACTATTTCCCCATCCCCTCTGGGTGGAGAAACCAATAAAGAATGAGCTCAGGCTACGTGGTTTGCATACTGCAAGGACTGGATGTGCTGAATAATAGTTTCAGGCCCCCTCAGCTGGTTTGTTTGTACTCTGCCTCCTGTCGGGAAGGAGGCTGCCAGATGGACTGATTGATTATGACACTGCATGTACGTGTGCCTTGAATGATACGGAATAGATTCAAAGTGAACTTTATACATGCTAAGAAGGACAGGTAAACATGGAGGGAGAGTGAGCTGTGGGTCAGTGACCGGCCAGACTACCTATAGTACATTGAGATTGGCATCAGCTATTGAACAGTCAGGGTTCAATAGCTGGCAAGGCTACTAGAACTTAAGTGATGAGGCAATTGTAATTTATAAGGTTTTATATAAACCTGTGGAGGGAATAGTCAACCAAAGGTATCTGATAGAAGAAAGCACCACAGAAGCAATTCAAGTTTCTGTTTATTTTCTGAACTAGAGTTCCACTGCATGGTTCATGTTGTAAAAGACAGGGCCACTTTTTCCCCAAACAGTTCCCAGCTCCTTAAGTTTGGCTCATCTGAATTGCTTTTCTTTCCCATCCTGTGCCTGTTGCACCATAGGAATTTCTCCATCTAAACCAAGAAGAAGAAAAAGAAATGTAAGTTTTCTTCAATATGGAATCCAGAGTGGGAGATGCAGGAATGGATCCTTTTAGGGCACATAGAAGGCACATTTCTTCTCCTGGAATAGGGAGGGGAACATAATAAATCCAGATAGGTTTTCCCTTCTGCCTACTAGTCTGAAGGAAATATATCTGTGAAATCTGCATCCACTATATGAAATGCAAATTATCCTAGGATAAATATAGCAGTTCATTGTTAGCATCACAGAGCATTTTAGACATAGGACTTGTCCATACATCCATTTGCCCCACCGATTACCCTCGGGGAAACCTGATCTTTAGAGGCGAGTCAGAACAAACAGCTATGGGGTTTTCTGCGGATCGCTGTTTGTTCCGATTTAGCACTAAAGAGTGGGTTTTCCAGGGGAAAATGGCGTGGGGAAGGCAAAACCGCTATATGCACAGATGCCTAAAGCATAGATGTCTGACTTCAGGCCTATGAAAGACTCACCTCAGTAGCAGGGGTCTTCATATTCCACTGTGGACTGTTCATCTGAAAGAAATTAAGGCAGATCATTAAACTCAGCACTGGCCACAATCATGATATCCTCACTTCCTGATGCCTCTCTTCATTCTTCCATAGAACCACAGAATTGTAGAGTTGGAAGAGATCCTGGGGGTCATCTAGTCCAACCCTCTGCAATGCAGAAAGGCAACATAAAGCAACTAGTTGGAGAGACCCATGATAATTCTTGATGGGACAGCATCCTTAGCATTTGCCATTTTACAGCTCATTCACTTAGGTCCTTTCGGAGCTCTTCACAATCCGTTTTTGTTTTAATGACCCTCAACAACTTAGTACCACCTGCAAACTTGGTCATCTCACTGCTCACTTCTAACTCTAGATCGTTCGTGAACAAGTTAAGAACCACAGACCCCAATACCGAACCTTGGGGGAGTCTGTTTCCCACATCCCTCCAGCAGGAGAACTGTCTATTTTCCCCTACACTCTGCTTCCTGCTACTTTAGCCACTTCCTGACGTATATTTTTGTTTGAAGATCAGCAATTTCACATTTGAGTTCTTTGAGAACTCTTGGATGGAGACCTCCCAGACCGAAGAATTTGCCGGTTGCTATTCTATCTATTAGGCCTAGAACTTTGTTGGCTTCCCATCAACCATATGATTCCAAACTGGAACTTAGACTTCATAACGTGTGGTCTCCTAAGCTGAAGGCACCTATGATGGCCCACAAATTTTTGCTGATTGACTGAGGCTGTAAATATAGGGTGATTACAGAACACCTGAAGGCCACAGTACATAGATGGTGGGCTTTATTTGGCTGGACAGGTCACAAGCTGCACAGACTTGTGAGAAACACAATGAATTAAAAATGTTACTATTTTTCAACATGAGGAAGAACCTACCTGGCTGATAATAGTCATAGACTTTGACAGCTGCTGGCTTCAGGTCCTTCACTGGAATGTCTTGGCTCATGGCCAAGGTATATGTTTGCCTCTCCTTTCCTAGCTGAGAGAAAGACTTTGGATGTAAAGAGAAGTTGAGGACAAGGTGGAGTTGAGGTCAATACTAAATGGTTAGGCCATCCTGCGATCACCTCCATCGGAGGTGAAACCACAGAAACAAATATGCTGGCTAGTTAGATAGGATAGTTTCTGGATGAGAACAGAGTAACAGAAAATCCATGGCTCTAGTTTCAGAAGACATCTGTTTGAATTGTTGCTGTTGTTGTTGTTATATCTTTATTTATCACCTGCCTTTTTCCTCGACGGACACTCAAGGTGGCTTACAAATAAAAACAAGATTCACTAAAAACATCATAAAAAACAATTAAACATTAATAGAATAAAAACAGATTTTATGTATAATAGACTGCTCCTGCAGTCTGTCCGCGACAGAGCGCGGGGCCAAAAGCCACACCTTTTTTTTTGGTTCCAAGCAGTGCTGTGGGTCAGCTGGCTCACACCAGAGCGTGGGAGCAAAAAACAGATGGAAAAGTTACCTTGATCCGCATTTCGCTGCTCTTCTTCCTCCTTCCGTTGTGCCAATTTAATGAATTATTAATTAGATCAATAATTAAATTGACAATTTAAACAACTCTCCTTATTAACAGGCCTGGATTGTTCTCATAAGAATGCTGCAAGCAGAAGAGGAAATTCGAGAAAGTGCTGTTTACTTGGGAAGCTGGACCTGTTGAAATGCCCTTTTCTGTTACCGATGGACTTCTTTTTTGCCTGGCGAGGCGACTTGTGAAGGGGGCCACTACAATGCAGCAACGCCATTGGGCCCAGTTGTCAAATGATGTGTGTGCTTGCCTGTTACAAAGCTGTGTTTCTTTTCCCCATACTGACCTGGTCCAGGTAGATTGTGAGATGCTCCTCCCCAATCTCGACTCTTTTCACAAGGGGCTGTTGCATAAGCTGAGGATACAGAATGAAAGAATTAAGGCTTCCTTCCCAACATGCCACCAGTTTTGTCACCAAAGGGAGGTTTCATAGGTCTTTCGTTGCTTGCATTGTTTGAGGAATAACTGGCAAATCTTTGAAAGAAGGGGATCAGGAATTATGCCCCTTGCAAAATTGTATATTTTGATATCCCTCTGCAAACAATCTGTTCAGACCATGGGTAAGAGGGATCTCTCTCTCTCTCAGCAGCCCACGAAGTAGAGGAACAGGTGAGTATGTCTGCGTGAGAGAGAGAGGGAGAGGATGGTGGATAGTGGAAAGAATGTGAGAGAAATGGAGTTAGAAAGAGAGAGAAAATGGAAAGCCCCACCCATTTTTGACCCTGTACCAGGCCCAGCCTATTGTTGGCTTCAATCCTATCTGCAATAAGTTGTCCCCGTTGTCCACCCCTCCTCCTGTTCAATACATTATTTGAAACCTGCTGTGTTCATCGAAAGGGACTTTGTCTTTCTAAACTGACTTCTGTCACGTAGGGGAGGAAAGGGACAGAGGGATGGAAGGATCTCTCAGTTTTGGTTCTCTCTGTTTCTCATTTTACCAATCTTAAATTCAGTTCTTGCATATTGCAGCAATTTGCAGATTTTAAAAAATAATAATTTAAAAATCCTCACGAAAATTCACCAGCATTTTGGTATGGATTTCTCCTAATAAACACATTTTACACGCAGTTTTGACTCATGTACACATTTTTGCAAGCAGCTTTCCCCGATGCAATGCATTTTTTGTATGTTATTTTCAGTAACATCTTCATTTTTAGGCACAGTTTCCTGTACAATGTGCAGTTTGTAAACTTTGGTTGCATGGAGAACTGCATCGCAAAATTCAGATGTGCAAATTTTGAAGAACAGCTGATAAAGGAGTTCCTAAGAAGGGCAGAGTTTGCAGCTGCAACGGTGTCAATAGAAGACATAACTCATGTACTCCTTGAATGACCTTTTTAAAATGACCTTAGAAACAATCACATCCACCCATTGTTAAGATCGCAGAAGGGAAGGATGTCTCTTGCAAAGACCTGTTTTTTGTCATCCGATTTAGAGAATAATATATATTTTAGAACATCCAATTTTCTTGCCAAGGCTTTACAAATTCATGTAATAAAATTTAAAGGGGGAATGGGAAATCATTTATCCGGTAAAGGTCAGGGAGTAGAAATGTAAACCACTATTAGTAGCAGCATTCTTGTTATTATTATTTTTATATCTGTAATGGCTGCTCGCTAAACACAATAAATTGAACTGAACTGAAGAATAGCTGCCTTCCGGTCCACATATTTTTTGGGGGAAAGTGGATATTTAATAGGATTTGATTTTGAATGTGTACTGAATAAAATTTCTCCTTCACCCCCAGACAAGCGGTACCAGTAGTTAAAAAGGTAAAGGGACCCCTGACCATTAGATCCAGTCATGACCGACTCTGGGGTTGCGGGACTCATCTTCCTTTATTGACCGAGGGAGCCAGCGTTTGTCCGCAGAGAGCTTCCAGGTCATGTGGCTAGCATGTCTAAGCCGCTTCTGGCGAACCAGAGCAGCGCACGGAACACCGTTTACCTTCCCGCCGGAGTGGTACCTATTTATCTACTTGCACTTCGTGCTTTCGAACTGCTAGGTTGGCAGGAGCAGGGACCGAGCAACGGGAGCTCACCCCATCGCGGGGATTCGAACTGCCAACCTTCTGATCAGCAAGTCCTAGGCTCAGTGGTTTAACCCACAGCGCCGCTGGCAAAATTGACTTACATCACGGTTAGTTCCCTGAACAGGATGGAATCCAGACAACATCTTCACCTCTATCATGGCCATGTTGGAGGTGCCACGGCTGCCCACATAACTGTCAAGAGAAGAGGAAGAGTTGCACATAAGCCATTTCAAGTCCCAGCCACCAACTTCCCCATGGCACTGTTGACTTCTAGGGCACTTCCAGGCTGTCACTATTTTCAGGTGGGATTCAGTCCCTGGAACATGAGGGAGAACGCTGTTGATGTGTGTGCAGCATCCACTCTTGGGTTTTCTTTTTTGAATAGACTTGCAGTAGAGTTTCCTTTTTTAATTGAGTATCTTTATTATTTACAAAAATCAACACTGGTCGAATACAAATAAAATAACACAATCCTTTCCTCTTCCAGCCATCCGGCCAGAGACCTAATGCTGATTCACGCTCATTTACACACTGACACTTTTACACTGACCCTTATTGATCACATGCCCTTAATAAAGGCACCTGTTGCTGGGTAGATTTTTGGGTTGCCTAGCAACCTGTTCAAGACCAATTCTTTGAGTCTTTTTAGAATAGTCCAACAAACGGTTCCCTTGATGCAGTGTCATCTATCCTTCGCGCAAGCAAATTAGAATGGGTGCTTATTAAATAGCCTAATCTATCTGCAAACAAATCAGGCTGAATGTTCAATAAGCAGGTCCTTCTAGAAGTTGCCTTACTCAAGAGTCTCTCTCTCTCTCTCTCTCTCTCTCTCTCTCTCTCTCTCTCTCTCAATCTCTCTCAATCTCTCTCTCTCTCAATCTCTCTCTCTCTCTAGGAATCTGCAGAAAAACCAATTGACATTTCTTACAATTTGGTGGCATTATTATTATTTTAAAAATTATACCGCTCTTCACCCATAGATCTCAGGGTGGTTCACAACATAAAATTGCAAGATATGAAAAAAGCAAAATGCATAATCCTAGTGCCTCTCAAGACATCCCATACCTCAACAAGGTGAAAAAACCCCACCCCCAGCACCTCTCAGGTCAAACAGGGGGCTGCTCTGCCAACCACCATGGACTGAGACCCTGACTGGCTTTCCCCCTGCCCTCCGCAAGCTCTTCAAAGTGGGTCACAGAGGATAATGCATCCAGCCCCTCTTCCTCTGCAGAGTGGCAAGGAGAGGCCCAAAGGTGTTGGCAAGCAGCCAGCATCCTTCTCCAGGCTCTTCTGTCCCCTAACCCCACCACCCATTCTCCCTGGGGGGGACACATGCCCTACCTAAGAGACTCTGAGGGATCAGAAAGGGGATTCCTGCCTACCACCGGTCTTCAAAAGGTGAAGATAAGAATGAAAGATAATGAAAATAAGAAAACAAACCAACAATCCCCCTCCCACAATACATTTAAAAGGCCACAGAATGTTAATCAGCCCAAGGCCTGGTTTGATTACAACCCAACCAAGATTTCTAGGTAAGCAGTGCTCAATTTGAAGTGGAACTGATCATTACCAGTTGAACAAGTCTACATTCAGGGATAGTTCTGCCCGGACACTGAGGTCCAGCTCTGAGGGCCTTCTGGCGGTTCCCTCACTGCAAGAAGCCAAGTTACAGGGAACCAGGCAGAGGGCCTTCTCAGTAGTGGCACCCACCCTGTGGAACGCCCTCCCACCAGATGTCAAAGAGAAAAACGACTACCAGACTTTTAGAAGACATCTGAAGGCAGCCCTGTTTAGGGAAGCTTTTAATGTTTAATAGGTTATTGTATTATGGTGTTCTGTCGGAAGCAGCCCAGAGTGACTGGGGAAGCCCAGCCAGATGGGCAGGGTATAAATAATAAATTATTATTATTATTATAGGCATACATGAATTTTGGCAAGCTCGCTGCCTCTCACCTTGCACTGATGTGAAGAGTCAGGAAGCGAGGGGCAGCCTCTTGTTCACATCCTTTCCCTACTGCTTTCACATCCAGGGTGAAGGTGTCTTCATTCTTCGAGGGAGGGATATTGTATCGCAAGACTGCCTGATATGGGACAGGCACCAAAAACACAACAGTTGTAGAGTTGCATAACGATAACATGCAGTCTGGCTGGAGCTCTCAAAAGCTCACGCCTTTTAGGAACGTTTTAGGGTCCTTGCATCTACCAGTCACTCATTTCCACCCCTCAAAGCTTTTCGGATACCGTGAAATCCTTTATGATTTCAGGCTTTCACTTCCTTTAAATAACAAACCAGCATCTTTGCAAAGCTTTCTAAACAATGTGTGCCCATGTTTGAAACGTTATTCTGTTTTTACCTACCTCTGTTTTTACTGTGTTTGTAGTTTTGAGTATACTGCATTAGGCACACATAGAAATAAGAAAATACCTTCCAGTAGCACCTTAGAGACCAACTAAGTTTGTTATTGGTATGAGCTTTCATGTGCATGTAAACTTCTTCAGATACACTGAAACAGAAGTCACCAGACCCTTATATATAGTGAGAGGGTGGGGAGGGGTATTACTCAGAAGGGTGGTGGAAATGGGTGATTGGCTGATAGGTGTGGTAAACCTGTTGACGACAGTTAATGACTGCAATTGGTCTTACAGGAAAAAGCAAGGGGTGAGATGGCTAAAAATAGCTTTATCATGTATAATGAGATAAGAATCCAATGTCTCTATTCAGACCAGGTTTTAAGTTTGGTAAAAGGTAAAGGTAAAGGTACCCCTGCCTGTACGGGCCAGTCTTGACAGACTCTGGGGTTGGGCGCCCATCTCACTCAAGAGGCATGGGGCCAGCGCTGTCCGGAGACACTTCCGGGTCACGTGGCCAGCGTGACAAAGCTGCATCTGGCGAGCCAGCGCAGCACACGGAAACGCCGTTTACCTTCCCGCCAGTAAGCGGTCCCTATTTATCTACTTGCACCTGGGGGTGCTTTCGAACTGCTAGGTTAGCAGGCGCTGGGACCAAGCAACGGGAGCGCACCCCGCCGCGGGGGATTCGAACCGCCGACCTTTCGATCGGCAAGCCCTAGGCGCTGAGGCTTTTACCCACAGCGCCACCCGCGTCCCTTTAAGTTTGGTAATAAGTTGCAATTCAGCAACTTCTCTTTCCAGTCTATTTCTGGAAGACCAATTGCTGCCTTGCCTTCCTTGAAGAACCATCACTCACCTGGACATATCCACAGCCTTTGCCAGAGGCTTGCATGGTGTACTCCCCAGGTATGTCTGGGAGGGTAGCCTGCTGCAGAACCAACCGATTGGTGTCGTCCAGGTGGAATGACTGCTGGAAGGTCTTGTCAGATTTCACCGTTATCAACAGGTCTTCAGATCTAGTGTATGTGACTGCTCCATATTTGGCGAGGGCTTGGAGTGCAACCACTGTGTCCTGGGAAAGGAGAACAGTTGCAGTGTAGTAATAATAATAATTTATTCATACCCTGCCCAGCTGGCTGGGTTTCCAACAAAATATTAAAAATACATTAAAACACCAGTTATTAAAAACATCAATCATTAAAAACTTCCCTAAACAGGGCTGCCTTCAGATGTCTTCTAAAAGTCAGGTAGTTGTTTATTTCCTTGACATCTGACTGGAGGGCGTTCCACAGGGCAGGCGCCACCACCGAGAAGGCCCTCTGCCTGGTTCCCTGTAACCTCACTTCTCGCATTGAGGGAACCGCCAGAAGTCCCTCAGCATTAGACCTCAGTGTCCGGGTTGAACTATGAGGGTGGAGACGCTCCTTCAGGTATGCTGGGCCAAGGCCGTTTAGGGCTTTAAAGGTCAGCACCAACACTCTGAATTGTGCTCAGAAATGTACTGGGAGCCAATGTAGGTCTTTCAGGACTGGCGTTATGTAGTCTTGGCAGCCACTCCAAGTCACCAGTCTATCTGCCGCATTCTGGATTAATTGTGGTTTCTGGGTCACCTTCAAAGGCAGCCCCATGTAGAGCATATTGCAATAGTTCAAGTGGGAGATAACCAGAGCATGCACCACTCTGGTGAGACAGTCTGCGAGCAGGTAGGGTCTCAGTGGACTACACAGGGTCCAGTGCATTGCTTTGCAAGACCAAGACACACGGTCTACCCACCCAGCTTTATCACCCTGCAGTAGGGCCAGCCTCTCAGGAACACTGGCGTTTTCTTAAAATGTATCCTGCAGAGGGATCATTTCTGCAGTGCATCTGGAAACACCTCGCTGGAGAACTCGCTGGGGAAAGGGCTCAGGGGGAAAGAGTTCTGCACCTAGTCCTAATGCCACTGCTTTAACCTGCTGCTCCATTGTGAACTGCCCTGGGATCTTCAGACAAAGGAGGATGTACAGTTGTGCCCCGCAAGACGAAAAACCCGCAAGACGAAAGGGTTTTCCGTCGCGGAGGCGCTTCGCAAGACGAAGTTCCCTATGGGCTTGCTTCGCAAGACGAAAACGTCTTGCGAGTCTCGCCATTTTTTTCTCGCTCCCCCCCCTTTTTCAAAGCCGCTAAGCTGTTAATAGCCTTTTAACAGCTTAGCCGCTAAGCCCGCTAAGCCGCTAATAGCGCTAAATCGCTAATAGCGCTAATCCGCTTAGCCGCCAATGGGGTTGCTTCGCAAGACGAAAAAACCGCTAGACGAAAAGAATCGCGGAACGGATTCTTTTCGTCTTGTGAGGCACCACTGTACAAATTTTATAAATAACAACAATAATTATCTTTCAGTCTAACCTACCTACCTAGCAGGGTTGTTGGAAATGGGATGAACTGCCACCTCTTTGGAGGATAGATGGACTTAAACTGTCATAAGTAAATCCTGAGTCTTTTGGAAGAGGGAATTTCTGCAGGTGCGGCTTGTTGTTAAGATGAGGAAAATGTTTTCATTTCTGTCCAATTTTCCTCTGTTACATCGGGTCACCTACACTGCCTGGATAGCTCAGTTGGTTAGAACATGGTGCTGATCACACCAAGGTTGCAGGTTCGATCCCCGCACGGGGCAGCTTCATATGGGGTTGGACTGGATGATCCTCAGGGTCAATTTCATAATTTTATGATGCACTGTGACTCCCCACTTCAATCCAAATGGGGTGGGTGGGAAGCAGCAATGTAACTTAAAAAAAACCCAGCTGACCTGGGTCTAGAATTTAGTTTATGGGCTTACAGATTCTGAGGCAGCCAGATGTGGTGGGGAAGTCACAGTGGATATACAGGCTCCAGCCATGAGAGAGGAAACATTACCTGAGTTGAGGCAAAGCCTCCATAGGCATTCTGCTGCTTCGCCAGCCAGGCCACAATGTCTGTGGCCTTCTTGATATCCTCTTTGCTTACGTTTTGGGGTGAAAGCCTAGCCATAAGCACATATGCTGTCAGCTCCACACTCACAGACTCAGGCTGGGACCAAGGATTCTCAGTGGATGCTGGGGCAGTCCTGGGGCTCCAATATATCTGCCCTCCTACCAAAGAAAAATGAAACTTGTAAGCTTGGAAGAGCCAATCTGAGGTTGGTGAAATGGGTTTTGGGTTAAGGGCGAGCTCATGGCCTGTAGTTGCTCCTGTGAACATGCACCAACAGTGGGAAGCTGCGCTCAGGAATGGAATTTGAACCCACTCCTCATGCTAGGATTGAGCCAGGGAAAACTCTTTTTATTTTATTGAAATTTATTTTGCTGAATCTTATTGAATATGTTAGTCGCTTTATTTTGCCCAGGGCAATTCAAAGCAGCTCAAAACCAGCCAGCCAGCCAAACCAACCAACCCACATAGATACATTAAAATCAAGAGGGAAAGGAAATATATGTAAAACATCCCACCCACTTCTAAAAGGCCACAGATAGTTTAAGGCCAAAGGCCTGGTTGTAGAGGAAAGCTTTTGCTTGGCACCTAAAGATATGTAGTAAAGGCGTCAGGTAAGCCTTTCAGGGGAGAGCATCCCACAAGTGGAGAGGCAACAAAGAAAAGGCCCGTTCTCCTCTCCAGACATCACATGAAGGAGGCACACAAAGAAGGGTTAAAGATGATGATCACAGGCTCCGGGTCAGTTCACATGGGGAGAGGTAGTCCTTGAGGTAATGTGGTCTTGAGACAGGATTGGGTTATATGCTCAAACCATCTTGCCAAGGGCAGCAGCAGAGGAAGCTGCTCAGGCGCCTGGGGCAGCGTGCCCAGGGGTGAGGTGAGCCGCCCATAGTGGTGGGGTGAGGGCAGGGCGCACCTCAGGGACTCCGGAGTCTGCCTGCCTCCTCCCAATCAGCTGCCCTACAGCTGAGGGGGAGGCAGCGAGCAGACCGTTTGGGCAGTGTGGAGCCTGTGCGCACCCAAGCCGCTGCGTTTCTCCCAGGAGATACACATGGCTTTGGTGCGGTGCAGGCCCCACAGTGAGTGCCACTTGGCATTCTGTCACCCCCCTCAGTGGTGACACCCAGGACGACCCACACCCACCGGACCCCCCTTCCTCCACCCCTGGCTACGGGGAGCAACCTGGCCGCTGAATTCTGCATCAGCTGAAGTTTCCGAACCGCCTTCAGAGGCAGCCCCCCCCTCACTGACCGGGCTGAAAGATGGAGGTGGAGACACTCCTTAAGATATAGTGGGCCAAGGCCATTTAGGACTTGAAGGTCAGTGCTTTGAATTGTGCTCGGAATTAATAGGCTTATTTAATGCACTGTAAACAAAGTACAGTCATACCTCAGGTTACAGATGCTTCAGGTTGCATTCTTTCGGGTTATGGACGAGCCAAAACCCGGAAGTACCAGAATGGTTACTTCCGGGTTTCGGTGGTTGTGCATGCACAGAAGTGCTAAATCGCGCTTTGCGCATGCGCAGAAGCGCCAAATTGCAACCCGCGCTTGCACAGACGCGCTGCTGCAGTTGCGAACGCTGAGGGTTGCGAACATGCCTCCCGCACAGATCACGTTGGCAACCCAAGTGTCCACTGTATCTAGCTGGTGGACAGAACACACTTTACTTAATATGTACTTAATATCAAGACAGTGATGCACAATATGTGATTCACTAAGGGTTTCTTTTCAGCCAGAACTCGCAATAACTCAGTTCCGGCACCTCTCAGGTGGGCGCTATTGCCATTATAAGAGAACAAGGGAGGTGTTCATATTGAGTTCCGGAACCTCTTTTTCTAGAAAAATAGGACTGGACTCACCCCTACACGCACACAATCAGAAATAGTGCATTGTACGAATTGTGTATTGGATTTCAATCTGAAGACAAATGATTAGAACATGATTGTTGACATCATATTCTCCTCAGTACCTGACTTGATGGCTTGCTGGTCTAGCTTGGTAAGCAACATTTGTCTCATGGCTACATCTCCAGCTAATGTGAAGACATATGCCAACAATCCCTGCACATAGATATCTGTCGTGTCTGAGACAGTCGTTTTGAGATAGTCCAAGCCATTCTTCACCACTGGATCCTGGAAAAGAAAGAAACAAGTAGCAGGGCAAAGTGTTAAGAACACCTGTCCTTGTAGCAGTGATTGAAAGGTAAAACACCAGGCATGTTCACACCAGCTATTTCCTCAGGACAAAGTAGAATCCTCTGCACTGCACCATACCATACCCCAAGGGCAGTCACTTGTTAGAACTCCACTTCCTGGTCTCGTCCATACTTCTGCTTCTCCCAGAACAAACATCAATGGGCAGAATTACCAATTGACGCTTGTCAATCGGTAAGCAGCTTGTTTCCCCAGGGGAAGCAGGAGGACAAACAAAGCGCCACTTGGAACCGTGCTTTCTAAGCGCAGAGCAAGAAGAAGTGTGGACAAGCCCTCAGTTGTTATTGCAGACAGCAAAGTGAGTTCTTCATTTAAAGGGAAGGCTTATCGACGCTCTCCTTTCCTTTGTGCTTTCCAGTCATGGTCCATTCTTTTGCAACACTCTCTCCCCCTCCCCCCGCTTCAGAGCTTTCCTTGTGAAAATCCACTCTTTACTGCTGAATCGGAGCAAATGGCAATCTGCCGAAAACCCAAATTGCTGTTTGTTACGCTTCAGCTTTAAAGACCGGACCTGTGCCCTGGAAAGGTAAGTGTGGACAAGCGTGGGGTGGCACTTCCCTGAAGCGATGTCTAATCATTGCCTTAGCTTTTTATGAGAAAGCGCATGTCCAAATGTCAAGTCTGGAAACTCAATATTCCCATTTTGTTATGTGTATCCAGTCAGAGGAGACTTCAGGGAAGTGACTGAGTCCAATGATCTTGAAAGCAGTGTTTTGTTTGTTTTGTTTTGTTTTGTTTTGTTTTGTTTTGTTTTGCTTTGCTTTGCTTTGTTTTTTGTCTCGGCTGACTGTCAATTTGCCATGCATTTGAATAGACTGTTTACTCTATGGCAGGCACGTCCAACTGCCAAGAGACTGCGATCTACTCCCAGTATAAAAAAACTGAAAGTGATCTAGCCATTGTAATTGGAGGGAGGAGGAGCATGTGTGGGGTGGGTTGCCCCAAGTTGTTGAGCTTTTTTGGGGGAGGGTTGCTCAGAGTACTTAAGCTTCTTTGGAGGGGGCAGGGTTCTTTAGCTTTTAATTTTAGGGAGGATGCAGAAGAGCGATCATCAGCCTGACCAGCGCTGCTACTCAGAAGTGTCATGCTTACTTGCGCTTTCTGCTGAAAGCAGCTTTCTGTGCTGCTGCTACGGCAGCAGCAGAGAGACTTAGCACCGGGGGCAAGGGGTGAAGGCATTCCTTTGACAATTTACTTAATCCCGCGGACGAGCAGGCACACCCTGGGGATCTACCTGTCGATCGCGGTCGACCAGTTGAACATGTCTGCTCTAAGGCATCCAAGGAAGCGAAACATTCAGCTCTTAGCCACTGCAAGCAAACTAACACCCTGCTGGTCAGGATTAAAACACAGCAAGGTCGCTCTCCCACCCCCTCCCGGACCCACTGTATTTCAAGTTGCATTTGCGCTTACTGTACACACACCAGAGAGGGGCTGGGGGTGTCTTTTCCTAATGCACACTACCCAGGCTTGTCAACTCCAAAAGAAATGGGGGGGGGGGCTGATGTCATGCACAACATCACAATGTCATGTTGGGGCATCACACACAACGTCACGATGTCGTCTGTGGCACCTGGATGTTGGACATGGTCCATGATACATGGACTCAGTCTGACCCTTATGTTTCCCTTCCCTTATGGTTTTGATCTATGGGCTACTTTTAAAATGGGGCTGCATTTCAACCTATATTTTAAATTGGTTTTTTCCCTATTATGCTTTTACTGTAATTTTACTGGTGTTAGCCGCCCTGAGCCCGGCTCTGGCAGGGAAGGGCAGAGTATAAATAAGATATTATTATTATTATTATTATTATTATTATTATTATTATTATTGACATCTGGGGGTCGTGCGGCAGCTCAGCTTCCATGGCTGGCGTCTCCTCCTCCTCACACCGCGGCCATGGGCTGGGGGCTGATTCCCCTCCATGGGAGGAGGAGGAGGAGGAGGAGGAGGAGGAGGAGGAGGAGAAAGAGCCGACACATTTTTGGCCCGCACAAGCATGCAAAGTCCAGGCATCCTGTGTGACAGTGTCACATTGAGGTGTCCCACTCAGACAAACATTGAGGGGGCCCAGCCCCTGCTAACAAATATGGGGGGGGGAGCAAGCTCAAAGGAGCTCAGCTCCTTGGAGTCGGTGCCCCTGACACTGCCTCATTTGTTTCCCTGCCCTTACAAGCCATGGAACTCATATTCAAGGATGCCGTCAGCTGTGCATGCACAATGGCCGCCTAAAATGCGCCTGTCTCAGCTAAGCCACAACTCGCGTTTTCAAATTGGACGGGAGCTGGTGTGAGGGGGAAAACATCAGACAGGAGTATTTCTCAAGAATCTACAGGATACATATGGATTGCAGCTAATGTCATGTGCACTTGGCTTCAATCACCAGTGGTGGGAGTACATGGGAGACTGAGCAAATGGTCATGGGCACATGGCCCGAGACTGAACAACACTCACCTCAAGTGGCTTTTTGGCCTCCAAGAGTGCACCAATGATATAAGCAGTAAGAGAGATCACATTATTTACACCTCCCTGTGAAGCACATGGCAAAAGAGAGAAAGACGGAACGAGACCGTGAGATAATTTTTGCACGAAGGGCAAAAATGAAACAGCAATTAACATGGATGCTAAGGTCTTTCAGGAGTCAGTAGGGACAGCAGTATTTATAGTGCTCAACCTAGTCTAGTACAATATGCTGTCCTTAGGCAAAGGACTGGAGAAACAGAGAGGCATGTGGCAAGGAGGAGTGACAACCACACCACAAGGTTAAATGTTTGCTACAGTGGAAGAGCACCTTGGTAAGTGAAGTCCTGCCCCTCACAGAGACCCTTGGGGTAACAGGGTCCTTGCTGGAGTGGGAGACAAATTGTTGTACTATACAGTTATTGACTCACACTTGTATGCATTAATGAGTTAACCTCAGCCCAGAGCTCAGGTTGCAAGTGGGTGTGGCTTAGAAGGTGCTCGGACGGCTTTGCTCCCAACTCCTCTTCTCAATCCCTTTTTCTTCCTGCTTCTTAGAACAAGCAAGAAGCAGTGTGTCCTTGGCTCCCTGCATGTGATCTGAATCTCTCTAAAAGGAGATTTCATAGCCTGCATCTTGCTACCTCAGAGATTACATGATCCTTGGAACCTTTTCCATCTTCATTTTACTGCCAATGGATGGAGACTTGTCTGCTGTAACATCTGGAAACTCTGTGAGTTAACTATTCACTTATTTGCAAAGCTAAGTGTCTGTGATTTATTCTAGCCTAAGTTTTTTTTGTGTGGGGAACATTAGTTTAAAGGTGGCTGAGGGCAGATACAAATCTAAACAAGTTTCAATGTGCTTGGAGCAATCATCATTATGCTTAATTCTGCTACGGGAGAGGAATCTCTCTTCTAAACACCTCTCTCTAACAGAGATTGCTCCCTATCTATCCATTTCTGTGGATCCAGTTTCTTCTTTCCCCCTGTGCAAATTAACAGAGGTATTGCTTCATTAGCTTGCATTAACTGCCTGCAGGGGTGCACATACATGGGATTTTTTTAAAAAAATAGATGATATGATACAGATGACCTACTGCACTTCTTATTGCAATTTGCAGCAGCATGTACCACAATACAAGGGTGATCTGGCATTGTATTCTACACAGTGTGTGCTGTGAGCAGCAACTGTGATTGTGAAAAAAAATTGTACAGAGGTACCTCGGGTTACATATGCTTCAGGTTACATACACTTCAGGTTACAGACTCCGCTAACCCAGAAATAGTGCTTCAGGTTAAGAACTTTGCTTCAGGATAAGAACAGAAATCGTGCTCTGGCGGCATGGCGGCAGCAGGAGGCCCCATTAGCTAAAGTGGTGCTTCAGGTTAAGAACTGTTTCAGGTTAAGAACAGACCTCCGGAACGAATTAAGTACTTAACCTGTTAAATTGTGGGCGAACATATCAGACGACACAGCGATTCTTCAAACAGCTCTTCTTTATTCTGAGGTCAGAACTGAACTGAACTGAACTGAAGGGCTCAGTCAGCCTGCTTATATAGAGCTCCAGTACCTTGTTACTGTAACAACTTTCTAAAACTATCCAATCACTGAACGTCACTTTTGATCCTTCATTTGCATAACTATCTACAGTATCCCCCTGCTGGCCCAGGGTGAGAACTTCAGTACATAACATAACCCAAGGTACCACTGTACATTGATGTCTGGCAAATGAAAGCACTTTCATTAAAGACTGCACCCTTCTGAACTCTTACCTTCATTGTTCTGTGGAAGAGTTTCCCCACATTGGCAAAGGAGCCATCGGGCTGCTGGTTACTTGCCAACCACCGCAAAGCAGCCTGGATATCCTCATCGTCTATGAAGGTATATTCCTCAGCTTTGCTGAAAACCTTGATCACAAAAGCTGTCAGCCTTGAGGAGAGATGGAGAAAGCAAATAATGGCTGGGTTGTTTTCAAAGGTTACTGATTCAGGGTTGTTCATCCCCATTCACAAATGTGAACGCCTCCAGCTGCCTCAAGTTTTCCTGCCCTCTTATACAAGTTTAATTTACAACTTCCATCAGTTAGGACTGATGGGAGTTGCATGGGGTCCCTTCCAGCTCTACAGTTCTATGACTCACCAGGTATTGCCTTGCCCATCACTCTCTCCAAATGCACTATAAGAACCATCCCTGTGTTTGTACTGAAGTTGTCTCTGGTACCCTTGTGGGGGGGGGAAAGAAAACGAAAACTGAGGATCGGAGGGTGAAAGACTTTGGACGTCTGTGCAACACACAACACACACCCAGCCCCACAATTGTTATATAGGCCCATTGATGCAAAACTCTGAGCTTGCACCATGAGCTTCCTGTGCAGCATAACCCTTTCCATGGTTCATTTTACATATCATAAATCCCTGCATATTTTACAAAAACTATACCATTCAGTATTCCATTATTGCATCTGTCAAAGCTTATTTACACAGGTGAATTTATCTTGATGCTGCCAGTGTTTCCAGCTGTATTTATTTCCCATATATTCAATAAACATTTTCCAGTCTTCTTTAAACGTATGTTTTTCTTGTTCTCTTATTTTATTATTTATTATTATTATTTTATTAAATTTTAACATATAAATTATAAAATGCACCACAAAACTTATCACTTATACAATCTTTTTGGACTTCCATCAGCACCTCTGATGATCCACCGTTTTAACCACTTCTTATGCATTTCTTAACTTATATAGCCTTTACATCTCTTAATGAATCATCTTCCCCCTTGTCCTTTTTTACAATACTTCTAATAATACTCCTCACAAAACTTCTTGCACCCCTACAAATGTCATCTGTTCTTCACAATTACTTTTCAAATAGTCTGTAAATTTACTCCAGTCTTCCGTGAATTTCTGGTCTCGCTGGTTTCGAATCCTTCCTGTTAGTTTATCTAATTCTGCATAGTCCATTAACTTCATCTTCCATCTTGTTCTCTTATTTTATATGTTAAATCTGCAAGCTGTGCATATTCTGTCAAGTTGCCACTCTTCTTTGTTTTGGGACCTCTCTCGTTTTCCATTTGGGGGCTAACAAAACATGGGCTGCAGTAGTGGCATACACAAATAACCTTTTTTTGACACCTGGGAATTTCAGTCTGAATTATCCCCAACAGAAAGGACTCTAGAGAAGCAAATAACAGACCTGACTGCAGGTAGCCCAGCGCTTTTGCTTTCAGCTCCTCATCCATCTGTCCTGTGTTTTCCAAGTACTGCAGCACGTAGATGATGGGGGCAAACAACACCATGTTTTGCTCCCCGCAGCCACTGGGCATCTGTACCAGTTTGTCCAAGTTCTGCAGTGCCGTCCCCATGATATCACCTGGCCAGATGTGAATAGAAAGTTACTCTCTTTCCGACAGGTTGAACGTTGCTCCGCCCCCCTTGGTCACATGACACAAAAGACCAACCCTATCCCAGAATTTGTTCCAAATGCCCCCTCCTCATCACCAACGGCATGCACCCAACTCAGGGGCCTTTGCTTCCATTGCCACACTATTGCTTCCATTGCCACACTATTGCCACATTCACAGACCCTGTACTGTAAGTAAAGGTAAAGGAACCCCTGACCATTAGGTCCAGTCGTGGCCGACTCTGGGGTTGCAGAGCTCATCTCGCTTTATTGGCTGAGGGAGCTGGCATACAGCTTCCGGGTCATGTGGCCAGCATGACTAAGCTGCTTCTGGCGAACCAGAGCAGCGCACGGAAACGCCGTTTACCTTCCCGCTGGAGTGGTACCTATTTATCTACTTGCACTTTGACGTGCTTTCGAACTGCTAGGTTGGCAGGAGCAGGGACCGATCAACGGGAGCTCACCCCATTGCGGGGATTCGAACCGCCAACCTTCTGATTGGCAAGCCCTAGGCTCTGTGGTTTAACCCACAGCGCCACCTGTGTCGCTTACCCTGTACTGTATTCCTGTATAAAAAGAAGGGCATAGGCGTTTTCACTGAAGCTTTCACAAACGAAAAGAATCCCCTTGCAAAAGGAAGTGGAAATGCTCATGATGTTCAAGAGCAGGATAGGTGGAACTCTGATCCCGTCGCCCAGCAACTAGACCAAAGTTTCATGAAACCAATAGGAAAGGGCCATACCTCAGTGGTAGCGTATTTGCTCTGCAGGCAGAGGGTCCCAGGTTCAATCCCTGGCATTTCCAGGTTGTATTGGGAGAGAACCTGGCCTGAAACCCCTGAGAGCAGTGTACACAGTGCTGATCTAGATGGACCATTGGTCTACCGTATTTTTCGCTCCATAAGACGCACCTGACCATGACACACCTAGTTTTTAGAGTGGGAATGCAAGGGGGGGGGAATTCTTTAAAGGGAGTGCTGAGCAGAACCTGTATGCATCCCAGGCTCTGCTCGGCACTCCCTTTCACGAGCCGCGTGGAGCGTGTGTGCGGCGCTTGCAGGCTTTTCCCCGAGGAGGGAGAAGGGCAGCCCGTCACTGATGGGTTGCCCTTCTCCCTCCTCGGGGAAAAGCCCCCAAAACGCTCCACACGGCTCTTTAAAGGGAGCAAGGCTCTTGTGGGCTTTTCCAGGGGGTGGGGGAAGGGACAGAGCATGGCAAAGCCAGAAGCTAGAACAGCGAGAGGGAGCTGTCAGGGCTGACAGTGTGTGGCCCTGATCCAGTCTCTACTCAATTATGCCTTGCACATGAGGAATGCATGCACAGGGGCTACAGACTCATTGCACCTCTTCTCATTCTCTCCTTATGTCTACCACATTTGTTCATGTATGTATACACCTGCTGAAAACTTAGCGCGCAGGTACGTTGCAGAACCAGCTCGATTTCTTACCAAGAACAGACACCTGGGCCCTGGCAGAATCTGGCACGACATCCTCAGGAAGCTCCAAGGAGAATGAATCTGAAGCAGAACCTCCTGATAATGAGATGAATATGTGGTTAATTTGAGGGTAACAGAAGTTTACGCAGAAAGCTCTGCAAGTGAAGCCAAATTTGACCGCAGTGGAATTCCTCACCGCCCCCAGTCCTCATGCCTGCACTTCCATTGGCAACAGTGGGGCCTTTCCTCTCATTCTGCTTAGCAGGGATAAAAGGTAAAGGGACCCCTGACCATTAGGTCCAGTGGTGGCCGACTCTGGGGTTGCAGCGCTCATCTCGCTCTATAGACCGAGGGAACAGGCATTCAGCTTCCGGGTCATGTGGCCAGCATGACTAAGCCGCTTCTGGCAAACCAGAGCAGCACACGGAAACACAGTTTACCTTCCTGCCAGAGCGGTACCTATTTATCTACTGCACTTTGACGTGCTTTCGAACTGCTAGGTTGGCAGGAGCAGGGACTGAGCAACGGGAGCTCACCCCGTCATGGGGATTCGAACCGTGACCTTCTGATTGCAAGTCCTAGGCTCTGTGGTTAACCCACAGTGCCACCCGCGTCCCTTAGCAGGGATAGGCAGGAACAATTCAGAGGTGGGGGTAAGCCTGCAGCAGGGCAAAGCTTCTCCCCCACCCCATGCTATTGTCCTGTTCCAGCTCAGTCCTCGCCTCTCCACAAGCAATTTGGTGTTTTGTTTTGTTTCCTAATCAGGGAAAACCCACTATTTAGTGACAGATCAGAAAAAGCCGCAAATTGCCAATTGAGTGCTAAAGAGCAGTCCCCCCCACCCCGGTGGTGGTGAATGCAGCTTGCCTCTCATTCCTGATACCTCTTTTTGGCCCTTAGGTTAAAAGGTGTTAGGTGCTACTGACCTTCAGGGCACAACAGAGAGCTATGAGCTTTCTCAGCCAGGACGCCCTCAGGCTGCCAGGGATGGGGAGAGAAAAAAAATCAGTTTTCAAACCATCAACATATTCACATAGCCTTCAGATTTGAACACCTGGTGTTTCATGCGGGAGGGGGGTCTCAAAAGGTCCCTCCCTTCACCCCTGTCATCCAGAAGCAGCAGAGTAATATGTGCTCCTCTGAAGGTGTTAGTCCCAGACACCTTGTGGAAGAAGGTGGAAGAATGTCAGCCAGTGGAAAGCTGCAATAAAAAGATGGTATTCTTTTTGCTAGCAGTTGAGAAGGAAATGGACAGAAGCTTCTCTGATGCTTCTGCAGCCAAGTTCTGCTTATGAGCTGATCACTTGGGGACAATAAAGATATTCACTTCTGAGTGTGTACAGTCCTTCTCCAGGGAACCCCAGGAAAAGGCTCTTTCCTGAAATTAGGGGCCATTCCAAAAATAATAATTGCTTTCCCCCTTTTACATCTCTTGCTGAACATTCAGAACGTGTCCTCCTTCTCACAAGAGCAGGTAAAGCACAGGTAGTCATGAATACTAGTCTAGTATATATATATATAGTATTATATATACTGATTACTAGTCTTTCCACAGGGCCTGCAAGACAAAGCTGTTCAAGACAAACCTGGCCTTCAGTTCCGACTCAGTCTGACCCTTATGTTTCCCTCCCCTTACGGTTTTGATGAGGCTGCATTTTAAATTGCATTTTAACCTGTATTTTAAATTGGTTTTTTTTCTTCTCTTTTCCCTATTATGTTTTTACTGTAATTTTACTGTTGTGAGCCACCCTGAGCCTGGCTCTGGCTGGGGAGGGTGGGGTATAAATAAAAATTATTATTATTATTATTAGTAGTAGGTCACTTCCCACTTCTCAAGTAGCCTCATGTCAGGGGAATCACAGAATCGTAGAATTGGAAGGGACCCTGAGGAACCCCCCCTGCGATGCAGGAATATGCAGCTCTCCCATATGGGGATTGAACCTGCAACCTTGGCGTCATCAGCACCATGCTCTAACCAGGTGAGCTATCCATATAGTCACGGGGAGGGGGATTTGTGGAGGTAGAAAGAAATGCTGTATTATAGACTCACCCGGACAAGGAGAGACTTGATCAAGGTGTCACTTCGGCCCTTTTCTGGCACGGCGGTCGGCTCACCACCACAGAGTTTCTCACTTTTGAGTGCCATTGTGGTGACAGTGAAGTTCATCACACCTGACGGCAAATGACAGAAAATGCGTTCATCCCTGCAAAAACACGCTGTTTCAGAAATCAGGAACAATTTCTATAAGGTCCCCTCCTCCCTGCCTGATTTCCTTGATAATTCCTAATGAGCCCAGCTCATAATTGCTGGTAGGTGACAGACTGCTTCAAGAGGCTTCCCTCTGTGGAGTAATTTTATTAATATAAAATATAAAATAAAAAGTGCAGGGCAAAAGGTAAGTGTGGATAAGCCGTCAGATGGCTTTCTCAGAGGCTTCTGGTTGGCTACTGTGGAAAGAGAACGTGGGACCTAGATAGGTTTTCGATCCAGAGGGCTTTGCCTTACAGTCTGTGATTAATAATAATAATAATAATAATAATAATAATAATAATAATACAGTGGAACCTCGGGTTATGTACAGTCCTCCTTATGAACACTTTGGGTAACAAGCTCTGCTAACCCGAAGGTAGATGCTCCTGGTTGCAAACTTTGCCCTGGGATGTGAGCGGAAGTCACGTGCCAGCGACGCAGCGGCAGTGGGAGGCCCCATTAGCGAAAGCGCGCCTCATGTTAAGAATAGTTTTGGGTTAAGAACGGACCTCCAGAAGGAATTAAGTTCGTAACCGGAGGTACCACTGTAATTTATTATTTATACCCTGCCCACCTGGCTGGTTGTTGAGGGATTTGTCCCGTTTCCCCATTCAGTACTTTCGTTGTGCCACTGGGCGAGAGGCACAGAACATCAACAAATACAGTCGTACCCTGGATCCCGAATGCCTTGGTACTCAGACGTTTTGGCTCCCGAATGCTGCAAACCCAGAAGTGAGTGTTCCGACTGAACCCAAACATCTGATGGGGCTTCCAATTGGCTACAGGAGTTTCCTGCAGCTAATCAGAAGCCGCACTTTGGTTTCCGAAAGTTTTGGAAGTGGAATGGACTTCCAGAAGGGATTCCATTCAACTTCCAAGTTACGACTGTATCACTGTTAGAATCAAGGAGGAAGTCCCCCATTGCAACAAAGTATTAAGACCCAGAAACCCAGGTGCTATTGCAGCTGAGCTGATTCTTCATTCCCCTCCTCCAGCATCAGATTTTGCAAAGGAGCTCTAGATAAGGGATGCAGGAATTTTGAGTTCCAGAACATAGACAAGTGACAGATGCACAGATGGAATGGCTCAGACTGTGGGAGGGATAATGGTTGCCATACAGAAAGGAGATGGGGATATTGCTTAAGGTGGAACACTGTTATGGCCAGGTGGATTCATCTTCTCTCTGCCCATCTCTCCTTAGGCCACCTCACCCAGTTTAGAGGCCTTCACATTCCAGGAGTAAGTCTTCGCTTCACCAGCACATAAGCAACTTGTGTATTCACAGTCCTTGCATGGCTGCATCTGATAATCTTCAGACTTGGATAGGATAACCTGGACCTATGCAGCAAAGGGGAAAGGAAAGAGGGAAGGAAGTTTTACTCTGGATTCTGCTCACGGCTGGATTATAATGGTGCAATTGAAGCAAGTTTACCAGGGCGCATGCCTGCAGGAGCCAAGACCCCAAGCAGAATGACTTCAGCTTGTACAATGGGACATAAGACCCTCTTTCCCTCCCCCCCTGCCCTCCACAAATCAGATCCAGAGGATCAGGAGAACCCCCCCAGAACAGGTTTAGGGTGCCCTAAAATGATGTTTGTTATCTCAGTGATTTTGATATTGGGACAGAACACAGGATAGTGAGAGCAGGTTTTATTTTCGTTTTAAAACTCAACAATCAGGAGAAATATTGATTCTGTGCTTTTCTTTACTATTTAACCCGTGAAAGCAAAGGAATAAAAAATTGATGTCAATAACACAAACGCTAACTCCCTCTTTGCAGTGGTCTTTTTTTTTTTTATAAATATTTTTTATTAATTTACAACAAAAACAAAAACACACAATAATTTCGCATCCAATTTTTCACAAAGTATTTCTTTTCTGCACTTCCTTCAGCTTTTCCATAAATCGTTCATAGTCATTATTTAAGTTACGCATTCCTTAGGTTTGTATTGTCATTATTTGAGCCTTTCTTTTTCTATTCCCTTTTAACAATACCTCTCACATTTCACAGTGCTTCTTTAAATCCCTCTAGCGTTATCTGTCCCTCACTTATGCTTTTCAGATATTCCACTCTTTGCAGTGGTCTTATACCCCATATTTCCAGAGTCATGTGAGCTACTGTAGGTTAGGTTGAGAGTTCTGGTAGCTGGCTCAAGGAAGCGAGCAAAATCAATGATAAGTTAAGTGAGTTTAAAATGTGGAATTCCAAATACTCAGAATATTTTTTGAAGTTCACAACAGCTTATGCCATAATATATTTATTTATTTGTGTGTGTGTGTGTGTGCATATGCATACGGTATATTTACACTGTATCTATTAGCATTTTTATAATTCGTTTGTTCGTTAGCCTTTTGGTTTAGATGAAAATGATACATGTATCTAGTTTTTCTTTGTTAATTTTTTTTTAATAAATCCCCCCAAAGCTATCAAAATTGGAAAATTATATGTCTGGGCTACTGTAAACCCTTGCACATCCCTTGCCCTCCCTCCTTTCACTGAGGCACCTGGTCAACCCTCTGGCTTAAAAGAGGCGATACACCTGCTCTACTTAACAAGGAATTGAATTCTTAGAGCATGGGGGGTTAGTGAAGATCTTCCTTACCCACATGCAGTGTTTCAAATAGTTGAAGACGGTGGCGATCATTGGAAACGACTCCCCACGAACCACGGAATAGGGCAGGGTGACGTCCACAAAGAAAGGCTTAAAGACCGTCAGCCTCGCTGGTGGGGAAATACCCAACCCGCTGCTTTGGGAGGTGCAGAACATGCTGACTTTCCATTCAGTGATGGTGTCCGGAACTGTGAGTGCCACTGACTTCTCACCTGAAGGACTACAAAGAATGTAGGAAGTGAGGGCAGGAGATGGCAGTTCTCCTTGCAAAAGGGAGATTTCTCTCCCCCCCCGCCCCCCTCCCGCTGCTGCCCCAACAGAGGTCGTGCATTTCAAAAGTGCATGCCCACGTTTGGTTAATACCGTATTGGCCCAATTATAAGCTGCACCCGAATATAAGCCGCACCTTTAAAATTGATGGGGTGGAGGGGAAAAAAACAAACACCCGAATATAAACTGCTCCATTCCTCGCCGCTCCTGGCTGCATACTGGGGGGGGAGGAGCCACGCTGCGTTGCCCGTGGCCTTTCCCCTTCCTCGCTCTCTCTCTCTGCCTTCCCGGCCTTGGGGGAGAGGATGGGGGACTATGCGTGGGGCGCCGCCATTTTGCTGCACTCCTGGCGCTGTTTGCTCCGCGCTCCTGGCTGCATACCATAAGGTCACAAATATAAGCTGTACTTTAACTTTTCAAGGTTGGAATTTGGGGGAAAAGTGAGGCTTATACTCAGGCCAATACGGTATGTATTTATCTGTTTGTTTGTTTGTTTGTTTGTTTGCTTGCTTGCTTGCTTGCTTGCTTGCTTTTTACTGTTGATATGTTTGGGGAATAGTGTAAGACATGTCAATTTATTTTCATTATTGTTTGCATAACTGAAACAAACAAAAACATGATTGTCCATAGGAAAAACTAAATTGCTTCTTCCATGCTGACCCCTGACCATCAGGTTCAGTTGTGACCAACTCTGGGGTTGCGGCGCTGATCTCGCTTTATTGGTTGAGGGAGCCGGCGTACAGCTTCCAGGTCATGTGGCCAGCATGACTAAGCCACTTCTGGTGAACCAGAGCAGCACATGGAAACACCCATTTACCTTCCCGTTGGAGGGGTACCTATTTATCTACTTGCACTCTGACGTGCTTTCAAACTGCTAGGTTGGCAGGAGCAGGGATTCGAACAGCCAACCTTCTGATCGGCAAGTCCTAGGCTGAGGCCTCCTTATTTCACCACTCTGGGGGGTTGAAGAAAAGCAGCTGGGCACATGGTCAAAGTCCATGTAATTTGGCCCTTAGATGAACACGACCAGAGATCGCATAAGACCTTTTGATGCTTGAGGCAAATAATGGCACCTGTCATTCAGGAAGGTCAAATATAATGATAAATTGAATCAATGACAATGCACTTCCTTTTTGGGGTATCCCAAAACCTGCCACCTTGTAATGTACCACCTCCCTTTACCTGGTAGGGCTGGCCTTGACAAATTATGGGTAACCTCACAGGTGGGAGGTGGACACTGGTATGGTGGCAACCCCTGTCCACCCCAGGTTATACCTATTTGGAAGTACCAGCTGTATTGACTTTTTGGTTCCAGGCAAATAATGTTTTTCTTTGCACTGAATGTTAAGTTGCCCATTTATCAGGTTCCGTCTTACTGAAGGGCAGTCTAAAATCATTGCCAAACTCGATGTGTTTGAATGAATGGCTTTTGTAGCAAGGTCAGGAACCTGGCGTGGGAGGACAGGGTGGGTGGGAGTGGATGATTTAACCCTTTACCCCCTCCCTCTCCAGCTATTTGAATGAAGTGTTCCCATTTGCAACACCTGAATGCAAATAGCAGGGGCAGAGAGGCTGATCTGGATACTGGGCTGCAGCAGAACCCCAATCTGGATCAAGCCCCTTGCAAAAGTTCCCTTAGCTGCATTTGGTAATAGGGGAAGGGAAGGGTAAAACCTCCCCATGCATTGCAGTCCCAATAAAAACCGAGTCCCTCCATGCTTTCTATTAAAGAAACAAGCAAACCAAAAACCTCAAATGTGGTTGGCAGCTGCACATTTAGCATCATGTAAGGCCTTAGTATTTTCTGGAGTTAGGACAAGCTTTCATATTTTCTTCTTCCTTCCTGATATGTACCATGAGCAGTGCTTTTCTTTTCTGGGGAGACGCAGGGGTACGCATACCCCTAAACATTTTGTGCATCTTTGTACTTTTGTCCATTTACTGTATTTATTTCCCCCGATTTGAACTAGAAAATGGTGATTTTCTTGAGTCAAAATGAGAGTACCCCTAAACATTTTTTAGAAAAAAAGCACTGACCATGAGCATGTACCATGGAATAGAAATGCGAGTAGAAATCCCAGTATTGTGTGATATATTTGGCTGCCATTATTGTTGCCATATTTATTTCACTTAAAACTGGGAGAAATGTACCATATTTTTCGCTCTATAAGACACACTTTTCCCCTTCTAAAAAGTAAGGGGAAATGTGTGTGCGTCTTATGGAGCGAACGCAGGCTGCACAGCTATCCCAGAAGCCAGAACAGCGAGAGGGATTGGTGCGCACCAATCCCTCTTGCTCTTCTGGCTTCAGGGATAGCCACACAGAGCCTCTTGAGTGCAGCGGGAGCGCTCCTGCCTCTTCGCTCAAGAGGCTTTGCGTTGCTTTCTTGTTTCTTTTTTTCCTCCTCTAAAAACTAGGTGCATCTTATGGTCGGCTGCGTCTTATAGAGCAAAAAATACGGTAATTTAAACGCAAGATCTGGGAGGAGTCCATCTCAGGAACATGGACGTAGCCAGGATTTTTGTTGTGGGGGCGGGTCTTGGGGGGGGCAGAACCTCAGTTTGCTATGTATTTTATTGATTTTAATTGATTGGGGGGGGGGAGCTTGTTGAGATACTGCCGGGGAGACATCAGGCATCAGGCAGGCCCCCAGCCGGCTCCAGCCACCGGCCGGCAGCCTGTCTCCCTTGGAACAGCATCAATCAGTGACACGAGCCTCAGATACATTTAGAGACTCGTGCATGCTCTATCAGCAGAGTGTGTAAATCTTCTCACAGCAGAAGAGGCGGACAGAGAAATGTGTAAGCGTAATGTACAGTGGTACCTCAGGTTAAGTACTTAATTCGTTCCGGAGGTCCGTTCTTAACCTGAAACTGTTCTTAACCTGAAGCACCACTTTAAATAATGGGGCCTCCTGCTGCCGCCGCGCCGCTGGAGGACAATTTCTGTTCTCATCCTGAAACAAATTTCTTAACCTGAGGTAATATTTCTGGGTTAGCGGAGTCTGTAACCTGAAACGTTTGTAACCTGAAGCGTATGTAACCCGAGGTACCACTGTACAGCATTTTATTCAGCATAGTTCAGGAACAGAGGAAAACATGTCTGCTTCTCTTCATTTCCAGCAAAACAGAAGTAACACAAAAGCAATATACAAACGGAAGTTCCCAGCAAGATCTGTGCTGGAAGTAAACAGGCATGTGACACACAACAGTCATGCCTGTACCCTTTTAAGGTGGAACGGAACTATATCTTAACAGAGCTGCCCCTCCCTGCCCCCCATGCTCAGGAATTAATCAGAACTTACTCAACATTATACAGCTTCCAGATCCAGGTTTCAGGGAAGTTCTGACGGACTTGAGCATCAACGTCTGCGTCAGACGACCAAGGACGGGATTCAGATGCGAGTGCCGGTCTACTCCCTGATTGCAAACCTCCTCCAAGCAACCCTGCTCCAACAAAACAGAAATGCTTAGACTTCTGCCTTGAAAGTGTGGGGCAAAAGATAAGTGTGGCTAAGCCCTCTGTCAAACCACCTTTAACATGGTAAGCACAGATACATACACCAATAATCTGGAATTGGAAACCTCCTTACTTGAAGCAACCATGCCATAGGGAGAGTAGTGGTGCCTGCATGTTGCTGGCTTCTTAATTTTGTTGTTTGACAAGACTTTCAGCCCCATAACCTGTCAGTGGTGAGAGAGACCAAGGAAAGGAATCGCATTAGTTGTGCAGGTCAATGATGCCAGCTTTTTTTATACCTTCTTCCATCTATCCACACAGCACGCATGTCTTTCTTTCTTTCCTCCCTCCTTCTCCCGTTCTCTAGGGTTAGCGACACACACGATTTCTTAAAGGGAGATGAAATGAATAATGGGTTGTTTCCAAAAGGGAGTTTGCTGGGCAACCTCAACAGCTGGCACGTGCCATTTTCACACAGGTTCATCATCAAAATGCCAGCCTGGTTTTTCTTAAATTTAATCTGGATCTGGGAATCCCTGAATGCTGTTCAGTGCCTCTTCTACACTAACTCCCCTATTCCAGTTGAAGACTGCATAATAAAGGGCACTTACTTTGAGGAAACTGAAGAAGTCTACCCCACCATCATCAAACCAGGGTCTCCAGCTGTAGCGCTTGCTTCGTGCCAGTGGCATAGGGTCTCCGATTGGTCCTGGTCCATCGCAGTGATCGTACTCGGTGACTTGATAAGGATACCCTCCTAGGAAGTAGAACCTGTCATACACCTGCAAAGGAACACATGGCGCGTCAAGCAAAAGGATGTGAATTAAGTTGGTGAGGGTAGATGTGAAAGGATCTATATCTGACGATTCTAAACCATCAGAGAATAAATCTCAAGTTCTCATATATTTCCCAAAACTTACAACTGAATAACCAAATTCAGTTTCCAAAGTTACACCACGTAGATCTGGAGATGAGAAAGGAGAAGGAGTAGATCTCCAAACTCCTAGCAGCGGTAATGATGAAGGGGTCGAAGGACAACAGGATGGGGAATTGCCAAACTCTGAATGTGACAAGGATACTGATGCAGTTTCAAAACTGGATATCAGGCGCTGTCAGAGGAGGAATGGTGGAGACCACCTCCCCACCTTGACCCTTCCAGGGAGGAGGAAGAGGAAGACAGTATAGATTTACAACGGGGGCTTTGAGGGAAGTCACAGCTCAGAGGCAGATGAGGGGGAAAGCTGGGAAATCATGGGAGAGCCAGAACAACACCTGGCTGACACGTTGTCACTAAAAAGCATTCTAGACCCTCCAACTCCCAGAACCCGGCGAGCCTTAAAAGTAGGAGAGCAAAGAGCTCAAAGACAGAAGGCACGTAGCAGCACCCGTAGAAGTGATGCATGAGGAAGTAGGAGAGATGAGGGGTGGAAATTCACTCGGGACAAGGCAATTATCCAAGAGGCTGGGTTCTATAGCCTCTCTCTGTAAAGATTGAAATAAAAAGGACAGTAAGAAACTTTTCCTTGTCTTTATACTTTCCTGGGCCAGCCAGCTGGGAGCCGCTGACAGCCTCCTGACAGGCACTAGTAATGGCATTCCACTAGTAAGATTGCCCTACACTGCAAGGACAGTGCTGCCTCATGAATCCTCTGATTGCGAAGAAATTCAGCAAATGCTCATTTATGGAGAAAGGCTGCCCAAGAAGAAATTGATGCACTACATCAAAATAATACACGGATACTTATTTTCCAGCCACCTACAGGGGGAAAAGCAAGTGGGTACAAGTGGGGTTTTTTTAAATTAAACAAGAGAATGTGCTAGCAAGTGATATGTTATTGCCCAGAAAAGGACTTTGGGGAGAAAGACCGCCATGGCTAGGAAAATGCTCTTGGAAAACTTGAGAAAATTTCTCAAGAACGCCTTCCTCTGTGCTCCTCTCATCTGAACCTGATGCACAAATGCCCAGGAACTGGGGTGGAAAATTCAGCAGCTGTTTTCTTAAGGAGTTTATTCTCTCATCCTGTGAACAGTTCACCCTTTTATTGTGAATGGCAATTGTGTGTGTGTAATGGGAGTAAAGGGACGCGGGTGGCGCTGTGGGTAAAAGCCTCAGCGCCTAGGGCTTGCCGATCGAAAGGTCGGCGGTTCGAATCCCCGCAGCGGAGTGCGCTCCCGTTGCTCGGTCCCAGCGCCTGCCAACCTAGCAGTTCGAAAGCACCCCCAGGTGCAAGTAGATAAATAGGGACCGCTTACTAGCAGGAAGGTAAACGGCGTTTCCGTGTGCTGCTCTGGCTCGCCAGAGCAGCGATGTCACGCTGGCCACGTGACCCGGAAGTGTCTCTGGACAGCGCTGGCTCCCGGCCTCTAGAGTGAGATGATCGCACAACCCTAGAGTCTGTCAAGACTGGCCCGTACGGGCAGGGGTACCTTTACCTTTACCTTTAATGGGAGTACATGTACAGTGCATAAGTGTACTGTACTTATGAGACATAAGTCTCATTTTCATTCATTCTCTCTCTGCCTTACGGTTGTGTTGGTGAAGTCTCTGTCATTCCTGAGGAGCAAGACACTTTGGTCCACAGCCCGAATGGCACACAGTGACCCAGGTGTTGCCTTCAGTTCAAGGTCGATGCTTGTTCCGGGAAGCTCCTGCTGCTGAGATAACCCCAGGCTGACCTGCAGAAGTGAATGCTGAGAATCAGAAGTGCCAAAACAAAGCAGGGGGCATAAAACCATAGACAAGTATTTACCAAGCAGATAATCATATTTTAGAATGGGCAACCCAGAAAACATCTGTCTGACTCAGTTGTGGCACTGGTGCATGAAACTTTCTCTGACCTTTAAACGTTGTGTTAAATATATGTATTTAATCTGTATATTATTTTAATTCTATGAGAGTTTAATTTCTTTTTCACAATTATCCTTTTTTAGCTCTGTGTGTTTTATCTGTGCTGTTTTAATTTGTGTAAGCCACCTTGAGTTCCAGTCTGGAAAAAAGGCATGATATAAATAAGGAAGAAGAAGAAGAAGAAGAAGAAGAAGAAGAAGAAGAAGAAGAAGAAGAAGAAAATATAACATTTACTAACAGATTAAGACTGGATAGACTATTTTTACTGTTTACTCACATGGAAAAATGCACCTCAGGGAGGTCCCTGAAGTCAGATCTCCCTGCCCCCAATAAGCTCCCTTTAATAACTCTTAATTTTCTATAGTGCTACTTTAGGTTTGCCATATTCCCAAAAGTGAAAATCCGGACAAAGTTTTTGAGCTTTTTGAGGGGAACATCTCTCCCCCCCCCTCATTAAGTTTTTAGGCTTTTTTAATTTTTAAAGCTTTTTTATTTTTAATCACCCTACTTGCCATTCGTCCAAGATATCCCAGACATTTTGCCAATTTGGCAAAAATCCGCCCGGACGCCATTTTCAGAACCCGATTCCCAGATGTGCCTGGGAAAATCTAGACGTATGGCAGCCCCAGCTACTTCCTTCCTCACGTGTGTGTGTGTGTGTGTGTATTAATCCCAAATCATATTTCTTGCAATCTTGATGGTAGCTCCTAACATCATTCATTGCTCTTCCACTGTATGAGACATGGGGAATTGCAACTGACTTTCCACACAGCTGGGGGTACCGTACTTTGTGAGTCTGCACATCCTGCTATGTTCTGTCCACACTAGTGGATGTGACACACATGTGTGGGTGGGAGAGGGGAGGATATAAATCATCTGACCTGAGCACCACTTTTCAAAAACCTTACCCTGCCCTGCCTTTTAAAAAAATTAAAATCAAGTTTCCATGTGCTTCAAGGCAGCGGTGTACTTGCAAAGGGGTACCTCGGATCTCCCCCCCCCCCATTTTCTGGGTACGTGATTGGCGCATGAGAGCCACTTTCCTGTGGCGATCACACATGGTCCCTGGACGTTTCACCGTCTATTGATCCCTGTGACACCACTTTCTTCCTCACTGCCACCACCCAGGCCCTATCTGGTACAATACTGAGTCCAGTCAGGGTTAAATTGGAACATAAACTTCTGTTAATTTATTGCAGTTTAACAAGTGTGTGGTTTCAAAAACGGTATCAGTCAATTACTTTCATGGGGTGCCTATCCAGACCTATAACTTCCGCTTCCTGCTCTCACTCAATAAACCACCTCTCAGATATTTACGTGTCTTCCTACCCCCTAACTGTTCCTGACTCAGCTTATTTCGCTACACTAACTCAACCTGCCCACAGACTCTATCCCAATTCACTCCCACTCCAACCAACCACCCAACTCCCACCCTTCACCCCTCCTAGAGCTGGTTTTATAGTCCCTCTGACTCCACCCCCGGGTTCTGATTGGGTAACCTGTTTAACTATTTCACCTCCAGCACTCTCATATGTTAACATCACACCCACGTATTCCGGTTATTTCCCCCCAGTCATGTCTGATGACATTCAGTTCTGCTGCTTGCCATCCACACCAGTAAGTGGGTCTTGATGGAATGTACCTGGGCTGTGGCTTTTGTCCCTTCCCACAAAGGAAAGCAGGAAATTGTAATGTCATAGGACACTCAGATCAGCTCTGCTATCAAAGAAGGGATTAAAAAACAGAGCTACCCTTTGTTTTTCATTTTAAAAAATAATAACCCAGAGGTCTTGCACAAGAGTGCAAAAGTGATAAAGAGGTTTTGTGCAAGACCTCAATATCAAAGGGGTGGGGTGGGTGGGAGTCAGATGTATGGGCTGGGATTACAGCCTCTCAGATAATATCTCATGTTTACGGCTCACCTGGTTTTTGAAGCACATGGACACTTCAAAGCTGACTTTGTCTGCAATGGCGCCTCCATCGTGGAAGAGAGAATAAACGGCCAAGGATGGTTGTGGTGCAAAGTCGGAGGTGAAGGGCAATGAAATGGAGAAGGATCCTTGCAGACCTGAAAGAGGGGAGGAAGGTTTCAGAGTGGAGGATTCAGTCATCAATATGACTCCTTAATCCACACCAAACCCCAGACTTTCAATCCATCACTCTTTATTCTCTCCCTTCTCCTTCACAAGACATCTCCTTTAACCTGCCCCCCCACTCTAGTCTAATATAAAATATAAGTATTTCACCACTTACATTCCCAGGTATTGTCCATATAGTAGTCTAGTGGGAACACCATCTAAAAAGCCAAACTCTGCCCAAAAGTCACAGAAATCCACCAAACTCCACCACAAACTCTCCCTTCAAACCTCCTCCCTCTCTCTCTCTTTAAAATTTTATTTAGTTTAATAAAATAAAATAAATAAAAATTATTTAACATAAAAAGAGAATTCTGAAGAGTCTCCTGAACTTCCCTCCTCCCCTTTGTGGGTCCTTATATTAATAACCTTTTCCTCCTGCATCTTGTCTATTAATCCAAATTTTTAAAATCTCCATTATACCCGAAATTCAACATTAAACTACAAGTGTTGTTGCAATCCTACAAATAATAATTTAAATTATTTAATCAGGCCATTCCCCCCCACCCTTAGCTCCTTTTTGCAGTTTAAATTGATTGATTTAACTATTTCCCAGTGTCACGTGTATACCCAGTTGTGAGCGAATCAAACATGCAGAAGTGGGGAGGGATTTGACAGATAGACTTACCTCCCCCATCGCCACCCACATTCTTTTGTCCATGCATAAGGATTTTCCCCCTTCCTGTCACCTGGGGAAGGAAGAAGCATATACAGGATAAAAACATCCAGAAAGGGACACTCTTAACAGACATATTTCTCAGGCGGCAGATGTTTTGATGCCAAAGACATTAGGGCACTAGTGTGGAAGCAACAGAGGAAAGGACCTAAACGGCCTCGGCCCAGTATACCTGAAGGAGCGTCTCCACCCCCATCGTTCAGCCTGGACACTGAGGTCCAGCACCGAGGGCCTTCTGGCGGTTCCCTCACTGCGAGAAGCCAAGTTACAGGGAACCAGACAGAGGGCCTTCTCGGTAGTGGCGCCCTCCCTGTGGAACGCCCTCCCACCAGATGTCAAAGAGAACAACAACTACCAGACTTTTAGAAGACATCTGAAGGCAGCCCTGTATCGAAGTTTTTAATGTTTGATGCTTTACCATTTTTTTAAATATTCTGTTGGGAGCTGCCCAGAGCGGCTGGGGAAACCCATCAGATGGGCAGGGTATGTATGTACAGTATGTATTATGTATGTATGTATGTATGTATGTATGTATGTATGTACAAACAAACAAACAAAAAGTATTATATAACATTTAGGAAACTTCTGAAGGCAGCCCTGTATAGGGAAACTTTTTAAGGTTTAATGTTTTACTATGTTTTTATATATTCTGGTAGCCCCCCCAGAGTGGCTGGGGCAACCCAGTCAGATGGGCAGGGTTCAAATTATTATTATTACTATTATTATTATTATTATTATTATTATTATTATTATTATTATTCTCCTGGAAAACACTCCAAGAACTGAACCAAGAAGGGTGAAAACTGAAGTCCTGTCCTCTCTCTTTGGCCAGCTAGTTTTGGGTTGTTGCTTTTTTGTCTTGCCAACCCTTCTGTCCTCAGCCAGGATGCTCACATAATAAGAGAAGGTGATTCCTTTCGCTTTGCCTTCTTTGCCTAGATCACTGTCCTTAATGCTGTAATCCACTTGAATCTCCTGCTCCTGATTGCAAGGCAGCACTCCTGGCACCCGCCGGACTTTCACAGAGCTCTTTGCCGTGGTGTAGTAAGGCTGTAGATAGAGGAAAGCGTTCTGGTGGTACTGATTGATTTTCCCGGGTTCATACACTGGATCCTTCAGATGGAGTCTTCCCTGGGAAAGAGATAAAGTTGCAGCCTTTGGTCAAACAACCAGTTAAAGTGACTGATCCAAAAAACTTTGACTACCGACAAAAAGACTCCCTAAGAAATCAGGAGACATGTGGAATCTTTAATTTTCATCTTAAAAATATTAAAAGTCTTAAAAGAGGCATTATCCTTCACTCTCATAATGAGGGAATGCTTCTTCTCAAACTATACATAACATTGATGGCATTAATAATAATAATACCCCGCCCTTCCCAGCCAAGACCGGGCTCAGGGCGGCTAACACCAGGTATAAAAACAATTGATTAAAATACAACTTAAAAACAAGATTAAAGTACAACATTAAAATGCAGCCTCGTTTCAGTAGAAACTCAAATCAAAAACAATCACGTTGTGTGTGAAAAAATAAATTCTAGGTTTCCCTCCCCTATTATTATCAGGAGCACAGCACATGGGGAGGGGAAATTTAAGTGCTTCCCTCCCCATCCATAATCTCTGAATCCCCACCCCACACATTGGTGCCAATGGAAGATCCCCGAACGATAAATGTGCTGGGGGGGGGGGGATGAATGGGGAGGGAAGGTTTAAACCTCCCCTCTCCATATGCTGCAATTGTGACAACAATCTGGGGTAAGGGGGATGATGCTGGTCTTTAATTTACAAAAAAAAAATATCAAATCACAACTTTATTGTTAACCATTTGGCATGTGAAGTTAAGACATAAGATTAGGAGAGTGTATGTTGCAGCAAGCAGCACCTAAAGCCAAATTCAGTATGCATTTCTTTCTTCAAAATTATTTTTCTATTCATATGTAACTGTATACAGGGTTATTTAATTGATTGATTCAGGCGACAGCCGTAATTAGATGCTTGCGTCCATTGCTATTTTTCTAGAGAAAGAGGTGCCGGAACTCACTATGAACACCTCCCTCATTCTCTTCGACTGGGGAGCCCACCTGAGAGGGGCTGGAATGGAATTCCGATGCGTTCAGGCTGCAAAAAAGCCCTGCTTGTGTCTATTAAATTAGCAGCTGTCTTGACTCAAGATATGTTTGATGCAACACTACCATCTGCTGGGAAGTGGGGAGAAGCAGAACTGATTGTGTATGAAAGAGGATACAGCCACTATCACACTTCAGGCCTAGAAAATCTCTGTCCCAAAATGGCTTTGTATTGTATTGACAATGCAAGACCCATGCTGGACAGAGTGCTCCTTCACAGTATAACTCCCATCTGCTTCCTCTTCCATAAAGCACCACAAGAGCAGCTTACAGGCAATTTAAGCCTCATGTATAAAGACGATCAGCTCCTGTTCCTAGCTTCTCCTCCTTTCCCACCCAGTTCTTAGCGATTCCCTTCCTGCATTTGATCCCCTGCTAAGATATCCAGAGTGGACTCTGCTCCACCTGCCATGCTTGTCTCATGTTTGGCTGCTGAAAACTTGTGCCTTATTCTGCTTCCTTAAAGGTAAAGGTAAAGGGACCCCTGACCATTAGGTCCAGTCGCAGACAACTCTGGGGTTGTGACGCTCATCTCGCTTTATTGGCCAAGGGAGCCGGTGTACAGCTTCCAGGTCATGTGGCCAGCATGACTAAGCTGCTTCTGGCAAACCAGAGCAGCGCATGGAAACACCGTTTACCTTCTGCCAGAGTGCTACCTATTTATCTACTTGCACTTCGTGATTTCAAACTGCTAGGTTGGCAGAAGCAGGGACCGAGCAATGGGAACTCACCCTGTCGTGGGGATTCAAACCACCAGCCTTCTGATCAGCAAGCCCTAGACTCTGTGTTTTAACCCACAGCGCCACCTTACTGCTAGGCAAACTGGTTAGAGTTTTATGGTTTATATGGCCAACAGGTAGATCACGATTGCGGGGCGCCTGTGGTAGATCATGGTAGATCCGGGAACCCACCCCCCTAAAAACAACTTTGATGATCTCCCAAAAAAGCTCAACAATTTTGTTCCATCCAGAATCCAGTGTGTAGATCACTGCCAGTTTTTTTTTTTTTTTTATAGTGGGAGTAGATTGCAGTCTCTTGGAAGTTGAACTAGCCTGGTTTATAGAATGTTAATGAAAGTTTGATATCATTGCTTATTCTGTATTTTAAACCATACACATTCTGATTTGGGGGAGGGGTGGTCTATAGCAGAAAAGTGGCATAGAAATAATTTTTACCACCCTAACTGCATTACATTAATTCTCCTCCAGATGTACTTTGTTCTCTCCTGATTAATAGGCAGTTGGAAGGAGAAGCTAGAAAAAAAGCCATTTGTCCATCAAACTTTACTATGTGTTATAGTCTAGGAGCTGGAGCAAATTCCAAGCATGGCTTTTCCATTCAAGGTTTCTCATGGAAACAAGGAAGTCTGGAGAGAATGTTTTTGGAGTCTTGTTCTGAAGCCATGCCTTTGCTTCTTGCTGTGTGGTGTACACAGAATGCAGAGCAGTATCCTCACCTCCAGAGAGACCCCTTTTCCATTCCACACTTCTGTGTCTAATGAAAACTCAGCTATGCCATTGCTGTCAGTAGTAAGCAGCATGTTGGTCTGGTTGTTATTTAAATTAATTACTAAGAACACATTGTGGTTCTTCATGATGGAGCCATCTCTTTGCAGGGCTTTGAGCTGTGAAGAGAAAGAAGAAGAAAGTTGAGATTTACTTACATCACTGAAATTATCCACAGTTGCTTCTCTGCTGCCTCATTACATCCGTCAGAGTCTTCAAGAAACGTTTTCTAAAAGTCCTCTATTAGAGGGTTTAGGTGATAGTTCAGATGCAAAAGAAAGAGGACTTTCAGAGCAAAGAGAATCTTCCCAAAATGGGGGAGAAGATGGGTTTTCTCTCCAATATATAAAATTGTAATGATGTTGTCACACTGCAGTTTGCTTGGTCACAGAACAGGTGGTTTTGCAAAGTCTAGTGTGGTGAGCTGCTGAGCTGCTAGGAGGGTGGGTGGCACAGGTGTGGCAAGAAGAGATGAAGAGGGATTGGAGAATGGAGATGCAGACCCAGGTGAGATGAAGAGGAGGGAACTGGAGGCTGGAGACACAGGCAGGGAAGTGACCCAGGACCACAGTCCAGGCAAACTGAAGAAGTATGGCAAGTTCTGAGGCAGGTGAGATGTAAAGGGAGAGGTATGAGGGGTTGGCAAGGTATAAAGGGATAGCTGATTTCACCAGGTGTAAAGGGAAGGCAAGGAGGTTTGGCAGGAGAGTGTTTGTTTGAAATCATGTAGTCAATTGAGCTCTTTTGTAATATTGCACCAAAGAGTACTAGGAAGTTCTTGAAAATTATAGGAATTACCTTTCCCCTGAAGGGGTAACCTTGATGGTAGTAATCATCTGTCTCCACAAAGTTCATAGATCCAGCTTGATCAGACATATAGAATTGACGAGCAACATTTGCTTGTACTCCTGTAAAAAACAAACACAGAAAACCCTGCCTAGCAGTGTCGGATATTTTTGCAACGTATAACACAGCATGCACACATCGTCCCGGGGGGGGGGGGAATGAGCTCCAATATTAACCAGAATACTCTGCAATCCTAACTGATACAGACCAGAACTGGTCAATGATGGTGGATTATTCAACCATAGGTAGTAGAGACCTTAGAGTACTGGCACTCAGTAGATGCCAACGTATGGTTATTTTTTTCTCTTTTTAAAAAGGTTGGTTCCAAGCATTCTGTTGTGCAACCAAGAAACAGAAACTAAGACATGGCTTTGCAGAGGACAGGGAGAAAGAACAATACTTGTCAATAGCCCTATTCAGGCATAAGTCCTCTGTGTTGAATCAACACGAGGGTGGGGAAGGGAAAGAGAAGGGACAAGCTTGGTAACTCCACCCCCTGTTGCCATTTCCTGCTCCATGGGTTGGAGGGCAACCATTTGCCCGGCGAGGAGCCTGTTCTACACAAGGAGGCTCACTGTGCAACATAGCAGGACCTTTTCAACACATAGGACAAATGCCCAACTTGAGCCAGCAACTCATTGTTGGCACCCTATTGTCTCAATCGTCAGGGTGAAGTAAACCGCGGCGTTAGCAGTACCAAAGTGACATCTCTGGGGCACAAGTCTGGGCAGTGTGTACGGAGGTCCTGGGCTGCCCAGACAACAAGACTGCCCTCTCGGCCTTGCTGTTGTGGTGCAAAGTGTAATAATAAAGTTTAAGGTCTTATATATATAATAAATGTTCATAAATGTACCAACCAAGCGCGTACATAGATCAGCACAGGAAGACTGACCTGAAACCATTTTGACTCCCAAACTGACCAAATGTTTTCTCTGCAAGGAGGGAGGGGGGTGAGGCAACCTTCCCATTGTCTCAGGAATTGGGAAATCACCATCTCAAGAATGGCAGACTACCAGGAAAGGCAATCAGATAAGGCATTATCAGATAATCTGACAGACAGGAAAAACAACAGCATTCAAATTTCTGTTGTAGACCACCTTTTCTGCGATGTAGGTATGATGTTTGTGGGGGGTGGTCTTGGGTTACAGCCCTTCTGTGATGTATGTATGATGTATGGAGGGGTGGTCTTGAGCTCCAGGGCAGGGAATTTAAAATGTCTATATAAGGGCAGGCACACCTGGGTTCTGGGTCCTCCTCCTTTCCTGCATGTGAGGGGAGCACCCTGTTGCAACAGATCAATAAAGATCAGGCTTACTAGCTGCTTTACTTCTCAATATTCTCTGGTTGGCCTGTTATTTTCTCCTACCAATAGGGAACCCACGTAAGGACTCTATACGGGCTCCTGGATACCCCATAAGGGGAAAAGGGCAGATTTTGTTTACAACAAAAGGAAATCAGAGCAACGTGTTTGGCACCAGCTTGGCTGCAGGAATTGCCAGAAGGAGGTGTACAAGGTACCATCTGACTGCCTTAGGGACTCCACTCCAGATTCGTGTGGGGTTTACTCCTTAGCCTTTTCTTCTCCTGAAGTTGAGTGGTGTACATGGCCCTGTGGCCTCTCCTCCACAGATAACCATGCCTTCCTTTAATCGCGTTCTCTCTCTCTCTTGGGTGAGGGTGTTCCCCAAATCGCAAGCAGATTTGAAAGGAGACCATTTCCTTTGCTCAGTCTCTCACCTGCACTCCAACACACACACCCCTCGCTCCTCATATCCCTGCAAACACCAGAGCTTACCTGTTCCAGCTTCTTCCAAGGAGGCCTCCACATCTATGCTGTGGCTGTATTCGTAGCTCGAAGGTCTGAACTGTGACAAATCCACGGTAGCAGAGAAGCAGCCAGTCCTGTCAGTCTGAAAGAAATAGTCAGTGAAGGTAGCTAAGATGCCAATCATTGGCTTTGGGAAAGAAAAGAAATTCATGGAGCCTTCCTCCTACTCCTCAGAAGGTTGTTACAGATTTGGGGTACTAGAGTCTATTGGTGAATAGTAGAAATTAATGTACGTCAGAATCTAGCTAATAATTGGAGTACTGAAGAGGAAATTTCAGGCCAGTGGAAAAATACAGGATAAGCTTCCTTTCCAAGCCAGGGCCTCACCTGGGATGGCACATTTAAGATTTTTGGAAGCATCAGGTTATTCCTGAGCCCCCTCATTTCCACTGTCCTCCAGCCCTAGAGCTTTTTCTCTCCCAGTCATACCACCAACCATAGCTGTCAACTTACAGATTTGAAAATAAGGGACCAGCAGCCTCGAAAATAAGGGATCAGCAGCCAAAATAAGGGATTTTAGTCAACCAGCAGCCAAACGAAGCCTCAAGCAGTGGTTCCCACAGTGCAGCAACCCGGCAAAGGGGATGCAGCAAGGAAAACCACCGTCACCCCTCTGCCGGGAAGCGCCGAGCAAAGGCGAGTCCCCAGGCAACGCGGCCGATTTGATAGGCACAAAGCATGCAAGCTCCACCCCCAAGTCATTCTTAGACTCCTTATTGGGTGAGCAACGCAGCCAAGCAACACAGTTGGAGCCTCCCTCCTCTCTGGCTGGCAGGAAAGGAGGGAGAGGAGCTGCTTCCTTTGAAACCTGGGAAATTTAAGGGACATCATCAATAAGGGACAGCAGCGGGACACGGCGCTGGGATAAGGGACTTTCCCGCCAAATAAGGGACAGTTGACAGCTATGCCACCAACCCCTCTTGATCACCATTACCTGCCCTTTGAAATCCTGGCAGATGTCTGTAGGCGGTGGAGCTGTTGTGTCTGGTGACCTCCAGAAATAACGGTAAGCTTTCTGGCACAAGGATATTTGCATTAAACCCCGGACAGGCTTGCCGTATGTGTACCTAGAAAGGGGGAGGCGGGGAGTAGAGATAAATCCAGCCATTACTCTTTATTTTCCTTTTTCTATGTGCTGCACACAAGCCTAGAGTTGCCAGCTTTTCTTTGGCAGGTCCCCTATGTCTTTAATAGCATCAAGATGGAAAATTAAGATGAGAAACTTTCCCTATTGCTTTCTATTAATGCAAGGGAAACTTTCCCTGGTTAAATTTGTACTTGTCATACAAATGCTAAAGGTACACGAGTACCTTTTCGAAGGAGGTGTGTGCTGATAATCTGATTTCTGCCCCGCTATGCCACTCACACAGACTTCAGCTATGCCGTGATACTCCTTGAATTCCCATAGACAGTGTTTTAATTGATACTTCTCCACTTAGCCTGAAAAGCACCCACTATTTTGCTTTCAGCTAAAAATAACATTCTTAGTTATTTATAAACCTTATTCCAAAGGAATCAAACTTTTGATTTTTGTAGTTAATTGTATTCACCACTTAGATCCATCTTAGTTCCTTTGTCTGAATCCATGGTGTTAATGCTGTGAGTCCCTCCATTCTAGGCTCAGGTTGTAGATATGTGTAAATAAAACCATATATCCTAAAAACACCACAGTCTCCACTGAGCTTCATTCTAGGGAAACTGGACCCTGGAAAGCACTGGAACCCCCTGGAGTTGCTCCTTGCTCAGAGACTGGGGAGCATGTGCAACTATCAGATTTGCACAAAACTGGGAAACTGCAAAAGTGTGTGCTGGGAAATTAGAATTGCATGACTGTGTGGTTTTGGGCACTTCCTGGGAATTTAAAAAACAAAACAAGGTACATGTGCAGCTTGCATGCCCTATTGGCATTTAGACGACATAACAAAATCAACAAACCAAAAGACAGAGGCAAACACAAAAGGAAACGCCTACGGGTATGAACGGGAAAGACCAAAATTGCTCTTCATATATAAGTTCAAATACTTGCAGGTGTGGACTACTCCAGTCTCATTCCAACAGAGAAAAAGTAGATAAGCAGCTAAATAATGCTCAAATGAGGTCATGAGCTCTGCTCTGCCCTCCCAAATAAAGTGATGAGTGCTCTGATATGTATACCTGCCACAGACATTTAGAGGAAAGTTGCTGTCTGCTGAATAGATGATAGCAGGCTGCACCACCACCACTTCAAATTTGCGAATCACTGGAGAAGAAGAAAGAAAAGCGCCTGTTACATGGTACACCATGAATCAGCTTGAAGAGAAGGTGTGTTGGCTTTTGTCATGTTTTAAAGTGGGTTGATTCAAACTGTTGCATTTTCTTTTTACTTACGAAAAGAAGAAGAAGAGTTTGGATTTGATATCCTGCTTTATCACTACCCTAAGGAGTCTCAAAGCGGCTAATAATCTCCTTTCCCTTCCTCCCCCACAACAAACACTCTGTGAGGTGAGTGAGGCTGAGAGACTTCAGAGAAGTGTGACTGGCCCAAGGTCACCCAGCAGCTGCATGTGGAGGAGCGGGGAAGCGAACCCAGTTCACCAGATTACGAGTCTACCGCTCTTAACCACAACACCACACTGGCTCTACTAAGCACTACGAGCTTAGATGTAGAGGCAGTTAATAGGTTTACATTCATTCTTTTCCAAACTGACATTTTCTAATAAGCAGAGTCTGGATTACTTCACCTGGGAGGTTTTTATGACGCTGTCATGGAGGCTGCGTTGCAGAGGTAGAAAGGACTCTGCAAAACAGAACTTCTTCATCCTGCACGATGCACCATCTGGCATCAACAGAGTCTGAACTAGAACCATGGCTTAACATGTACCAGGTGTGCTCAATGGAACATTTAAACAGGCTTTGTTCAGGCAGGTAGGCTCCCAAATCAGTAGGTAGCATTTTGAGGCAGATGTTGTCCCCAATATCTGTTGATAGAAACTGAATTCTAACTAGTGATGAATGGAAGAGACAATGCTTCTCCAAAACTCATTTCATACCATATTCAAGCACTTCAAAGGTTAAGAAAGCCTTCCCATGATCCACAATGATTCTGTAGACACCCAGCATTGGTTCAGCAGCCAACTGGTAGGACAGTTGTACAACCCCATTGTCTGGTTGCACATTATTCCATTGTGCAATTCGGTTGCCTGCAGGATCCTGCAACCACATGTTAAAAAAAACAACATGAATTATTGCAGCACATACCCGAGTATCTCCTTAAGGAGGGCTGGGAAGCATCTCTGGAAGGGTGGAAGTTCTGCAACCTCCTCAGCCTTCTCCTCTGCCCTCCACCCCACATTGGTGTGTGTGTTTTCAAATTACATCTGAAGAAGATCCCTGGGAAACTTGAGGGTACTCACCTGCAACTCCACCAGCTGATGCTAAAAAAGAAAACAAGAGGCAATCCCTTTAGTCTCCAGCAGGAGTAATGCGTCCAACTACAATTCCCATCCTGCAACTCATCAAGTTAGGGGAGGGGGTGGAAAATCTGTGGCCCTACAGATGTTGGTGGAGTGCATTTCCTACCATTCCTGACCATTGGTTGTGCTGGCCGGAGCTGACAGGAATTGGAGTCCAAGAACATTGAGAGAGCTGCAGCTTACTCACCCCTGTTAGATGCAAAGGATGAGCAAGTACCTTTAACTGCAGATAATGGATTTTTTTCTTTTTTGCAAACACATGTTGCTAGGCAGTCAAAGAGGAGGAAAGGCATATTCTTGCTCCCCCACTTCTAATATCTGCAGTGAAATGGCACCCCAGCCTCTGCACTCTGGGATTTTATGCCCTCTGGGTCAATGAATCCTAGCCATTCAGAAACTTCCTGAACATCCCATACTGTTGCCATAGCTACAATGTCATGCCAAGCAACTGAAGATTCCCTATTTAGCTTCCCTAAAGCTGCCAGGTGTTCAGAAAACTGAGCACAGAAGATCTGTTGAACTTTGTTGGTGCTTTTTTTTATTTTTTTGACCTATTCTGAGTGCAGACAAACCATTTCTCCACGGATTTTACATCTGTTGCGTGGGAAATAAAATAAAATAAAAGCTATTTGGGAGGTTGGTTCAACCTTCCTCTCATTCCTATCACTTATGAGCACATTGTCAGCTCGTGTTTCTAGCGATTACCAAAAAAACCTACAATCTTGCTGTTTTTGGAACCGGGCCAGAAAGAAAGTTTGCAAGAAAGAGCTGGGCTCTTTCTTTCACCGAAATAAAAGCTCTGAAAAATCCCCCCAATCTTGTGGATTGGGAACTCCTAAATGCACCATAGATCACTACATGCAAGCGCAAGCTGCTCTCAGAGCAGACTTTCTTTAACAAAAGCGGCAGTCAAGAGTTTCGTTACACACAGATTTGTTGCACTCATCACTAAATACTTTTGTACTCAGGTGAGGAGAAATATAAATGGTGGAGAAGAAGTGCCCAGCCCAGGTCATTCCCATCTTGTCTTGCTTATTCCTCCCTGCACTCCCCCCTCCACACCCTGTTCACATTTCTCACCTCAGTAGCCAACGGCATAAATCCTTCATCCAGGGTGATGATTCGAAATTGCACTGCAACAGAACAAATGCACAAAATGACAAAATGTGTCTCTCCCAGCCTGCCATCTGCCAGCCGAGATTGTTCTCATCTTTGTTCAGCTCCCCCAAGTCTCCTGTTAAGGCCCCAAACTCTTCCAAGGACATCATGCCCAATTAACCCGACAACCTGCCAAATCACCTGTCTCTGTTCATAACTCAGGACAAGGGCAAGCACAGTTCTCTTGCATTGCCAGTGGCCCTCAATGGTACTATGTTGGCCATTCTTGGCCTTCTTAGTAGTGGCGCCTGCCCTGTGGAACACCCTCCCATCAGATGTCAAGGAAATAAACAACTATCTGACTTTTAGAAGATATCTGAAGGCAGCCCTGTTTAGGGAAGGTTTTAATGTTTGATGTCTTGCTATGTTTTAATGTATTAAATGGGCTGGGGTAACCCAGGAATTCCTCTGCAGCTTGTATTTTCCCTCCATATGCCCAAATAATCAAAATCCTACCATTTATTGATTTCTACAATTCCCTAATAGAGTCTGTTGCCTCATATCTGTAACATGCTCTAATGGAGAGATATATAAACTGTTATGTACTAAGCTTGGATCCTAAAAAATAGGCAAGTAGGATCCTAGAATGCAACAACTGATTGGCTTGCAGGAAAAGACCAATCAGGCTCCAGGAGGAAGTTAATCAGCCTATTAGGCTGGTAGGATCGTAGGATCGTAGAATGCAACAACTGATTGGCCTGTAGGAAAAGACCAATCAGGCTCCAGGAGGGAAGCAGAATCAGGCAGGCAGATGGGACTCATTGTGTAAATAATGTATATAAAAGCCTGAGGTTTTGGGGGCAAGTCAATCACTGTTTTACAAGCTGCAGTAAAGAGCATGAAATCACTACAGGACTCCGAGTATATTTCACACATACATTAGGATTACGCACAGCTCTGCAGTAACCAGTGGTGTCATGACCCCAAAATGAAGGAGGGCTGGTATGCCCTCTTTTACTATCCAATTACTATCAAAACTGCCCTCCACTAGCCCGAATTACATATTAAGAGCCAGCCCACCAGCCCTAGGGGCTCTTTTCTCCTTACCCAGTTGTCCTGGAGAATAGATGGGCTTGTCCATCTGCAGAAAAGTGCCACTTTCCGCTTTCTGAATAAGAACCTGCTTCTGCTCATCTATCTTCCCCTGGGCATCAGAAAGTCGGATGGCAGCAACTTCCTCTGAGCCATCTGCAGGGGGTGGTACCTGGTTTACACAAGTCACTTAGCGTTAACAGGATTCCCCAATCCAGGAAGGATTAAATGCATGCATTTGAAAGGAAAGGGTGAATGAAAGAGCAGGGAAATGGAGGGAATGGGGCGGTGGTGGAGGGCAGTGACGCACACAGGTCAAACCCCCTACAGATGTTTCCTATTGTCCTGGACTTCTAACAAAGGACAGCATGACAGAGAGACCATATCAGGAAGAGAATAGGCAGGATCCAGTAATCTGAACACTGGACCTCCATGTGGCAACATGATTTAACTATTGCATGTTCCATCCCTGAATGGAACTCAAAGCAGCATCTATGGGGTTGTTGCAGTTTAGCCTTGTCAAGTAGGGAGATTGACCCACAACCACCCAATGTATTTCATGGATGAGCAGAGCTGTGAACCGGACACTTCTACACCCAAAAGCAACACCCTTATCACCAAACCACAATGACTTCCCCAATGGACAGGGCTTTGGCCATCACAAAAGGCATTTCCGTGTGTGATTTTTAAAGTACAATTGCAGTGTTTTGTGTGGTAGACAAAGCACTCTATGCTTTAAAGGGCTACAGTGCCTCTAATTTAAAACCTGTTTCATTCCTTCTCAGTGTGTGCTGATGTGCACCTTCTGCGCCAACTTCCACATCCCTGCTGAAAACTTTTCTATTCCACCAGGCTTATGCAGGCAATTAAGAATACATTCTTCCACAACGGCTAATTGATGTCTGTTTTTAACCTCTCAATGGTTTTATGCTTTCATTCCTGTAAACCACTTTGATAGATATTTTTAAATAAATAAATAAGATTTATATACCACCCAATAACAAAAGTTGTCTGGCTGATCTGCTGGTTCTGCCTCTTTTGTTGTTTGTGTTGAACCTTGTGTCACTGGGTGTGGAAAAGAAAGAGTGAACCCTTTTGAAGGGACACTCTTTGTGCAGCAAGGACTCATTCACTCTGTGGCAGGAACACCCCACAATAAAATAAAATAAAATAAAATAAAATAAAATAAGCCTACTCCTAGCATCTCTTCAGGCAAGCGCAGATTGGGAGTGATAGGAGACTACAGTCTATAGCAGTGTTTCCCAACCACTGTTCCGCGGCACACTAGTGTGCCGCGAGATGTTGCCTGGTGTGCCGCGGGAAAAATTAAAAAATTGAAAGATATTTTTTTTAAGTCAAATTTTCGATTGGGGCGCCGTCACTAGATGACCCCTGGGGTTCCCTCCCTCCCTCCCGCTCTGCGCCTCCCTCCTCCTCCTCCGGGGAGGCCCTTCCTGGCTCTCGGCCAAGGCTTGGCGGCTGCCACTCACTCACTCGCTCGCCCACCCGTCCCTCATCCCTGCACCCGGCCTCTCCCCCTCCGTCCCCGGCGCGGGGGCTGCCGGGATCCGTAGTCCCCTCGCCCTTGGGCTCCGCGCCCGCGCGGAGTGCGCGAACTACGTTTCCCAGCGTGGCCTGGCGGGCCGGGCGTTTTGTTTGAAGCGCTCTTCTCCCGGCCATGGAATGAGCGCGGCGGCGGCGGCCGGGCGGGCAGGGGCTCTTCCGCGCAGACCCCGCGCAGCCTGCCTGCGCCCCAGCGGAGATCGGGCGGCAGGATGGAGGCCGGGGATCCCCGCGGAGGCGGAGCGGCGGAGGTGGAGGCTGCCCCCCAGGTAGGGCTGCGTCGGGGGGGTTTTTTATTTTTGCAATGCTGCATCCGCGCCGGAGGGGACGCATCGGACCGCGGGGAGACCCCTTGGCGTGCGTGCAAGGCAATGCATGCGTGCAGGCGTTGCATGGAGTGCAGTGCAATGCAATGGCAACGCGGCGCCCTGCATGCATGCATGCAACTTCCACTGGCGCTCCGGACTTGGCAGGTGAGGGGGGGTCCCCAGTGGGCGGCAGAGAGAGCCGGGAGGGCGAAGGGGAGCCGGGGGGAGCAGCGCTGCCCCCCGAGCCGAGCCCGGGGGGAAACTTCGGCGTCGTTGCGCCGGGTGTTGGAAGCGGAGGCTGGCGGGGGCCCCTCACCTGCAAAACCTGGTCGCCTCTCATATATTTCGTGCATTGCATTCATCGCCCGCTTTCTCCTCCAAGGAGCTCCCGGGGGCGCGCGTGGTTCTCCCCGTGTTATCCTCGCAACAACAGCCCTGCGAGGTGGGTCAGGCGAGTGGCCCAAGGGAGCACCCAGGGATTGTCCTGGCCAGGTGGGGTGATTTGAACCCTGCTCTCTGCCCGGTCTTCGTCCTCATTTAGCCCCCACATGTGCATGACTGTGCATGACTGAGGTTTTCCCCCCTCGTCTTGGCTATGGTGTGAGTCTGTGCTGTTAATTAATGGGGTTCTGCCTTCGGAGAAGATGAGCCAGCCCTCAAGGAGGTGATTATGTAATTTGCTAGCAATTCATGTCCCTCCCGGCGTGACGCTGCGCGCTGACGTCACGGGGCTGTAATGGTGGTGTGCCTCGAGATTTTTTTCATGAAACAAGTGTGCCTTTGCCCAAAAAAGGTTGGGAAACACTGGTCTATAGAATGGGGTACAATTCAAATACAGTGGTACCTCGGGTTACATACGTTTCAGGTTACATACGCTTCAGGTTACAGACTTCGCTAACCCAGAAATAGTACCTCGGGTTAAGAACTTTGCTTCAGGATGAGAACAGAAATTGTGCTCCGATGGCACAGCAGCAGCAGGAAAGTGGTCATTAGCTAAAGTGGTCTTCAGGTTAAGAACAGTTTCAGGTTAAAAACGGACCTCCGGAACGAATTAAGTACTTAACCTGAGGTACCACTGTAATTACAGGAGGAAGGTACCACTTCTTCCTTTCCTCAGGTTAGTGTTTCCACTACTCTCGGTCAAACTGACAACTTTTTTCCTGGCCTCTTAGAAGTTGGATGACAAAAATTCTAAAAACGTTTCTGAGCAGGTGGAATGTTCTTGTGCATTCCATGACACCACACCAGCTCAGCTAATCAGTGTCAGAGGTGAAGCAGCATGGTATAGATCAAAGGACACCATTCTGCACAAGCACAGTTGATGCTTCTGATTTATACTCTGTACTTTATTATTATTTTTCATGCATCCAGACCAGATTTACTACTGATATACATCACTCACTGTGAAAGTCAAGCACTTTAGCTGTTTCTCATGCCATCTGAATCCATCCAGCAGAACGTCGGTCTTGTTCTTAGTCTCCAAGGTGATGCTGAGCACTACAGATGTTTCGACATCACCCAGGTCCATGCACAACTTATCACTGGATGGGTAGTTCAGACGGGCTGGAAGGACCAGCATGTATTTCCTGAATGCAGAAGATGAGAGGGAGAGAGACGAGAACAAGAACACACCTTTCTTTAGGGAGCGAGATTATTTGCAGGCAATTAGTCCAGTTATTTGCACTCCAAAGGGCATTCCTCCCTGAAATCCAACACTGCCTTGGTGTAAGGCAGCTTCCTATGTTCCCATGATGATTATTGTTTATTGTATTTTAATTTTTAATTTTATTTTAATGTAACTCAATCAATAATCAAGCTTTATGGCATACAGAGAAAACAGGAATATGTGGGTCATAACATAACATTGGCATCTGTTCACAGATAAAACTATACAGGCATAGTAAGGTTAAAACGTAGTGGGTCCAAATGTTTGATCCCCATGCTGAAAGAGAGGTTAAATTCTTCTGACTCCTACAGGGTTTATTGAATTTCTGTGGGCAGGATAGTATGGAGAAAGTAGCAGAATATTTGAGCAACACTGTGAAACTACAGCATCACAAGACTTGAGTGGTACTCAGTATGTAATTTATGAGTCACCTTCGAAGGATTTATATTCTGAAAGGCAGGATAATTAATAATTGTAAGTGTAACCACCACAACAAACAGAACAGCAACAGCATCTGTACTTTCCTAGTTGCAAGACTCTCCAGATGAACAGATTTTGTGCAGCAGAGTTGCGGAAGAACCGGTGCCTGTCCAAGGCTCTAGAGGAGAGCTGCTATGAGAGCAGCCAATGCTCGTCTTGGACCAACAGTCTGATGCTATAAAGCAGCTTCATGTGTTCAAATGAACAAAGCTGTCCCTTCATTAGAATTCTGCTTAGGAAACTACATTTACTGCTTTTGTCTCGGGGGTCCATCTGATTGGGCTCATCCACACTCCTGCTTGTGCTGTGCCTAGTAAGCACAGGTCCAAGTGGTTTCCCCCTTACCCAACTCGTTTCCCAGGGAAAACCAGCTCTTTAGTGATCAGTCAGAACAAATGGCAATCCAGGAAAATGTGAATTGCTGTTTGCTCTGATTGAGCGCTAAAGAGCAGTTTCCCCCGCGGGACAAGAGGAAGCGTGGAAAAGTCCAGTGAGTCTCCGGCATTGTGCCTACTTGCTACATCACTGTTCTCCAGCCTTGGGAGTATTCTTCAATGTTGGGTCTCCACATGTTGTTGAGCTACAACTCCCTTCATCCCTGACCACTGGCTAAGCTGACTGGGGATGATGGGAGTTGTAGTCCAACAACATCTAGGGACCCAAGGTTGAAAAACATGGTGCAGCTACATAACGGACAACCCACCTCCTTTGATAATCTCTGTTACAACTTTTGACTTCCCTCAGAAAGTCTTCTAATGTTTCACTCAAATGGGAACCTCCAAATTTGCCTCCAAATGTTTCAACAGCTGAAATTTGGTAGCAACTATTTTTTCTTTGTCATAAGCTTTCTCTCAGAAGACTGTGCATTCCCTCTTGGTGAACCTCACTCCTTCACTCTCCCTTGCAGGCAGGTGCCTCCTTCAGCCCTTCTGCCTTTCCTTTCTTAACCACTGATGCAAATGTCCATCTGTTCTTTTCCCTAGTGATACATTCACCCTAACAGCCCCCTCCCCCTGCTCAATATACTCCTTCATGGCCCTCACAACTCTGAATTCATAAGGACCAGCTTCTCCCTCCCAGTCATATCCTCTATAATTCTGTTTCCCTGAGATCACAGGTCTTCCAACCACATAACAACTTACGGGATGGAGTCATCTGCACCAGCTAACTCGAGGAAGGGAGCAAGGCCACTGAGAATGAGGAAGAGCCA